GGTTTTTACAGGTATTTACAGTGTTTTGTAAGGTTTTACAATGTATTTTAAAAGATTTTACAAGGTACTTTTAAGGTTTTATAAGGTATTTATAACTTGTAAAACCTTATAAAAAACTTGTAAAACCTTATAACTTGTAAAAACCTTATAAAATAGCTTGTAAAATCTTATAATATCTTATAAATACCTTGTAAATACGTTGTAAAACCTTTTAAAATACATTGTAAAACCTTATAAATACCTTGTAAAAAACCTTTAAAATACCTTGTAAATTTTTGGCGGGAAAAATTTTCCCGCCAAAAATTTAACGCCAAAAAAATTGCGGAATCACTTTTCCCGCAAAAAAAATTTTTTGGCGGGAAAATTTTTTGGCGGGAAAAAATTTTACGGGAAAATTTTACAAGGTATTTTAAAGGTTTTACAAATTTTTACAAGTGTTTTGGCGGGAAAAATTGGGGGATCACTTTTCCCGCCAAAAAATATTTTGTATTTTGTGGACCTAATTTTGTTATATTTCCTTATATATTTATGATATCTTTTATTAAAAGAAGGGTAATTTAGTCATTTTGTACATAAAAGGGGTATTTTTAAAAATGGATATCCATAGGGGGCATTTTTGAAAAGGGGTATTGAAAAAGGGGCATTTTTGTGAGTCTCCCTTTCCTTTATGTATATACATATTTATTTATTTCCTATAATACAATAATAATTTGAAACTTATAAAAATTTCACTAATGTATTACTTACAAACAATTGGTTTTTCAATTATTCAAATTATGGGCTTGACTCGTTTAAACGCAGCGGTTGTGGTTGTGGGAGTTTGGAGAAACGAGCAGTTGCGGTTTCAAGCGTTATTTAGCGTTTTGACCGACTGGTTTAGCGGTTGAAAATGGGTGCGTTTGTGAGAGATTTACGACTGGTTGATCAGCGGGTACGATAGCGGTTAAACCAAAATTTACCAAAATAAATTTAATATATGATTATAAAAAATATAAAAATACCAAAAACTATAATTATGAAAAAGTATAAAATGTTTAAACATGATTAATGATTAAAAACCATAAATAATTATTTAAATAAATTTTATTTTGAAAACAAAAATAGTTATTAATATTGGAAAATTAAAGTTAGATAATTATTATTTTTTAGAATTAACGTGAATATATATATAAGACTTTATAATATATATTTTAATTTGTTCATTTTTCTTTTTTAGTTTATTTCCTTTTTTAAACCAACCGCAACCGCCTGCAACCGCAACGTTTGCTAGAAAGAGCTTTTGAAATCCAACGATTTCGAGCGGTTCGAAGCGGTACGAAGCGGTTTCCATGATTGGTATCAACCGCTAACAACCGCAACCGACCGCTAACAACCGCTAGGCGGGTGCTAGCGAGAAAACCAATCAATCCCATAATTTACTCGCGTAGGCTGATTTCACCTAATTAAATAATCATGATGATTCATTTTATGCGTTAGGACTTAGGAGTAACAACATTAACAAGCAAAAACTAATAATCCGCTCACAACAGTAAGCACTCATCAAATATGGCATTTACGAATCAAATCTCAAATCGTAAAAGCCCGGCCCATTAAAGACAATCATATATTGATATTTTTAACTATTTTATATTTATAATGTGTTAAATATCAAAATTTTAGAATATTCTGAAATACGTAAAATGTTAAATTTTTGTGGTAGCACTCATCAAATATGGCATTTAACACATGTATACGTATGTAAATTTTCTATTCTTTCATAGTTAATCCTCCTTAAAAATGTACAATTTCCAGTTGATGGTATGACGATAAACAAAGTACCATCAAAATGTCAAATTTTCCATTTCTTGCTAATTAATCTTCTTTAAAAATGTATATGTTCCAGTTTTTTCCTAGTTAATTTTCTTTAATGAGTAAATGTAAAACTTCCAAATTTCACGGACTTATTTTCATAAATGGAATTTTTTTTTTTTTTTGAAAAAGAACACATGCATATAAGTATGCTTTGTAACAAGAAGAGAAGACAAAAAAAAAAACTAAAATTTTTTAAATATGGGGCCTGATCTCATTAATATTATCACAATTTCTGGAATTGCCGTGGGTGTATTAATCCTCATCACACTGATAGTGGCTGATGTATGGTTTCGCTTTTGCTGCGCCAGAGACGAAGGACGAATCATAGATATGATATTTATGTTAGGACCAAGTGAAGTTCAAGTTTGAGTAGAGTTTGTAGTTCATAAATATTTATGTTATGATATATATCACCTATTTTCTATTTTTTCTAATAAATTATTTTATGATGCAAATTTTTAGATGAATATCCTATAGAAGAGCATATTGTAATTCTATTTTATCTATATAATAATTAATTTTTAATGATTATGTCATATGTTGGAGTGTTTTACATAACTTACATTAGATGATGACTAGTAGGTGATTTTATATTTTTAATGTGAAAGCCATTGTTTAGGTAAACAAATAATCTGTATTATCATCATTGATGAATCATCAAACATCACATCGTAGCGTCGTTACCAATAATATAATAACAACGAACAAAAATTCGAAATCTACGCAATGTGGTGTTGACCGAAGGGTAGTTTCGTAACTTACCTATCATCGCGTGGCCATCTAGGCGCCGATGAGATCTCAGACGGCATTAATGGCTCCGGAAGAAGAAAACAAATGATTATAATAAATTTCCACTAAATTCGTTTAAATTATTCCCAGAATAAATTAACTAATAAAACTATAACTAACCTTTATTTAATTTGATTTCGCTGAATTTTTGTGTTATTCTTCTTCACTGTTGTGGATTTCCTGTGAATCTTCTTCTCCTGAGCTCGCTTCACGAACAAGGATCACTTTCTGGTGGAATTTTCTCAGAGTTCAAGGTTCGTAGATTCTCTTTCTTCTTGTGTTCGTTTGGATCTGCTTAGTGAAGAAGATAATCTCTTAAATTTTGCTACGGTGGATACGTAATGATTAGAGCTGAATCTGAGCTGGATTCACATTTATATTCTGGATTTGATTGTTTCTCTGGGTTATAGATTATTTATTAGATCGATCATCTTGTTTTATAGCTGCTCATAGTGTTGCTCTTCTAGATTCCAGTGCTTTCGATCCTGAAGAAGGGGAGTAACAGATTCATTTAGTTCACTTGAAGATTGCATGCGCCTGAAGATAACATTTTGCGTGGACTGCATTTTGAAGAATGTTGATAGTGAATTATCACCTATAAGCTCTCTTCTTCTTGCGTGCATTGGTTCTGGGTGTCTACTAGTGAACCCGCCATGGCTTTTGGTTCTCCTAGGAATTCTATTTTAGCTGCGGCTGGATTTCCTCGGAAAGTCTCTACTGTTGCAATTGCTATTGGCGGATTGGCTTCATTCTTTGTTTTCGGATTGTTGCTTCGTCTTTCGTATCCGAATAGTTCTTCTGTTAGTGGCATATTTTATGGGATAGGGAATCCTGAACAAGTTCATGTCCCTTTATCTTTGAGCAACCATACCGTAAAAATCCTTCAGAAGAGTAGTGACATCAATGCCTTTGATAAAAATCTGACTTCTGATTCCAGCTCAGGCTCAACCCATGTTGTTAGCAAAAACATACAACCGCCAGATTCCGATAGTGATAGGAAGTTGGAGACACCTTTGACACAAGAAAAAGAGGATTCCGTTTCTTCGGATATAACACCATTGACTGTTCAATCAGGTGAAGGTGATGTTTCCAAGGCTGAAGACACTATAAGTGCATCATCTCCTCCACATGATGACTCTGAAACTGCTTCAGCAGAGCCAGGTACTGTTATCTTTTAAACACTCCATTTACGTAGCTTTTGACTTATTTGGAACATTTTGATTTATGGTAGCTTAATTTTCTAAAAACAAAGAGTAAACTAGTATGCGAATGTTATACATTGACTTTTGCACTTTTATGGCAAATGGCTAAAGTTTCTATTCTAGCCTTGGACTGAATGTAGCAGATCAGAGTTGTTTTAAGTTGGTTAGGGAGCAGATTGTGAGGGCTGGGCTTGTAAGTTGGTCTCAGCATATTGTAATAGAGGTTGGATTTTCTAGGCTTTGTTAGGGCATTTAATTGGAGTTCTCTCTGTTTTGGTGAATTGGAATAAGAAAAGCAGTTTCATAGATTTGTTCTTGTCAGTTTCTCTTGCTTCTCAGGATTCTAGCTGTTCCATGTTTTATATATCTGTTAGATTTGTGGCTTACTCAAATCTTTGATTGCTTGTAGAGTGTGATTTGTATCAAGGTAGTTGGTTTTATGATCCTGGGGGACCTCTGTACACGAACAACTCTTGCCCTGTTCTGACGCAGATGCAGAATTGCCAGGGCAATGGAAGACCTGACAAGGGATATGAGAACTGGAGATGGAAACCGTCTCAGTGTGACCTTCCTCGTTTTGATGCCAGGAAATTTCTTGAACTAATGAAAGGCAAGACACTGGCCTTTATAGGAGATTCAGTAGCTCGTAATCAGATGGAGTCCATGTTGTGCCTTCTTTGGCAGGCAAGTAATTCAATTAATGGTGAAAACCAGTACAAGGGATCTATTATGATGCTTTACTCAGATTTTATGACATTTGATGTATTATATTAACGTAGGGTTTTGTTTTCAGGTTGAAACACCAGTCAATCGTGGGAGCCGAAAGATGCAGAGATGGTATTTTAAGTCATCATCAGTAATGATTGCCCGTATTTGGTCATCTTGGCTTGTTCATCAGTTCAACGAAAAATTCGATTATGCTCCTGAAGGTGTCACAAAGCTAAAGCTGGATCTTCCTGATGAGCGCATAATGGAAGCTATCCCGAAATTCGACGTGGTTGTCCTCTCATCAGGGCACTGGTTTGCAAAGCAGTCGGTCTACATATTGAAGGAAGAGATCGTGGGAGGCCAATTGTGGTGGCCAGACAAATCAAAACCCATGAAAGTCAATAACGTGGATGCATTCGGAATATCAGTTGAAACAATCCTAAAGTCCATGGCTACACACCCGAACTACAGCGGTTTGACCATTGTGAGAACATTCTCACCTGATCACTACGAAGGCGGTGCTTGGAACACAGGTGGTTCATGCACAGGGAAAGAAGAACCCATCCTTCCAGGGAAGCTAGTGAAAAACGGATTCACAGAGATAATGCACGAGAAGCAAGCGACAGGATATAACCTAGCCGTCGAAAAAGTCGCGGAGAATTTGAAGCTAAAATTAAAGCTGATGGATATCACAGAGGCTTTTGGATATCGACATGATGGTCATCCTGGTCCATACAGGAGTCCTGACCCGAACAAGATCACTAAACGGGGACCAGACGGACGGCCTCCGCCTCAGGACTGTTTGCACTGGTGCATGCCGGGACCAGTCGATACATGGAACGAAATGGTGTTGGAGCTCATAAGGAGAGACAAGGAAGGCAGAAAAAGTAAAAGTTCATCAACTTGACTTGGTTTGAAAACTCAAAGCTGAGAGAGCATATTACACGACATATACTATAAATCCGATTCTTGATTACCGATAAACACATATATAAACTCACTTGTAGATTTGTGCCAACCACGGTGAGTTAGGATTAGGATTGTCTCAGATGGTATTTGTTCCACTATACTTTTTGGTTTGCTTTTGTCTTGACTCATGATGAGATTGAAATTTATGAGTTCAAGTTTATTCATAGTAGTCGAAATTTCAGAAATTATGTAAAAGTTGGGGGTTCATTTGCAAAAACAATTAGCTGAGTAATAATAATCTCCTATCTCACTGACTCACCCGAAGACCAAAAGCACCGGAGTGAAAATGGCGTCGTACACAGTAGTATCCTTTATCCCTCTGACGGTCTCTAATCCTCGGATCTTTGTTACGAGACAGAATGGATCTTCCTCGTCTTCTTCTCGGATTCCCCTTACGTCTTCTCTGTCAGGTAAGAAGCTTGTGGCGACACAACCGTCGCATCGCTGCTTTGTCCCCAAGCTCCGGTGCTTGACCTCGGCTAGCACGGTCTTAAATGTTCCAACTGCGTGAGTTTTTGATTTGACAGAGGCTTTTACATGTTTATATTTTCTGGGTTTTTCCTTTCACCACGGAAATGGAATGTTGAATTTTTCAGGCAACCGGAGAATGGTTCTTCAGATAAGATCCCAAAGTGAGTCTCACTCGAAATAATTTGTAAATTGTAGAGCTTCTGTGTTTGAATTGTTTTTTATATCTGTTTGATTTTAGATGGTCGGCGAGAGCTATAAAGTCACTTGCAATGGGAGAATTGGAGGCTAGGAAGCTCAAGTATCCAAGTACCGGGACCGAAGCCATTCTCATGGGTATTTTAGTCGAAGGTTTGTTATTCTGAGACTTGTATTTTGTTTTGAGGGATTCTGTACAATAATGCTGGTGAGTGGTGAGATTGTTTCCCCTAACTCATCTGAGCATTAACTGAATCCAAGCATATGTATAAGCAAGGGCTTTTATGATTATTAGTTGTTCCAGTGGGATGTTTTTGCTTCTGTCCTGTTTCTTAACCATTAAGTTGGTGCTGTATAAGTCAGTTGTGGAATGCCTTATGTTGGTTGATAGAGGAGAATTGGGTAACTTAACCGTGGACACTATAAACAGGAAACTGATAGTAAATCGTTTTAGATTTTGTGGTTTACTGACGTTTATTAAGCTTGTCATAGTTGGTTTTGATTTTAGGCACTAGCACAGTTGCTAAGTTCCTGAGGGGTAATGGAGTTACGCTTTTTAAGGTGCGAGATGAGACGATAAGCCTGCTGGGGAAATCAGACATGTATTTTTTCAGTCCAGAGCATCCTCCTCTTACTGAACCGGCTCAAAAGGCCATTGCCTGGGCCATTGATGAGAAGAATAAATCTGGTGTGCATAAACAACACCTTCTTAATATTTGGCCATCTTTTTGTGTCCTATATAGCCAACTGAAACTATTTGTTCACAGGTGTGGATGGTGAACTAACCACGGCCTACTTGCTTCTGGGGATTTGGTCTCAAAGGGATTCAGCAGGCCGCCAGATTTTGGAGAAGCTCGGGTTCAACGAAGATAAAGCCAAAGAAGTTGAGAAATCGGTAAGTTGAGAAACCCTGAATCCTACAGGATAGAAAAGCTTTCTCAAAGTCACAAGTGTTGAGTGTTTGTTTGGCGCAGATGAATGAAGATGTAGATTTGAGCTTCAAGAAGCAAGGTCAATAGAATGAAGATGTTGATTTGAGCTTCAAGAAGCAAGGTCAATAGTGCTGAGGTTAATTTCAATCAGCAAGCTTCTGTAACTGTATAAGGAGTCTTGCTTAAAGACTCAGCAAAAGGACCCCTTTCTTGAAGGAATCACTTGATCGAACTAGACATTTGCAGGCCTTCATTAGCATTCACTTTCAATACTTGTTTGTGGTTAGTTTCATTTAGCTTTTCTGTATTATCAGTTTATCACAATATACAACTCTCGAAAATGATTCAGTGATTTGATTCTCGGATAGGTTTATTATGTTACTAAAACTCACATCCTCAAATTCTTCATTCGCAGAGTGCTTATTGACACCTTGGTGTCTTCATATGGATGCTGGGTTAGGTAGGTACTTTCTTAGGCTAAAGTTCGATTGTTATCTAAGGGAATGAAACAGAGCTGATAAAAAACTTGCAGAAGATGGAAACTGTAAAATCTTTCAATGGTAAAAAAAAAGTCATTAATCTTCAGTCAACTGCAACGTCTAGTTGTTTACATACTCGGTTTTGAACAAAAGCTGACATGCTCCAGAAAACCTATCCATAGCTTCAAGCTTCTCCATCATCGTGTCCTTGATTTCAGGTTCTAAGGTGGATTTCAGATAGATTGTCACCGTCTTTAAACACCTGGATGTGCTTAGGATATATTCCACCAATTCTTCCTCTTCTTCTCTTCCACCGTAGTCTATCAACTCAAACTTCTCCAGACTTGAATACAGGCATTCGGGATTATAGCCCCTTTCGCTCCATGTAGCTGATGCGATAGGGGATTGATGTGTTGATCTCTGAAAAGCAACCATTAATATGCATTAATACATTAAACGCATTCTAACTTAGGTTAGTTTTATTCATATAAATAAGCAAGACAAGGTGAGGCAGAGATACATACATAATCAACTACAAGAGACTTTAGTCTCGGAGTATTGTTTAGCAAAGGCACCAGTGAGTCCATCCAGTCTGAGTCAAACGGAACTATCTTACACTTTGTGAGCCGAGAGAAGTTGATCTTGCTACAACACACAATCTGTGAAAGAAAAAGAAAAAAAACGACATTAATTAGTAGATGCAACAAATGCCATAACATGGAACGAAAGAGGCAGGGAGCTAGAGAGAGTTACCGTTTCGTCGGTCAAAAGCAATTCAAGAGAGAAGACGGTGGAAAAAGAAGTAAAAAACTTGTCAATATTTGGGAAAGGCTGATCAACATCGATAGAAACATCCTCAAAACAAGGCATATTCTCGATCGAGCAAGAGTCTCCTGAATAATCAGTCAAGTAAAAGTTTGTTAATGCCGGAGTATCTATAACCAAGCACCCACCGTTATCATCTGGCAATGAGGCAGAGTTATCATACGCTAAAAGCCATAAAGTAGGCACTTTAACGCAAAACTTTGTCATATTGTCATCCTTTTTTCTCTTCACGCACAATTTCTCAAGACCGGGGCAGCTTGATAAGAACCTAACGAGAGATGCCTCGTCTTCATACACCACGTAGTGAAGACAGAGAAGTAAGAGGGATGGGAGACAACAAGAAGAAGGGAAATCCACGAGAATCTTGTGGGAGAGAGTTAGATCCACGAGAGTTTCGCAGGTGAAGAGGCTCTTTGGTAATCTGGTTGGATCCGCGGACCAGAGAAGCTTATGCACGCGGCCATCAACAGCCTTTGCAACCAAATTTTCGAAACTAGCATCAGTATGACATCGTGGATCGTGTTCCATACACAAGATTTCTAAGAAAGGTGATTTGTAGAGTTCCAATGACCTTTTTAGAAACCACCAAACGCTCTTCTTGCTCTCATCATCATCATTGTTGTTTTCTTTGTACTCAAGTGTAGGCAACATCGTCCAGACGAACCGCCATCGTTTAGACAAAATCATGGTGGCTACTGCATCTTTAGTCGGGACAAGCAACAATATCGACACAAGCAAATCATCAGGTAAAACACTGATCCTGTCTTCACAAACTTTCTCTTCTATTCTCCCACCACCATTATTTTCGGCTGTTTCTGCCATCTTCACGAGGCAAAACCCTAAGAGAAGGACTTGGTTTGTGATTTACTACTTTTTTTTTGTTTTATTGACATCAAACGTTACAACTTTATCTATAATAATAACAATAATTACGAGCCAATTGTTTTTAAAAGTAAAATTTACTTTTCTAAAATATATAGATATTGCCGATAATATCAAAACAACTATCATATATTCTTTAAATTCACAAATCTGACAAAATAAAAGAAACTTTCTTTTATATTTTATACCGATAATGATGGTGTATCTAAATAAATGTCAAATATAATTGTAAATCTAAAAAAAATTATGTTATTGTTCCATTTTTTAACAAATAAAATAAGGAATATTTTTTTATAATTAATATCCATAGTAGTTATTAATTGTTTTTAGGAATATTAATTGTTTTGATAAAGATTTGATCTAACACAATATATAAATCTTCATTTCTTGTTGTTGTAATTATCTTCAAAAATTAAAAAAATTAGATCGTACACCGCCTTTCAGTTTAATATAAAAACCTTCTCTAGGTTTCACTTTCAAATCATAACTAACCCCATTTTTTTTGCGTTTTATTTTATTTGGCTTTACACATATGAATTCATGGTGTTTATGTATTGTTATAGGTTACGGATGCAACGTCGTTAAACAATTCCAGGACAATTAAATTGTTGATTCAATCGAACATATGGTGAGTTTTTCACTTTAGTACTTTCATGATTAATATTTAAATTATGCTTGGTGTATTGAGAAATCTATAAGCTTTCCCATAATATTTTACGAGCAGCTTAGATTTCATATTCTTCACTAAAAAAAAAAAGAAGCTTTGATTTTGTATTTACCATTTTCTTCACTAAAAAAAAAAGAAGCTTTGATTTTGTATTTACATAATTTGATATCAGTTTGATTATTGGTTCCATCATGATGCAAATTACGGCCTCTCAACAACCCCAATAGACTATAATCGTTGGAAACTCTTCTTTTTCTCTTGCTTCTCTCTGATTATCTTTCACCAGGAGTCTCAATTATTATTATTTCTTTGTATTGATGCGATCAGAAGTTTTATCTCTTTTTTTAAATAATGATCTCTTTATGGATTTTTCATTTAGGTATGAACATGGTTTGTTTCACGGGGTGTTTCGGTGTCTTGCCTTGAATCAAGGCGTGTAAAAACGTAAAGCTTGCTTTTATCTATCTTTTTTTATTGTCACGTCTTTATCCATCTATGTAACGCTTAATCATCAATTATTATATTAAACTTCAATAAAGGCTAGTGTACCAAATTCATGGTTTGTTTTATCTGATTAGTGTACCAAATTCAATTGGAACTATATCAGATCCATGAAATTATTGATTATTGATACATGCAGGTTATGTGTGATCCTTATACACCAGCTGGTGTTCCAATTCCAACCAACAAGAGGCACAACGCTGCTAAAATTTTTAGACACCAATCGTTGCCTCCGAGGAGCCTTGGTATGCTCATCTTCTTGTTTTTTGGCTATACATATTATTTTCGTTACTATAAATTCTAATAGTGTTTGTTTTTTTAAACGATTGTATGTTTTGGATGAATGAAAGCAACCACGATGCATGAAGAAGATTCAGGTGATGTTTCAATTGATCTTTTATCTTTAATTTATCGATTTTCTAATTTTACAAAAATGTTCTCACCGAGTAGAATATACTTTTGAGTTTTGAGTTAAATCTTTCACAGTCTGTTGTGGATTAGCAACGTTTCAAGCCATATTAACTATTGTGTTGTGGCAGTTCGAAAGATTCATATAAATTGGACTATTGCTACAAAAAAAACAGAATCACAGGTTTAATTCTATCAAAGGAGATAAAGCCTCTTATCTCTACTGTCTTTGAGGGTAAAGATGCTAATGTCATCGCCCACGGAGCAAGAAATTGCGGAAAAACATATCTCATACATGTATTGAAAGCAATCCCATTAAGGTATTGATTATCAGACATGATACTATAGATGAAAAATGCTAATTATTGTATCGCATGGTTTGTAGGGAAATGATTATGCTCTGACGCTCAAAGGAAACAGATACCTTTGACTGTGTCTGCTACTTCTAGAAAACAGACAGTGCTAAGGGGAAATGTGACAGAGAGAAAAGACTAAAATCAAAGCAAGGTAAATCTTTCAGAAACAACTTTGTATCAACTCTAAGCCTCAATATCCATGATATACCTGCATCTGCTCTGTTGTTCAGTTTTAGAACATCAAATAATGATGATTTTTTTTCTCAATGTTTGAAGGAAACTGTTCCGCGAAGCAAACGATTCAGTGAAATGTAAAAATAGCATGTTGGAAAATTTAATTAATACGTCATGAAGTGGAATAATCTAGATTCTTCCTTTACAAAGAGGTAAAACAGAGGGTATAGAAACAGAGACTAAGAGACCAAGAGTCTTAATTAAGGAGGTTTGGTATACCACTTAACCCTAATCAATCCACTACTTACTTGATAAAGACATATTCTCATCATGTATATTTGATTAGATTAGCTAGGCTCGTAATATGGGACAAAACCCCGAAGATGAGCAAGAAATGCTTTGAAAGATTTTATCGTAGCATGAATGTCATATCTGCACCCTTCAGTGCTCCCTTGTAAAATCAAAGTATCTGAGTATAGATACTTAATAGGTTTAAGTGTTCTTCGATCTTGGACGATATGTTCCAACTTATACTGATACAGAGGTTATACAGATTTTCGGTTTTTCTAATAAAATAAATTGTTTGCTGAAAGATTGCTATACCTTTAACAATTTTATTTTGTTTGTTAGGGTCACGACATACATACTATAATTGATAGAGAGTATTATCGTCATCGTGGATTCAGGTTTTTCCAAGGACGATAGATACATGGCCGGCCCTATAGACATCAACAAGAAACTTTTGCTGTAACCCAAATTTTGTTTCTGAAATTCTTCAACAAAAATTATTTAAGAAACGGACCTAATTTTATTTATTTTACTATAATTGGCCCTAAATTTTAAAACCTTTCAAAATAACCAAAAACTTTTTTTTGAGTATTTGGCCCTTCAAATCTCAGGGCAGGCCCTGGATGGATAACACTTAGAGATTTTGATTCATGTTATCGGTTTGCTTAGTCATACTTTTTATGATTTTAAAATTCATTGGAATTTATCAATCTTTGTTTCACATATACCTTCCTTGGGTGCGATTGATTACTGCGCATTCGCATCTTTTAGGAAAATTGATACTTAATTTTGAGTATGTTTATTTCCCTGGTCCCATAATATCTTTTGTTTGGATATTTTATTCTTTGCATTGTTATGGTTTGATCTATTAATTTAAATAATTATATTTAATTGGTTGGGTCGTGAGTGTTAGCAATATTGAAGACGGAAAACCAATAATAAAGTGTGGGATCAAGTTTATGTGGAATTAGAAGATGAATTGTAAGTTATTAATTTAATCAAAATTAGATTTGTTATAGTTTAATTTGGGTAGTATGCTAAAAACTTAATTTTATAATAAATTTACGTCTATAATGTCGACTACATGGTGGATACTGTTGTAAATTTTTGAGAGAACGGAGTAAACAATGTGATAATATCACCATATTTATCATGAGATTCACTAGAATAGAAGTCACTCGAGGTATTCGAATATTGTTGTTTTTCATGTATATATAATTTCTGAATATTTATTAGTCGATCACGTTTCTATGATATTGTTTCTTATGGTTTTGGCTACTATTGTTTGCAATGGCACCCGAATGATGCTAAAAAATATGTGTGCTGAAAGTTGCAGGAATGCAGAGTTGTTTTGTGCTAAGGATCACAGAAATTTTTATTAGTTACTAAGCTTATCTATTTTTTTTGTTTCCATTTTTCCGAATTATTTTTTTCCTAAACATGTAAATATGATCTAAAATGAAGTTTGAGGCTTTACAAAAGATAAATAATTACACAGAAGCAACCTTGGCAAAAAAAGAGATAAAAACAAGACTACAGTAGAGTAAAGAAATATTTGGAAATAGATAACGAATCCAAATAAGCATAAGCTTTGTTCATCTCGAAGTGATGATGTTTCGTAGCTCCACTCCACCATCTTGAAAATGATTTGAGCAGCAAGCCGCAAGGAGTTATGGAGAATGTTATTACGCTGTCGCCAGAACTTATAAACCACCACTTGAGATGCTACTTTTCTAAGCAAAGAAGGCACATGACTGGAAGAGCGTCAGGTCCAAGAAAATAGCTCAATCCAAGAGCAAAACAACCTTTGTTGTGGAAAAATCCTAGAGAAAACTAAATTCCACACCTGGAAAGAGCTCACAAAGGAGCAGAAGGTGATCATGAGACTTCGTTACAAAAATGCAAAGACGACACTCATCAGATTGAATTTGTCCTCAAGAAGCCAGTCTTTGACGAGTGGGCAATTATTTAAGTGACTCTGGAGAGGAAGAGCGTTAGGACAAAGAAAGTAACTCAGCCTAAGAGCAAAACAACTTTTGTCGAGAACAAAGCCTAGAGAAAACTAAATTCCACACCTGGGAAGAGCTCACAGAGGAGCATGAGGTGATACCGAGACTCTGTTGCAAAAGTGTAAAGACAACACTCATCAGATTGAATTTGTTCCCAAGAAGCCAGTCTTTGATGCGTGGGCAATTCTTTAAAAGTGTAAGGAGAGGAAGAGCGTTGGGTCCAATAAAGTAGCTCAGCCCAAGAGTATAACAACCTTTGTTGAGGATAAGGCCTAGAGAAAATCAAATTTCCACCTCAGAAAAGCTCATAGAGGAGCAGGATGTGATCCTGAGACTCCGTAGCAAAAGTGCCTAGACAACACTCATCGGATTGAATTTTTCCCTAGGAAACCAGTCTTTAACGACTGGAGAGGATGATTGGAGATTTATTTAAGTGTCTCAATAGAAGAAGAGCGTCAGATGCCAGAAAGTAGCTCAACCCAAGAGCAAAACAACCTTTGTGGAGGATAAATCCTAGAGAAAACCAAATTCCACACCTTGAAAAAGCTCACAGAGGAACACGAGGTGATCCCGAGACTCCGTTGCAAAAGTGCAAATACAACACTTGCCCCCAAGAAGCCAGTCTTTGATGAGTGGACAATTATTTAAGTGACTCTCGACGGTTCAAGAAAGTAGCTCAAGCCAAGAGCAAAACAACCTTTGTCGAGGACAAAGCCTAGAGAAAACTAAATTACACACCTGGGAAGAGCTCACAGAGGAGCAAGAGGTGATCTCGAGACTCTGTTGCAAAAGTACAAAGACAACACTCATCGGATTGAATTTATCTCCAAGAAGCCAGTCTTTTACGAGTCGGCAATTATTTAAAAGTGTAAGGAGAGGAAGAGCGTTGGGTCCAATAAAGTAGCTCATCCCAAGATTAAAACAACCTTTGTTAAGGATAAGGCCTAGAGAAAATCAAATTTTCCACCTCGAAAGAGCTCACAGAGGAGCATGAGGTGATCCTGAGACTCCGTTGCAAAAGTGCGTAGACAACACTCCTCGAATTGAATTTGTCCCCAGGAAACCAGTCTTTAACGACTGAAGAGGACGATTGGAGCGAGATTTATTTAAGTGTCTCAACAGAAAAAGAGCGTCAGGTGCCAAAAAGTAGCTCAACCCAAGAGCAAAACAACTTTTGTGGAGGATAAATCCTAGAGAAAACCAAATTCCACACCTTGAAAAATCTCACAGAAGAACACGAGGTGATCCCGAGACTCTGTTGCAAAAGTGAAAATACAGCACTTGGCCCCAAGAAGCCAGTCTTTGATGAGTGGGCAATTATTTAAGTGACTCTCGACGGTCCATGAAAGTAGCTCAGGCCAAGAGCAAAACAACCTTTGTCGAGGAAAAAACTTATAGAAAACTAAATTTCACACCTGGGAAGAGCTCACAGAGGAGCAAGAGGTGATCTCGGGACTCCGTTACAAAAGTACAAAGACAACACTCATCGGATTAAATTTGTCCCCAAGAAGCCAGTCTTTTACGAGTCGGCAATTATTTAAGTGACTCTAGAGAGAAAGAGTGCCGGATCCAAGAAAGTAGCTTAGTCCAGGAGCACAACAACCTTTGTCAAGGATAAAGCCTAGCGAAAACTAAATTCCACACCTAGGAAGAGCTCACAGAGGAGCATGAGGTGATCCCGAGACTCCGCTGAAAAAGTGCATAGACAACACTCATTTGATTGAATTTGCTCCCAAAAACCCAATCTTTGACGAGTTGACAATTATTTAAGTATCTCATGGGTAGAAGAGTGTCGGTCCAAGAAGTATCTCAGTCCAAAATCAAAACAATCTTTGTCGAGGATAAATCCTAGAGAAAACCAAATTCCATACCTTGAAAGATCTCACAGAGTAGCAGGAGGTGATCCCATACTCTGTTACAAAAGTACAAAAACAACACTCATCAGATTGAATTTGCTCCCAAGAAGCCAGTCATTGACGAGTGGGCAATTATTTAAAATAGTCTGGAGAGGAAGAGCATGATATCAAAATTAACGTAAGAGTTTTGACATCAATATCTTTAGGATAATGGAAGGAGTTTCCAAATGAACATAATCTTTAAACTTCAATGTCTTGTAAAAATTGAAGGATTTTGTAAGTTAACATAATATTGTCGATGTCACATTATTGTCATTGTCACATTATTAAATTCGAAGTCAAGAACTATTGGTACCTTCGAAATTTCTGTTGTTTGTAGTTGTGAGCGTCTCCAGTATCGACTACCGTGGTTTTATGTCAATAAATTTTTCGCTGAGTGGAGGCAATGTATTGATGACATTACCATATGTATATTCAGATTTGCAAGAACTGAAATGAGTGAAAGTATTTTGTTTTGGTTTTGTTATTTAACATGTATTGTTAAAGTTTGAGACATTGAAACTATATTCCTTTGATAATTAAGGTACACGAAGAGGTACTGCTTCATACAAGTGTTCGCAGATTCTATTCAATCATTCTTGTCATGATGTAACGAGGATGCGAGATATCTTTTCCAACAAGAAGAAAGGACAAATGTCACACATCCAATTTTGATCTTTTGATTATCTTTGGTTGTTGATGAGCAAACCAAGACTACTAAATTTATACTTTCTGGTTCTAATGATTTTAGTTTTCCGTTTTGCATTTTACTATATTCAGAGGATAATAATCACTATTTTCTCGCAATAATATATCAAACGTTATGGCGTTTTACCATAATTCTATATTAATGTCGTTATAAAAATTATACTCTTGACAAAATTAAATCAATAATTGTCTAAAACTTATAACCCTAAATGACTAAATCTGGTTTTAATCAACATACAACCCCGCGCCGGGCGCGGGGACCTCCCCTAGTTTCCTTATATAATAAGTTAATACACACTAACTAGTATAAACCCATTATTCTATTTTTATTTTACCCAAAAAAAAAAGAGAAATTGTTAAAAATGGCCCTTTTTTAATATCCCTTTTCAAAAATGTCCCCTTTGAGAGTCTATTTTTAAATTTGCCCTCTTTTAATTTTTAATGACCATTTTACTCTTATTTGAAACAAAATTAGGTCCACAAAATACAAAATATTTTTTGGCGGGAAAAGTGATCCCGCAAATTTCCTGCCAAAATTTTTTTTTCGGGAAAAGTGATTTCGCAATTTTTTTGGCGGGAAAAATTTACAAGGTATTTTAAAGGTTTTACAGAGTTTTTACAAGTGTTTTATAAGGTTTTACAATGTATTTTAAAAGGTTTTACAAGGTACTTACAAGGTTTTACAAGTTATAAAATAACTTGTAAAACCTTATAAAAAACTTGTAAAACTTTATAACTTGTAAAACCTTATAAAATAGCTTGTAAAATCTTATAATATATTATAAATACCTTATAAATACGTTGTAAAACTTTTTAAAATATATTGTAAAACCTTATAAATACCCTGTAAAAACCTTTAAAATACCTTGTGAATTTTTCCCGCCAAAAATTTAACGCCAAAAAAATTGCGGAATCACTTTTCCCATAAAAAAAATTTTTGGCGGGAAAAATTTTTACGGGAAAATTTTACAAGGTATTTTAAAGGTTTTACAAGTTTTTACAAAATCAAATTTGTAATTTTGATGTGTGCACATTCTCTTGTTTTCCTTATATATTTGTGATATCTTTTATTAAAAGAAGGGTAATTTAGTTATTTTGTACATAAAAGGAGGTATTTTTAAAAATGGACAGCCAAATGGGGCATTTTTGAAAAGGGGTATTGAAAAAGAGGCATTTTTGTGAGTCTCCCAAAAAAAAAAACTAGAGTAAACCCAATGGGGTGAACTCAAAGTCTTCATGGATCAAAATAACAAATATATGTTGTGATTTATGAAGAAGACATTATATAATTGTTGACAAAAAAAAAAGTATATAATTTATATTTAACTAGATAGGGCCCACCTAAATAGGCGGGTGTAAAAAATAAATATAATTACGTATCGATAATATTTAAATTCTAAATAGTAATCTATATTTTTCTTATTATTTAATTTAATATTTTGTTTCAGACAAAATTTCAATCTTACTCATTCTATTTTGCATACACTTTAACTATTTATTTCAACCAAATTTCAATCATACACTTTAACTATTTATTTTATAATAAAAACTGCATTTTAATTCTACACACTCTATCTTATCGATGATATTTGAATTCTAAATAGTACTTTGTACACTTTATCTATATTTAATTTAGTACTTTTATTGAAAAAAATTCAAATCTTACACATTTCATTTACATTAATATAATTTAACTATTATTTAATAAGAGAAATTGTTAAAAATGCCCCTTTTTCAATACCCCTTTTCAAAAATGCCTCTTTTGAGAGTCCATTTTTAAGTTTGCCATCTTTTAATTTTTAATGACCATTTTACCCTTATTTGAAACAAAATTAGGTCCACAAAATACAAAATATTTTTTGGCGGGAAAAGTGATCCCGCAATTTTCCCGCCAAAACCCTTGTAAAAACCTTTAAAAAACCTTGTAAAATTTTCTCGTAAAAATTTTTCCCGCCAAAAAATTTTTTTTGCGGGAAAAGTGATTCCGCAATTTTTTTTTGCGAAATTTTTTTAGCGGGAAAATTTTTGGCGGGAAAAATTTACAAGGTATTTTAAAGGTTTTACAGAGTATTTACAAGTGTTTTGTAAGGTTTTACAATGTATTTTAAAAGGTTTTACAAGGTACTTATAAGGTTTTATAAGGTATTTATAACTTGTAAAACCTTATAAAAAACTTGTAAAACCTTATAACTTGTAAAAACCTTATAAAATAGCTTGTAAAATCTTATAATATCTTATAAATACCTTGTAAATACGTTGTAAAACCTTTTAAAATATATTGTAAAACCTTATAAATACCTTGTAAAAAACCTTTAAAATACCTTGTAAATTTTTGGCTGGAAAAATTTTCCCGCCAAAAATTTAACGCCAAAAAAATTGCGGAATCACTTTTCCCGCAAAAAAAAATTTTTGGCGGGAAAATTTTTTGGCGGGAAAAAGTTTTACGGGAAAATTTTACAAGGTATTTTAAAGGTTTTACAAGTTTTTACAAGAGTTTTGGCGGGAAAAATTGCGGGATCACTTTTCCCGCCAAAAAAATATTTTGTATTTTGTGGACCTAATTTTGTTATATTTCCTTATATATTTGTGATATCTTTTATTAAAAGAAGGGTAATTTAGTCATTTTGTACATAAAAAGGGGTATTTTTAAAAATGGACAGCCAAAAGGGGCATTTTTGAAAAGGGGTATTAAAAAAAGGGCATTTTTGTGAGTCTCCCATTTAATAATGACAAACTGGATTTTGATTCTACACCCTTCATCTTAATGAATAAATGCTAAAACAATTATATCAAAATAATATGTATATCAGATTATATCAAATCTATATCTAGATAAGTTAATGAATTTATTTATTTAATGATCTTATATATTTTCTAAAATTATCTTTCATAAAAGATAATTTTTTTATTTTTTTAGTTTTATTATTGTGTCTTTAAATTATTGGTTTCTACTTTCAGTTTGAATTATATAAGATTTATTAAGTTCTAATAATTTTAGATAGAGACATGTGTCATGATTTAAACTACAAATTTACATTTTTATATCAATTTTATTTTCTAATTAGAAATAGGTGATGATTTTAAATAAAGTTTTGTATTGTTTATTTGAAAGTCTTGAATACGTAAGAACCATATATGCTTCTTCTTTGTTTTTGATATTTTAAATCTAGTTATATTATTTTAAATTGTTTATTTAAATTTATATGTTCATATTTGAATTATACAAGATTCATATATATATATTTTAATCGATCCCAACTATTTTCATGCGGTTTTTTTCAACCCAAACTCTGATACCCTGCACTTATCAACCTGAACTCACACAATATTTAAATAACAAACTCTGAACTATGTGATTTTTAGCCAATTTCAACATATCCCCGTTATTAAAAAGTATACCGTACGTTATTGCTACGGAATATATTTTTCTTTCAAAATGTTTTTTGAATCAATAATTTTAGTAGTTAAAAAACAATGCAAGAGTGAAAGTAAATATTTTTTTTTCTTACTTTTGAAAGATAATTTCTACTTAAAACGTCGGATGGGTCCTTAGCTAGTTTGTTTATATAGAAGTGAGTATGTAGAATAATTATCTTTTTGAAATTGTTAATTTCATTATAATGATCTTTTTACTTTTTAAAATTTATTTTTTGACAATTATCTTTTTATATTTTAAAATTAATAAAAGAAAATTATTGTTTTACATATTTCTATTCAATAAGATACATTTTTATAATATTTATCTTAATGAAATTTTTAAAATTGTTTAGTTTCCTTATAATTATCTTTTTACTTTTAAAATTTTATAATTTCTTACAATTATCTTTTTTTTTTGTCGTCTAGATTTATTATTAATTGCAAATTATGAGAACTGTTACATAGACGATTCTACAACTGACAATTCCTTCCGACCCTTACTAGATCTACGACAGACTACACTTCCTTCTTCGTGATCTTGATGAATACCTTCAATGATCCACGACCTGACGACACTTCCTTCTCTGCGTGGAATCCTGGCGAACGGCTATAATTGTACATCGCTGGAGATCTCTTGCACATTTGCCTCTATTAATCTGCAAATTTGTTAATAAATGACAATATCTGGGACTCGAACCTCAGACCTCTTCGTGTAGAAACATTAATCAACCATTGGTCAACCAATGGGCCAAAGTGGCTTCCACTACAATTATCTTTTTATAGTTTTAAAATTAATAAAAAAAAAAATTCGTTTCACACATGTTTCGATAAAATTGCCACATGTCACGATCTTATGAGTTATTGACTTTGAAAACTATATATAAAATTGAAAACCATTCAATGGAATTTGCGTTCATAAAGTTTTGACAAAGTTCAGTTTGTTTTTATCTTATGAATTTTTAGGTTAATTTAATTGACCTTTTATATTATTGGTATAAAGAACTAAAACATCAAAATCTTAGCCAAGGAATCCAACATCCATGACTCTTAAGTCTAAAATATCACTAAAACCTCTGCAACTTGTCAGCTCTGTTCAAAGGCAACTGTGTGGCCAAGGCGAGCCGTCCAGATTGTTTGTAATCAAAGGGACACGAATGCTCCTCCGGATACCGATGTGACCCGCAAAACATGTGTCCGCATCTACAGTTGAATGCCAACATTCCTACCTTCCTCTTACATATCCCACATCTCCTTTTTCTGACCGGTTCTTCTTCAGCCACGGGACTACTTGTAAGAGGGCAACACTGTGATTGCTCGGTCTTGGGTTCGAATCTTAAAGCGGTCGAGTGTTGAAGAACACTGTGTTTGTAGCAGAGAGAGCATAGATTGTTGTTCTTTCGGGTTCCGTAGAGTCCACAGCCTCCCTCGCATGGTAATTAATGCTTCTGTTTCGTTCACATTCATCATCTTCTTTAATTTCTTCTACTTCTCGCGCTACTTGTTATGAGAGACAATTCAAGATTTTGTGTGAGCTCTATCAACGAGTCTATAGTTTTAAATATATAGAGGATGTCTATTAATGTTCTTAGTTCTTCCGGAATTCTGTAGGGCAATTAAGTTTCCTTTTTATAACACAATTCGATAAGTGTTTCCTCTTTTGTAATACTAATTTACGTTCATTAAGTTTTTCCTTACTTGTAATAACGTTTCTTATTTCATACCAAAAAAAATAAAAATTAACGTTTCTTATTGTAAGTTGGTATTGATTTGCCTTTCGGTATATAAATAAGAAAGGAAAAGTTACATTAGAAACTTCGATAGATTATTTCATAAGAAGGAAACTGAGAAGACGTGTTTAAAACTTCCAACAGTCATAATAAATCCAATAAAGAAAAATGTTGACTAATGTAAGAAAAAAGACAAACCAAATAAATACCTAATCCAACTTGATAATTAGACAGCAGCAGCTTCCTGGTAGTTTCTAAAACGTCGGTCCGTTTACTAAATACAATAAAGAGTTGCGTGCCGTTTTCACTATCATAAGGAGTACTTAATTAGTTGTAAGTAAATACTACCTGATTAGACAATTCCACATGGTGATCTTTGATTACCCCACCACCGCACGTGAATATGGAATACCTTGTTTAGTTTCATTATCAAATTACAACATAAACGCGTTACTAAATACTACTTAATGTCTCTATCAAAAGCCACGCAACAACAGACGAGCATTTAAATCTCCACGTGGGCTAACCCGGTTCGGTTTCATTATCCGGGGCTTCGTCTGAATTTGAATTTGAGTTTTTTCAAATCTTCCAAATATTCAAAAAAAATGAAAAAGAAATAAAATATTGTTCAGTTATTCTTTCTATGGTTCTTGTTTGATAGAAAGAATAACAGGTTTTGGATTTGTCTGTGTGTTTGGATTAGTATTCGGTTTAACCAATCAAAATTCGAAACCTTAACACGTAAACCATGATGTAATGATCTAATTAATGATCAATTAAATGTAGAAAAAAAAAGATTAATAAGCAAAAATTCCATTTTCGCAACAGCTCAAACGTTTTCTTCTCTTTCCGATTTAATCTGAAAACTGAAACAAACACAAAAGCAACGATTTTTTTTTTTTTTTGGAAATTTTTTCCTCTGTTTATGGTTCAGCTTCGGTTTACTAAATCCATATGCCGTCACGATCAATCTCGGCGCCGGTTCCGGCTCCGGCTCCGATCGTTTCCTCTTTAGCCCCAGCAGCGCCGTTGGGACATCAGAATAGGACAACGCGAATCTTTCCACCGTTAGTGGCGGCTGGAGCCGGCGCCGGTTTCTCTCTCTTCATCACTCTCTCCGTCTGTTTCTGCAAATTCAGCCGGAAACGTTCATCACCTCCGGCGGAAAACGCCTCCTCTTCGCCTCGGAAATCACCGCCACGTGAGTTTTCCTATTCGTCTCTCCGTCGCGCCACCGGCTCTTTCTCGCCAGCGAATCGTCTAGGTCAAGGCGGATTCGGCGTCGTATTTCGTGGAACTATCTCCGGCGGCGAGAATGTAGCCGTTAAAGTAATGGATTCAGGATCTCTTCAAGGAGAAGGTGAGTTTCAGAACGAGTTGTTCTTCGCCGCCAAGCTTGACTCGCCTCACGTTGTCCCTGTTATTGGCTTCTCTCACGATCGAAAACGACGACGTTTGCTTCTTGTTTACAAGCTCATGGACAATGGTAACCTCCAAGACGCGTTGCTTCACCGGAGATGCCCTGAGCTTATGGATTGGAATCGGAGGTTTTTGGTTGCGGTTAACGTTGCGGATGGGATTGAGCACCTTCATAGTCTTGAACCACCTGTGATTCATGGTGATATAAAGCCTAGCAATGTTCTATTGGATAATCTCTTCTCTGCCAAAATCGCTGATTTTGGTCTGGCTAGGTTGAAACCGGAGCAAGTGGAGATTAATGTAGCGCCGGAGCGTGATGGTGATGGATCTATGGTTGAAGAAGTAGAGAGTGTTATAACTACTGTGACTGGTTATGAAGATTTTAACTTTGGGTTGGTTGATCAGTCGCCGGAAAGTGTTGCTAAGGTTCCTGGGTCTGTGAGTGCTTCGCCGGAGACAACGACGGTTGTCTCTGTTTCTCCGGAAATGGGGGAGAAAACGGATGAGGATGGTGGTAGTGTTGTGGTGACAAAGAAGGGGAAAGAGACTGAGAGCAAAGATTGGTGGTGGAAGCAGGAGAGCAATGTTGAAAGAGGGAAAGTGAAGGAGTATGTGATGCAATGGATTGGTTCAGAGGTTAAGAAGGAGAGACCGACCAGAGCCGATTGGATTGAGGCGACAGCTTTGTCTTCGTCGTCAAGTAAGAAACTTGAGAAGAAGACTAGCAAGAGACTAGAATGGTGGTTGTCACTAGAGGAAGAGGATGAGAAGAAGAAGAGGAAGAAGCGAAGGATGGTTAGAGAGTGGTGGAAAGATGAGTATCGTAGAGAACTCGCTAAGAAAAAGAAGAAGAAGAAGAAGACGACTTTAGAAGCTGAATTTTGTAGTGATGATGGGAGTAGTAGTGTGAGTCAATGGCGGCGTGGTAGTGGTAGTGGTAGCAGCATAGATTGGTGGTTAGATGGGTTAAGTGGTGAACGATGGTTGAGAGCAAGGGGAAATAGCCATGACTCGGTGAGCGGTGAGATAGCTAAGAGCTGTGGAATCAGTAGCACGCCGAGCATGAGAGGAACCGTGTGCTATGCAGCGCCTGAGTATTGTAACTTAGAAAACAATGTGTCTGAGAAATGCGATGTCTATAGCTACGGTGTTCTGTTGTTAGTTCTGATTTCCGGGAGGCGCCCGTTGGAGATGACAGGATCCGCGAGCGAGATCCAACGGGCAAACCTCATGTCTTGGGCGAGGAAGCTGGCGAGAAGAGGGAAACTTGTTGATCTTGTAGACCAAAAGTTGCAAAATTTAGACCAAGAACAAGCGGTGTTGTGCATAAAGGTGGCCTTGTTGTGTCTGCAAAGGTTGCCGATTTCACGACCGTCAATGAAAGAGGTTTTGGGGATGCTTAAAGGAGAAGTGAATCTACCAGAGTTGCCTACCGAGTTCTCACCATCGCCGCCATTGAAGACGGTGAGGAAGCAGCGCCGTTGATTAACTTAAGTATCACTTTGGTTAACTTTAGTTTTAGGAACTTTGAATTTAATTTCACAATACTTTCCAACTTCTTCCAAGTTAGTCTGTTTTTTCCCTCTTCAAACGCATTATTGTTTATTGACATTGATTCTTACTTTCTTAGTTATGTAATTTTTTTACACGTTTAAACTTAATGTCATACACTTCTTCAAATCGGACTTACATGGGACTGGATTATCAGCTGAAGAGGCTAAAAACTTCTTCCACCTCCAAAAATCAATCATTCAAGGTCACTCACACACTTACACTCACACAAACCCTATGGGCCTAATAGTTTTAAGAGTACTGTAAACCAATCGAGTTAATACGAAATTGGGTCACGTTGGGAGCCGGCAGTTTGTGTTCTTTATATATATGGACACGGGCCTTGCTGAGCCCATCTTCAATCTTTCTTATATGTTTTCTTCTTAAAATTTCTTGAATTATTCTTCTTTATTTCTATTTATTGGGATTTGGGCACATATATATATATATATATATATATATATATTCATAATTTGGCCCAGCTTCCAAGAATACTAGATATTTGGAAGTTTGGAACCTGCATTTACCATGTATCAGATTCTTTTAAAACTCAATTATTAAAAAATGTCATACATAAATTGATTAGAATATTCAAAATAGTTCACTAAAAAGTAAATAGTTTTGCAACAATATTAATTAAAACAAATGGAAAAGCGTTATAGTTATAGTAATGTTAGTTTTGTTTTTCATTTTAGATTATTCATTTGCTTTCGGCTTGGGTGGTCGTTAAAAAACAATTGCACCAGAGCAATATGAAATAATGACATATACTTTTTATTTAGCATCCAGAAAACAAACAATAGCAGTAACTAATTCTTATCAAATACTACTACATTATGTCCTATATATTTTTATAACGTTAAATAGATCATATTTCTCCATAATTAAAAGTGATATTCAATCATTTTTGGGAATAAGGTCCAAGATATGTATGGCCTCAGAGCTGGTACCTGTGTCAGAGATATCAGAAATCTATGATCGTACAATTTGATATGTATATATAATAAGAAAATAAACATGTCATTGTACGATCTCTAAAAGAATAATTGAAAATGATAAATAGTAAGAAATGGAATGTTGAAGGGAACCTATTAGCATTGATTAAAGTGATAAGAAATTAATGATGAAGCAGAAAAACGTCATTGCTTACCCTAATAAACCTCTTTTTCCATCTTTTTTCCGATACGTCTACCAATAACGCATACTTTTTTCTTGATTTTTTTAATATTATAAACAAAACCCTTTTACTAACTTTTTTCCGACTCCCATCTTATTCAACTTTACAACAAATCCCTGATTAGAGCAAATTCATGATTAGAGCAAATCCCAGAGCACAAGATCAGATCCTGCTGTCTCATCATCACCATTATTGTAATTACAAGAAGAATCTTTGTCACAATATATAATTAACGTATAGACTTTTAGATGAATACTTTTGATCAGGAGAAGAAAAGAAGGCGTAGTAAAAAGCCGAGAGTTAGTAGTGAAGAAAACATGGAGAAAGTACACAAAGAAGTTGAGAAACAAAGGAGACAAGAAATGGCTTCTCTTTACACGTCTCTCCGCTCTCTTCTCCTGTTGGAGTTCATCCAGGTCAAAACCCTAAAAATTCGTCTTGCTTTTGATTCTTCATTTTTTTTTTTTTTGTTAATGAAAAAACTCCACAAGTATGCTTTGTCGCTTATTTTGTTAAAATGAGTCACTAGAACTCTAGCTAACAACACTTCAACATCACAATATCCGATCCTAAAGATAACAAAGCTAAAGTTGACCTCTACATTTCCTCTCTTTGTTTGGTTTTTTAGGGAAAGCGTTCGACAGCAGATCAGGTGAACGGGGCGGTGAATTACATTGAGTATTTGCAAAGGAATATCAAGGACATAAGTTCCAAGAGAGATGACCTCGTGTTATTGTCTGGACGAAGCTTTGGGAGTAGTAATGAACAAGACTGGAATCAGATTTCGAATCATGTCGTGATCATTCGTCCGTGTTTGGTCGGGATAGAAATCGTATTTAGCGTTCTCCAAACGCCGTTCTCAAGCGTTCTCAAAGTGATTCGTGAACACGGTCTCTGTGTTCTTGGCTGCATCTCTTCCAGTGTAAATGATAAGACTCATTCACACTCTACAGGCTGAGGTACAATATCTCGAGCTTACTAATTTCACAGCAATCGAAACATTACTATAACTTTACTGAGAATGTAGAGCAACACTTATATTTCTAACTTTATGTTTTGGATCCTGTCGTCTTACAAACCCCAATGGTGTTTGTGTCCTAATTTGGAATGGAATATAAGCATACATTTCTTCATAGCTCTTTGGCATTACTTATTGGGACAAAGTATATTTTTGAGTTAATATGTGGAGTTAATCTTCCTTAATGTTTAGGTCAACGATCTGGCTTTGATCGACTTAGCAGACCTTAAGGATACACTTACCCTAATGAAGTAATTAAACGTTTTTTTCAGTAGATTCCTTTTAACTTCTCCAACCAAAACGATGTACATATGGTTTCTTAATACTGCATTGTGTCTTTTTATTTATATTTGTGTTTTGCAGATTTTGAAAAGAAATAATGTACTTCTTCTCAAGCTACATATTTTATAAGGTGTATATAAGGGTACCTACGCTGTGGAATCATGATATACTCTCTGTTTTTATAGTTTAAATTTTGTTTGAAATTAGTTGTTATTCTATGTTTATGCAGATTTTTGTCAAACTTTACAAATTTATCTCTTTTGTTGTACCTTTTTAATTGATGATATCGAATAAAAATATATTAATTAAGAGTAAAACATAAAACAAAATATTATCTTAATATGCGTGAAAAACCTTAAACAACAATTAATTTGAAACCTTAATTAAACAATTAATTTGAATGGTGGAATTTAATAAGCTAAGTACACATAAAAATATTAATGGTATAATTTATAACAGAATAAGTTTGAGATATTACTATTGTATGTTGCCTTGTTGGTGTGAGTAGCATCACAAAAGATGATAAAATAGTATTTAGAACAAAATTTCTAATGAATATAAGCCTTCGAAAAAATTGTTTCCCCGACACATTACATTAAAAAAAGAAATCCATATTTTAATCGAAAACTACAAAAAATAAAAGCTACTAAAAACTATTTCCATATTATCGATCCATCCAAAAAAAATAGAATTAACTTCTAGAAACTCATCGATTTAAATGTGTATATAAAAATAACTAAAAGATTTTGAGATTATATAATACTGAAAATATTAGTCGAAAATTGATTTGCATTATACAAATTAAAGACATGAAACGAGGTAAAGAAAAACCCATTTGTAATCTAAAAATGTGAAATTCCTTTTTATGAAATCAGAAACATAAAAAATTTTGCATATTTATCGGCGATGAAACAAAATTTGCAAATCTATTGGCGATGAAGATTTATGAAAAAAATGTAATTTAACTGTTAGAAAATTTATGTAGACAAAAAGAACTGTTACCATAAATTATGAATTGTTTACAAATCATAGTATACAAATTTGTCTACATGATTATGAATTATGTAGACAAAAAGAATTGTTAATTACAAACTTAGGTTGTGTACTATGATTTGATTCTTGCAAATGGTTAATTAGGGTGTACGCACTCCGATCCGGATTTGTAATCTCTAAATTAACTAATGATTAGACAGTTGATACAGGAGAAAAAGGAATAAGGAATTGATTGTGCCGCTTAGGCATGTCAATCGGACTAGCCCGGTCCGAAGCCCGCAAAATCCGTACATATTTGAATCCGGTCCGGCCCGGTCCGTAAAAATTCCGAGCCTATATTTTAAAGCCCGGCCCGGCCCTAACAGGGCTACAGGGCTTTTCCGGGCTTTTTTGGACTTTTCTTCCGACAACAAAAAATAAATTTATAATTTATAATATCTCTTAAAAAAATCTATATATGAAACGAGTCAATCAAAATTTAAATAACCATTAACGCTAATTTAGTTTTTTAAAAAGAGAGTTAAAATCAAATAAATAATCCAAATAAATTGTTTAAACTTATACTAGATAAAATATAAAATCAAAATAATTCAAATTAGGTAGTAGAGCTAATATTTGCTTTTTCAATTTATAGTAATACATAACGAAAAACTATGTTTAGGGTTTTCAACTCTATCAAAAATTTTTTTTACAACAAATCTTACAATTAAACGAAAATATTAACAAAAAAAAAGATCAAAATATTTTTAAAGGGTTTTTCGGGCTAGTCCGAACTCGGCCGGATTAAGCCCAAAGAATCCTTTAGCCCGAATGGACTTAGTCCGAAAGACCCGATTTTTTCTAGACATATATTTTGAAACTCGAGTCTGCTGTTTTTCAGAGTTGGGCCGAGCTATCCCGCGGGCTTTGGTCCTAATTGATATGTGTAGTGCCGCTTAGTTGAAAAATGAAAACGGGTACATCTATGATCGATTTAAATATTTTAACTCTGGAACTGTTGACTTTTCTTTTATTAGACTTTTGGTAAACAATTGCAGCTAAATGAGTAATCAAATTTGTTTATAAATAATTTTTTAAAAAGTATTGTACGGGCCCGGCCTTGAGGGTTTGGGCGGAATTAGAATTTTAAAAATTGTGTCATTTTAAAGCTTAAACATAAAAAGATTGTTTTAGAGAAAAACTTAATACTGTAATAAAGTATGATGACGCTAATAAAGAATAGAGCTGGCGATATTAGTAATAATTTTGTGTTGTCAACAATCTACCACATCATTAGGGTACTTTAACTTCAAACACCATATTTTAATTCGTCTGAATAAAGTTTAAAAATAAAATAAAAAAATTGGGTTGTTACTGTAGAAATTGCGGCCCCTGTTTGCAACCGTCCGATAGAAAAGTCTAAAGAGATGGTCTTTAGTTTAGTCTTGACTCTTACTAACGCACTTTGTGTATGATCAGGAATAATATAACTTTCCATAATCCATATTTCCCGACAATCATCGATTTGACATGCGACATTAGGTCATACGTAAAAAACAACGTGCTTCTAAGTTTTAATTATAAAATATATAAGATTAAAATTGGCCATCTGATATATACTTTTTGGGAGCTAGGGGGAAATGCATCTCATCAAGTGTCAAGTCCCAGATCACATTACCAATTTTGAAAATATAAGTATTTGCATTGTTAATGTCACCTTAACTGTAATAAAACTAGAGAAAAAACTCGTGTCTTAGAAACAATTTACAAAGGTTGATTGGTTCTCCTTTGACCATTTGCAAACATTTTGTCTGTAGACAATTGCGGTTATACGCATTTAATATCAATCATAAGAACTATTATATTTTTGCTAAAATAAGAATTATTATATACAGCCTCATAAGACTTTAAATAAATTACATAAAGAGGAGCTTTTGAACGTATCATATAATATAAGTGAATGAATTATCTTCTTTTTCTTTCTTTTTACAAATTTATACGGTTTAGAAGTTTTATCAGGCAGTATATTAAATTCGTGACAGAGAAGGACTCTCTTAATATGCGTATACATATAAAAAAATAAGGTAGCAGGGGATTCGTGACAGAGAAGAAGGATTTGCTTTGCCTTGAAAGGATAACCCTTTACCAAAAGGCTTACTTTTAAAACAATGGAAACTGTGGAAGGATGTTATCGTATTTATATTCAAAGCATATTATATTTTGTAATAGTATCTTCTTAAGGACAGTATCTCTCTAGATTATAAGTATATCTGATACGCAATGGATATGGTACGTTTAAAAAACATGTGAAAAAGACTAGTTGCAATGTGAGCAGGTGTAAGGATCGGAGCCCACATGCGACCATCGCAACATCATCAATGGTTGAGATTTGATCTTTGTTTTCATGTATCCGAATCTTAGGACATGGTTGGGCTTTCACGTCAAATAATTACATTCTTCAGTCCCTCCTAGTCGTATGAGAGCATAATTTCTTTAGGGAAAATGTGAATTGTGGCATTTTTTTATTAAATGGCAACTGTTTGCGTTTTAGTCACTAATTCTGTATCCGTTTGACAATTATATTTGTATATATGTACATTTTCTTTCTTTCTTAAACTTTATATATCTATTACTGTTATTTCATGGCAAGAGACTGATTCGCATGAAAGGAAAATTTTGTTGGATGGTAGGGCGAAAGTTGTTATAAAATAATAAAAGGAGAAATATCAAAAATACTCATTTTCTAATATCACATTTTAAAAATTCCTGTTCTTTAAAACTTTTGCAAAAATGTTCCTAAAAATGACAAATATACAGAAATACGTGTGTAATATTATTAAAACATACACAAATTATTTATATAGAAAATCTTATAAATATCTTACAAATATTTTATAAATATTTTGTTAAATCTTATAAATACCTTTTAAATACCTAGTACAATTTTATAAAATACTTTATAAAATTTTTATAAATACTTGGATCGAGCCTCCACGTTGTTACTATCCAGAAATACCTTATAAACCTTATAAAACTTTATAAACTTCTTAGATTTAGTAATGGATATTTTTGAAAATGAACACGTAAATGGAGCATTCTTGAATAGAAAAAAATGGTATTTCTTTAATATGTTCATAATAATTTGACACTAATTTGAAAACATTGTAAATATAATTTAATAAATTTATTTATAAAAATATTTGTTTTGTTATGTATTGACGAATTAAAACTTATAATCTAATGGTATGTAGTTTTGTTATTATTGATTGTGTTAAAAATCAGGTTGAAATCCGTATAATGATTAATGCATGATACTGGTGCGAGTAAAAAATTCTTTTGAAATATAGAGGACCTTTTTACACACATGTCACCGATGGCCGGTCAAGCCCGAGGCCATTATTAAAACAACTGATAAATATTTATGAAAAGAAAAAAAGAGTAATTCAGGAACCTGCATTATTTGGTCCTCCTGATGTGTAATTATTTAATATTTAAATAATGGTCCTCCCTCTCACCTAAGGAGATATTGAGAACCATCTGATTCTTTTAAGGCATCACATCCTTCAACAAGTAAACAATAAAAGAAATTAAATTACCATAAGACAGAACCACAAAATCCTTTTGAGATCTGACATTGCTAAAGTATCAAACTATGGATCCTTATCAGAATCTTAATCCGAAAGGGTACCAGAGACAGAGACCGTTTAGCTTATCCGGCGAGGGCGGCAGCAGCGGCGGCTCAGGTATGCCACATGAAACAGATGACAATAAGAAGAAGAAGAAGCTTCTCCACCGCGACATCGAACGCCAAAGAAGACAAGAAATGGCTACACTCTTTGCTACTCTTCGTACTCAGCTACCTCTCAAATACATCAAGGTTCATACTCTTACTCACTTTTTTTTTCTCAAATTTTATTTACGTTTCCTTATATCAATTGTTCGAAGAAACCCAGATTTGGTGAGATTTGGCTGCTAGGGTTGTCAATATGTCCCTTTTTGTATTTAATTTAATTTTGTATTTGTATCTTTATTTATAGGGAAAAAGAGCTGTTTCGGATCATGTAAACGGAGCGGTAAATTTCATAAAGGACACGGAAACACGGATTAAAGAACTTAGTGCAAGAAGAGACGATCTAAGTAGAGAAACAGGTCAGAGATATAAATCCAATCCGGATTCAGCAAACAGTACTGGATCCGATTTAGGCAGATCGGAGCCGGCGACTGTGATGGTGCAACCACACGTGAGCGGTTTAGAAGTGGTAGTGAGCAGCAAATCCTCAGGTCCCGAAGCTTTGCCTCTCTCAAGAGTGCTCGAGACACTTCAGGAGAAAGGGCTTGAAGTCATGAGCTCTCTCACCACAAGAGTCAATGAGCGGCTTATGCACACTATTCAAGTCGAGGTATGGTTACAACATGTCAATCCAAGTTAATCTAGGGTTCTCATTATATCTAACTATATTGATCAATACAGGTTAATAGTTTCGGATGCATAGACTTAGCTTGGTTGCAGCAAAAGCTAGTTGAGGATTTGATACTTTCGACGGAGTACTAATCAGACGCAACATTCGTAGTCCTAAGGACCTTCTTCATCGTATGATCTCTTTTACCCGAGCTCTAAGTTTTGTTATATGTAGGTGTGAGCTTTAGCTAAATCGAAACTCATTTCAAAATTATTGTCCTTTTTAGATTTGGTATTGAAGCTTGTTAGTGGAATATACAACAGTTTTTTTTTCGTAGATATCATATGTCCATAGCTCCAATAATTATTCTCTTGTTCATACACGTATATATATATGTACTTAGAGCAAATGTGAAAGTCATTATATCGACGCTAGATTTTTCACATGTTACTAGTTCATCAATGGGACACAAATATATGCAATGTTCGATATGGTGTAGTTTTGTTCATGCATTTTAATTACAACATAACAGCTATGGTTGATGTTCTAATTAACTAATCTCACAGTATTTTTAATGCAGAACAAATGTCTAAAGTCTTCTTGAAATTTCATCTTGAGAGCAAGGAAGGTGCATAGGTTTTAAAGTTCATTCGTGGATTGAGGTGTAGCTTTGGTTTAAATAAGTACAAGTGTATACCATGCTGTTATGTTCAAACGGATTTTATGGGTAGATCGTAACTTCACCATGATTAGCCTGATTCGCCGCCTTAAAGACCAAGGGTGTGATGTTTTCAGTAGAGCATTTTTTTCGCACAGATAAGCGAATTTTCGTTTCCCTTTCATTATAACATTTTTGTATCATTCCATTGTTATGTTTTCTTGCATTTTTTAGAATGGAAATAAGGTTTTATATAATACATATGCATGAATCACTAAGACCTATATTGGAAGGAAAATCGGAAGGGCATAGTAAAATAAAGGCCAATACAATAACATCGGATGAGTATGAAGCAAGTGTAGGTGGGAACCATCTTTTGGGCTCTATTATAGTCGGAATCTGCAAGGATGTTTCCAACCTAACAACTGATTTCTGTACGCTATCAGTATCACCTTGGTGAGCTTCCATATTTTATGTGAATTGTTCACACATAAAACTGCGAATTTGAGAAGGAACATAACTGTTATCTCTACGACATACTGAGTTATATCATAGAAAGATCTAGAGACAATTGAAGTAATAATACTAACCACGAGAAAACATATCGTTTGGGCAGTTTGAAAGTGGTAAGATACAAGTTCCAGATAACTAATATATCAACAGATCGATAGTAATACTACCCACACAAAAAAAAAGATCGTTTGAGTGTATATATACGTGCATGAGTTGATAACCCTAACACAAACATACATACTATTTTGAAATTTTAAATGACTAATATACGCAAGTATCAGGATACGTGTAAATTCATAAGCACATGCCTCGCATCATAAATGCCATAACAAATGTGAAACTCAGACCACTTAATTATACAAGATTATGATTTATACGATGCTTTTTCGGAAATAAGAAGCATTTTGCCAGTTGCCATAAATAAAAGCCTAAGTTCAATGCATATAATAGAACCACCTTATTATTTTCTAATCTTGACTTTACTTTTGTTATTCAAGAATCAAAAATTAAAGATATTCTTATTTTTTGTTAAGATACTTTAGAAGATTATCTAATATTCAATCTTCCTTTATTTTGTAATTCAAGATACGACACAGTATTATACATATCCCCAAAATCTTGGTTTCTTTTGCCTCCTCTTTTTCTAAGTACCCATAAGCATATGAACAGAATCACATATTATTTTAATAAAATCTCATTATTCTAGATTTAAATATCCACTTTAATTAATACACGTCACGAACTTGAGCGAAGTTGACAATAGTTCTAATGTTTTAAGCAATTACTTAAGAGATACGCATGATGAGTGGTTGAGATCTCCCTAATATTCGTTTGTATCTTTAGTTATATCATTATTGGTTGTTAAATTAATTAATTATCAACTAGGAGTCTTATTTTAATTTTAATTTAAATGTGTGGTTGTTTAAAAAATTTCGTTTATCAAACTTTGAGATGCCGTCCCAACAATAAAAAGAAGAAGAAGAGATGCCGTCCAACAAATTCATGATCATCAAATCGGATTGTGTTCCGAAAAAGATAGTCCCAGACAATATCTTAATGTTGTATTAAGAATTAATACTAATATTTAACCTATATTATTCTGTGGAAGCACTTTTAGCCTATTGGTTGATCAAAAGTTCATTAATGCTTTTACATCCAGAAGTTTGGGATTCGAGTTCCAGATACTGCGATTTATTAATAAATTGCATATTATTGGAGGTAAGTATGTAAGAGATCTCCAGCGATATACAATTATAGCCGTTCGCCAGGATTCTACACAGAGAAGAAAGTGTCCATCAAAACCATGAAGAAAGAGGTGAAGGAGGTGAAGGAGGTCGTGTATCTAATAAGGATCGGAAGGAATTGTCTGTTATAGAATCGTCTACTTAACAGTTCTTATAATTTGCAATAAATAATAAATCTAGACGAAAAAAAAACCTATATTATTCCCAAAGGAAAACCAATAACAATAATATAGAAAATAGAAACATTAATTACGCTGCAAAAAAAAAAAAAAATTAACTCCATCTCTATCATCAGTTCAAAATTTAAACTACATTTTATCAAAAAAAAAAAAATTAATTAATTAAATAACTCGTAGTCTTAGAGTTTTGAATCTTTTGATGACACTACACTTTTTCAGTACATTAATTCTATAAACACTATATTTTATAAAGGGTTCACGTTATCTTTTTTCACATTCATAAAACGATAAAATCACTAAGAACCACTAAAATGGAAAACTTTATAATAATTTTTTAATTGGCTGATTTAATCGATATTTTTTTTTTGATAAAGGATTTAATCGATATTTAATTAAGTTTTTAGACGGATCTAATGATGAAAAAAAACTACAATAGTTAGAGAGCAAGACATGAGACAAACCTAGCTAATATGTGTACATATGTTCTAGTTTTGTACTTATAAGTATTGTTGATAACTTTTTTATTTGTGTGTGTCCGTGTGGGGTTTAATTTAACCCCATAATATATGATAGTGATTTGAAGCCAAACATATCCTCATGTACACGTACATGATCATTATGTATTTCTCGATCAGTTGGTGTCATGTCCGAGAGATTCAGAAATGGAATGATCCAGTTTTATCTGTGTTATATTTATATATATGATTATAAACTAAGGACGATTTCTTACCTACCCAATCAATGATTTTTGGTTGAACAATTCGAAAAAGTTCTAAAGAACAAGTACATATGTGAAAACATACAGACCTATAAGTCTATAACTAGTTTGCTATTCCGTCTATCGTTTTGTGTTACTTCCTATATAATATGGTCAATGTTGAGTTGTAAATTGAAGTAAATCAAATAATAGTAAAGCTTTCTTTTTCCTATAAAGATATTATTGAAGTTTTTCTGCTTGTATTCCAAAATACGTAGTTGCGCGCATATATTAATAGCACGGCGAGCCGAAACTATTTTAGTGCTTAAAGCAAAACAAAAGTGACCCACTAATAAAAACTGTTGAATGGATAATACAAGGTTTGACCGCTACACTACTTCGACGTTTTCAGAAGTTGATGCCTCTAAAAAGTTAATAACCATGAGATATCTAAAATCCTTGCTTTACGAGTTTTAGTCCAGGACTTGTGTGAGATAGTGATAGCATATGTCAGAGAAAAACTAACGCAAAAGATTATATATGAAATATTAGATTTTCCCATGTATAAGATAGAGAGACCAAGTGTCCTTACCTCAACTGGTAAAGATCTTAGGCGAAGCGTAGATGTCGCCGGTTCGAATGACGTTTGAGACGAAACTAATATTACATGTTGTGATTTCGGGCGTAGGGAGATTACGGCATTTGTCTCAGAATCTCCTGGTATTCAAAAAAATAAAAATAATAGAGAGAGATGAAACTGAATCTCGGTAAAAAAAATTCTCCATTCAAGTGTTAAATGAGATACAAATTAAGGTTAAATACAAGTGGAACTAAACCACTATGCTAACCGAACTATACAAAAGATTAAACCAAGATAAAACCAACTATATATATATATATACATTCTCTAATATGAAGTCTATCGAAATTAGAGGCAGGGATAAGAAAACATCCAAAATTTGCAGAAGTATATAAACATGATTTTCGGACCATGCCAAAAGAAAAAAAGAAAACAATGATTTTCAAGATCTACGGATGAGGTTCAACCGTTTAAATTTAAAATGGACGGATGGGCTACTAACCTAATAAATAATAGTGGACTTGCCCATTAATATTTAATAGCCCATAAGGAGAACGCGACGCTACTCGATTTCTGTTAAGGATAAATTTATCTTAATTTATACTTTTAGTGTTTAAGCAAATTAACCTAACACGATAATCTAAAATATGAAAGAAACATGCATCATGTACTTTTCAAAGTAAACTAAACGTGGGTAGTGCTGGTCCATGACATCTAGGTTTGTCGTTTGTCATTTGTCATTTGTCAATTAGGACAGTCACTGAAGCCCAAAACCTATGTAACCTTATCCCCAAATTTTGGACTTTTTGGACTAAGACCATTCTGGCTGGGATGTTTTTCCGGGTTTAGCCCAAACTCAAAGGTCTTAGAAAAAGAAATGGAAATTAGATGATGTCCCTCTCGATGGTTCTAGTCCTTATCTCGATCTTTTGAAAATTCTGATCTAATCAAAACGTGTCCTATCGAGTTTGACATGCAAATTCTTGCTGATCCACTATTTTCTATACCGAACCGCAAAAACATGCTAATCTTATCTAGGCATATCCTCACGAGTTCAGCATGCAAGTCACTTATACTTGTTATTAACATAAAACTGTTATTCTCAGCAACGTCGACCAACATAGAAAACAAATTTTAACGTCTAAGAAAAGAAGGCCGGGTGATCGCTGGTCCAGAATTGGTCCTCCCCGGCTACATGTTTATTTTTAGTCATTTGGCCGATGATGAGGGGCGGATCTTCTACACTTATTAGGTGCACTCCTAACCATTTTACCACGTTCATTTTTTTATTCTGTGTAGAGTAAATTCAATTATTTATATTTTACTGGAAATGCACCTACACTCCATAACGTGAGTTTTCCCCGGGACGATTGCCAGACTAGATCATCTCCGGTGACAAATTTTATTTACATCTTTCGTTTTGAATCTTCTATTAGGCAGCTTTGACCTATGACTTCAAAACATAATTCAAAATTTCACTGTTACGTTTGCACGGGAAAGCTAACTCTATCTCACCAGATAGGAGAAAAATCATCCAGACCGTGGTAAGGTTGGTCTTGGATGCTATCGTTTTAGATATCTGATATATCTCTCCAAAAACTTTTAAAACGAACAGACGGTGAAAAAAATGAATAATGGTCGATATTTCCTAGGGTCATCAGGGTTTTTGCCTCTCGGCATCTTAATCGCTTTTTTGACCTTGGTTTCAATTTTTTTTTTTGTTTCGATGGATCACTGGACTAAAAATTCATTGTTGAAATTGGTAAAAACTGGTTGAAATTGTTCTAATTACTGGTGACCTTCAATAATAACCAATATTTGACATCGATATGAAGTGTTTGTTTCCTAGAGACCTTATTATAGAAACACGCTCACATGTTTATATATTTATGGACTTTTTTTAACTGTAAACTAAATTTAATTTTAATTTTTTGCTTGGACATGAAAATCAATAAATGTGGTTATTTTGAACAAAAACACGCAAATCCATATATCTATCATTTGGGAGTTGGAAGTCTTATGATTGTGAGAAAGAAAGCATTCTTAGTTAGGCTATATATGGACCTATGTATACAGTATACGGTGTCCCATATGTTTGTTTTTTCTGATGAAACTCCAAGGTGATGCATGATGTGCAAAGTTACTTTCTTTAACCTTATTTTTGTAATCATTTGTCGTAGACATTGGTGTGTTCACTGTGTTTGTATTGATTTGTCTTCTCCGGTTCCCTGAACTTGCTATTAGCTAAACCAATTGTTCCCATATCGATATATATATTCTCGTTAAAATTTAGATGGATATTGATCTTTACAAATATCTTCTTGATTTGTTAAATAGTTGTGGGTGTATTTGTATGGTAGTTTAACGAATGGATTTAATAAATGAAATGCTAAAGGTGTTATTATTGCATATTACCATATATATACATACATGAAATGTATAAAAGATAGTAGTAGCTAGTAACTAACAAGACAAGAGACATGGATATTTTATTTCTTGGGTTTGGTGAGCCAATCTGAGAAGGCTTGGAGAGTGTTCATGTCTGCTCTATAGTGTTTCTGAGTGAACTCAAGGAACATAGACCATGTGAAGTCAGGGTATCTTCTTGATGTGATGCTGTCCAAAAGCTCTGTTGGTGGCTTCACTACTCTGTCATTTTTGGGACACAAGAAGAATGCAAGTGATTTCCTCTCACTCTCGCTGTTCACCACCGCCCGGTGCAAGCAGCTCTTGTATCTATCGTTCGATAGAGCCTACAAAACGAGATTAAGCCCGGTTTAGTAAATGGTGATACCTAGCCAAAGGCTGTGTATATCTAACCAAGATGTGAGGTTTTTTCTTTAGATGGGTTACCATGAAAGTATCGCCGATATTGACCACAAAGGCCTTGGGATTGGGACGAATGGAGCGCCATTGATTTTCCACAAAGACTTGAAGGCCGTTGATATGGTCTTGGTGAAGGATGGTAAGAGAAGTTGGATCACAATGAGGTCCTGTTCCTAGTGTGAGATCTGGTTTCTGACATGGAGGGTAGTAATTCAGTCTCATTATTGAATCATTTTCTCCGAAAAAGTCTCTAAAGTAGTCCCGGTTTACGCCTAAACTTAGCCCCAGAAGCTCCATGATCTTCAGTGAGAGAGAACTCATTGCCTCACAGTACTCTTGATACACCTTCCTGCAACCACAAAACAACAAAAACATAAGTCTTCTACAGTTACGGTACAGTGGTCGGTATGGAAGAAACCGGTTATTGGTTTAAGACGTTTTCTAAAAAAAAACAGAGGAAAGGACAAACGACATGTTAAATGTTTGATTCTTTCTCTTTCTTTTTTTTTTTAGTTTATTGCTCTGTTTTAACTTTTACCCAAATGGCTCAAACCCATGTCCCAACGCATCGCAGAAGTAATCTTGAACAGATTTTGAGCGGCTCTTGTCGTCGCAAAACCGGAAAGAAAGGGTTTCCTTCCATGGAAGCTTGGTGGAGAAGCGGCCGGTGAAACTGCTTGCGTAGCCAACACTCTCGCCGGGTTTTCTAAGAACCCTCTGTTTTTCAGAGAGAGGCATATCAAAGAAACGGCTCGTGTATTCATGAGCGTCTGATATAAGCTTCTCGCTGATGCCGTGATTGACCACGAGGAAGAACCCGTGCTTCTTACAGGCCTCGGAGATTTGTCTGGAAGCTTCTAAAGTGGAGGAAGGAGAAGCAGAAGTATAGTAGTCCTTATCAGAGAGAAGGTTTTGAAGATCGATGAGAGGAACATCAAGCTCGGGTACGTCGATGGAAGGTTTTTCGTCGTCAGGCCAAATGAATTGGTTAGGGATATTGGGTTGAAGGTTAAGCATTGAAGGATTGAAGATTAATGGAGTTTGAATATTTCCAAGGCCTAGTTTGGGTTTGGCTTCTTCTTCCTCAGGAGATGTTGTTACGAAACTTACGGCCATTTTCAGAGATTTCTTTCAACTTCTTGATTTGTTGATGGAGAAATAGTAAATGATGAATGCTTTATATAAGCAAGCATTTAAGTCGATCGTATTGTCCACTTTTTTTTTTTTTTTTTTTTTTTTTTTTCTGTTTTTGTTTTTTAGTAGTAAACTACTATGATGGAGTTATCAAGAGTCAAGACTTTTGCCGCATGTGATAATCCAAAAGACTATATAAGTAAATGAGTTTTGGATTATTCACTGTAATGGAGTTAAATTCGCTAAAACAAGTGGTGGAAAGATGTTAAGGAACTTTACAAGTGGTGGAATGTATCCTAAATTTTAAAAAATAAATCTAGTTAACAGATTAATTTGATATTTGTCTTTGGTTTTTTTTTTTTTTTCTGTCTTTCGTCTTTTGTCTTTTTTTTTTTTCTTTCGGTTTTTATTTTTATTTTTATAGATACTAGGTTATGAACCCCCGCGATATGAGAACTCATTTTCAATAAATATATTTGATTGTGTTTATTTATTAAACTATTATGATAATATATTCAAAAATTTGAATTATTACATAAAATTAACTATGTTTTAACGTAAATATATTCCAAAGATGTTAAACAAATTTATGAATAAAAATGAAAAAAAATAATTATGATTAAAAATACTTTTGAAACAATTTTTGTGAATGTAAAATTATTTATAAGTGACAAAAATAGATCTCATTTTCGACAAAAAAAAAAGGTGAAAAATACATAACAAAGAGTTATAATATAGAGATGAAAAATTCTAGCCGGTCAACCCAAAAATTCAGATGGAGTCTGTACTCAGCATGACTTGTAGGTGACTAAGAACTTTGCTCGAGAATCGGTGTTTTTTGTTTGTCCATTGTTCTTTCAAATATAAAATTAATATTTATTTTATAATATATATTCGAAAGTATATAAAATTTGATGATTTTAAATTTTAAATTACATCTATAACAAACAAATAAACATTTACAAGATCACATTTATTTATATTTAAATTAACTGAATAATAAAACTTCTCTCTTGAATATTCATGTGACGAATTGGAACCATTGTTTTTTTCCTAATAATGGAGATGATTTCTGGATTACTATACTATTTGAAACGGTTTATTTAATGATTACCACATTCAAAGCGCCCAATCACAAGCGTCACATGAGGATGTCTTCTCATATTCCGACTTTGTAATAGTGCTAACTCAACATCAATATTTCGTTGTATACAACCCATATATATTGCTTTAAGATAGAAAGCATCATTGTTACCATATAAAATAGTTAAATAAAAAAAAAGTTACTGTATAATCCGTCAAATTCTAAGAACCAAATTGTTGGTATTTTCATTAGAATTTTATATTTAAAGTTGATTAAAACTTCCCCATTTTTATAATCACTCCAAAAAACTTTAGTTAAATGAGAAGAATTCTTTTAATATTAAGATTATGTATGTTTAGAAATAGTTTAGAGAATAAATAAGTTGGAAGCATTTTACAGATCTTTTTTTGGATTTATAATGAAACAAATAATCTATGTTAAAGAACAAAAGTTTGGGAACTACTTAGGAAGAAGGACAAATACATAGAGTTCAAATGTCACAATAAACAATTATTCATACAAAAAGTTGTGACGAAAAAAGTACAATGAAATATAGTGAAGAGACGTAACTTTAAATGAATAAATGCAAATATAAAGATACAACCGTAAAATAAAAAAAATATGACTATAATTTAACAAATAGATTATAGAACTATCCCAAAAATATTTCCGTCAATATTTAACAAAAATATGCGATAAAAACTAAAAAGACACAACTTAGAAAAAATAAGCGTCAATATTTTATCGGAAAGTTGCGATAAAAATACACAAACAAAAAAAGTTACCGTCAATATTTTAACAGAAAATTGCAATAAAAAGACACAACCAAAAATATCCGTCAATGAAAAAAAGTAAATGTCAATATTTTAAAGAAGAGTTGCGATGAAAAGATAAAACCAAGAAAAAATAACCGTCAATATTTTTAACGGAAAGTTACAATAAAAAGATACAACAGAGAAAAAATCATCGTCAATATTTTAACGAAAAGTTGAGATAAAAAGACACAACCAAAAAACATAACCGTCAATATTTTAACAGAAAATTAAGATAAAAAGACACAACCGAAAAAAATAACTATCAACGAAAAAATAACAGTAATTATTTTAACGAAGAGTTGCGATCAAAAGAGACACCCAAAAAAAAATAACAGTCAATATTTAAACGAAAAGTTACGATAAAGATACACAAACGTAAAAAGTAACTGTCAATATTTTAACGGAAATTTACGGTAGAAAGATACAAAAAAGAATAACCGTCAATATTTTAATGAAAAGTTACGATAAAAAGACACAACAAAAAAATAACCGTCAACGGAACGAGTAAACGTAATTATTTTAACAAAGAGTTGCGATCAAGAAGACACAATCTAAAAAAAATAACCGTCGATTATTTTAACGAAAAGTTACGATAAATAGACACAACAAAAAAATAACCGTTAACGGAAAAATAACCGTAATTATTTTAACAAAGACTTGCGATCAAGAAGACACAAACGAGAAAAAATAATCATCAATATTTTAACGAAAAGTTAAGATAAAAAGACAAAAATGTAAAAACTAACCGTCAATATTTTAACGGAAAGTTACGATAAAAAATACATAACCAAAAAAATAACCGCCAACGAAAAAAGTAAACGTCAATATTTTAGCGAAGAATTGCGATAAAAGACACAACCGAGAAAAATAACCGTCAATATTTTAACGGAAAGTTTTGATAAAAAGACACAACCGAGAAAAATAACCTTTAATATTTTAACGGAAAGTTGCGATAAAAAGACACAACCAAGAAAAATAATCGTCAATATTTTAACAGAAAATTGTGATAAAAGTTAAACGAAAAAAATAACCGCCAATATTTTAACGGAAAATTGCTATAACATAACCAAAAAATAACCGTTACCAAAAAAGTAACCATCAATATTTTAACAAAGAGCTGCGAGAAAAAACACAACCGAAAAAGTAACCGTCAATATTTTAACGGAAAGTTGTGATAAAAAGACACAACAGTTTAGAAGTGTAAGAAAAACCATAAATATTTAAACGAAATGTTGCAATAAAAATACGCAACTGTTCAGATTTGCAAATGGTATTTATTGGAAACGACATAACCGTAAAAAAATAACCGATTAAAACAAAAATTGTGATAAAAAGACGCAACCAAAATAACCGTAAAAAAATAACCGATTTAAACGAAAAGTTGCGATAAAAAGACGTAACCGTTCAGATGTGCAAATGGTATTTATTAGATTGCTATTATATATAAATTTTAAAATAAAACTGAACGGTGAAAATGTTTAAAACCGTCCTTTGTCTTTTTCCTACATTTTGTTTTGTTGAGTGGCAACATGGAAAATTACCATTAATAATGAATAGACTACAAACTCAGAGGTCTAGGTCTTTAGGTGTGTGATACTATTTGAATAATTGAATTTACTCCCTTCTGTTTGTGTGAGGATACCCTTTACTATTCCACCAGATTATAGCTCTAACCATTCGTTCAAAACTCCCACAAATTTACTACATATGATGAAAAAATAAGTACAGAGAGGACAATACAAAAAATACCTTAGTTCCATAAGATATTTTATTGAATTAAAATTTGAGACATTTTAGGTTTTTTCTTTATAACACTCCCTCTCTCCTAATTAAAATTTAAATACTCCCTCTGCCCTAATTTAATAGATGTTTTCGTAGTTTTCTTTCTTTTATTCCATTTTATTAGATTTTATCTACTTTCTATTCATAATTTATATTAATTTAATTGTTTATGATTGAATTTTGTAGTATTGTTGTATTGGTAAGATATTTTATTGAATTAAAATTAGAGACATTTTAGGTTTTTTCTTTATAATACTCCCTCTCTCCTAATTAAAATTTAAATACTCCCTCTGCCCTAATTTAATAGATGTTTTCGTATTTTTCTTTCTTTTATTCCATTTTATTAGATTTTATCTACTTTCTATTCATAATTTATATTAATTTAATTGTTTATGATTGAATTTTGTAGTATTGTTGTATTGGTAAGATATTTTATTGAATTAAAATTAGAGACATTTTAGGTTTTTTCTTTATAATACTCCCTCTCTCCTAATTAAAATTTAAATACTCCCTCTGCCCTAATTTAATAGATGTTTTGGTTTTTTTCTTTCTTTTATTCCATTTTATTAGATTTTATCTACTTTCTATTCATAATTTATATTAATTTAATTGTTTATGATTGAATTTTGTAGTATTGTTTGTATTGGTTGAATTTTTTATAAAAGGAAAAAACATTTATTATTTCTTAGTCTTGGTGCTTTTAGCCAAAACATCTACTAAAATGGGACACATAGAGTATTACATAGTTGCATATCAAATCATTTCTATTATCAAATCAAAAGAAATTTAGTAATCAATCGGCTCACAGTGTCGGATTCGAAACTGCGATGGACAGAGGAAGTCGACAGGCGGATCGCAGGGGTTTCACCGAGTGTTGGGGCGATTAGCGGCTGGTCTTCTCATATATGGGCCAGAGGCTGGGATCTATGGTTGTTATTGTTTTGATGAGCCGACGGCCTAACTGCTACCAAGCTAGTTTTTGTCTCGTACGGAGGAAGCATGTTTAGTCTGGGTTTGTGGATCGATCCATTAGAAGTGGAGGTGGGGGCATAGATCCGAGATCTTTTTTGCTGTTAGGTCAAGGATAAGAAAGTGGTGAGTTTGGTGGTCTTCGGTTAGGTCCAGTACAGGAAAAGACTTACATATAAGATCCGACGGAAGTTCTAGTTTTTCGATCCGAATTCGTTAGCTCCGATCGAAGAATCAGAGCCACCGAAGGAGAAGCGTAGTATGGCTTTTTGTTAACGCCAGAATTCTTGATTGTGAGTCATTGTCTCCGGTAACTTGATCCGGATCCGAGCTCCACTTCCGCCTGGCCACCATTTTGCTTTACCTAATTTATGGGTTGTTTGGGGCTTTGTAACCTTTTTTGCCAAGCCATTTGGATTTATAAATATATTTTTGTTTAAAAAAAAAACATTATATGACTCACCATAAACTAAAGAATCAATTACCGCATAAGGACTTTTTTAGTGGCATTTACAAATTTGGCTATTTTGCCTAAACTAATTCAGATTTTTCATTTTCTTATATCTAAAAGCACAATCTATATATACATTTTTTATCACAATTAGCAAATAAATCCTGAAGTTGAGAAGTATTTACAATGACATGCCATTAGCATTAATTATTTAGATTTGTTTTATTTAAGTAAAGATTTTTAATTGAAATTCATTTCTCATATATTTAGCAAAAGTCTCTACAAAATCTTTCCTTATCTATTTAAGTAAAGACAATAATTTACCAAAAATCTCTACACAGTCTTTTTAAAAATCTCGACTTAGTTAACTTCTGATTTTTATCTGAAAAAAAAAAAATTAATTGTAACGAGTGATGTAAAAATCGGGAATGTTGATACTACAATTTCTTCTAATTCTTTTTTTCATATAATGAAAATTATTTTTTAGGGATATTTTCTTAAAACCTCTAAACAAAACAAAGGGTTTCAAAAGATAACTTCTCTTTTGGCGGGTCGACCCTCAAACCCGCAACTCTCTACGGGCTTATCCGCATGAACCTGCGACCCGTAGTGGATAAATATATTTTTCAAAAAAAAATAACAAATGATGTTTAATTTTACGGGACGGGGTTATATGGTGCAACGGGTTTAGATCAATATTAATATTAAACAATATACTATGGATGAAATCCTAGAATTAAAAATCAAAATTTAATTATAAAATCAGAAACACTAAACAAAATAAAAAATATTAACAAAACAAATACAACTTAAAATTTTGCAAAATAATTTTTTAGTTATAAAAAAATCGACCCGCGGTGTACCGCGGGGTAAAATATAGATTTGGAAGTTTAAGGAAGAAAAATCTTTTTTAAAAAATAATAGCTCCACGGTGTAGCGCAAGAAAAATCTTTCTCCTAAACTGAGGCAAGAAGAAGAAGAAAGTCAAATGTCGTTTAAGTGTATATATAGATATACCATTTAAACCTAAAACACAATTAATATACTCAAAACTATTAATATAGATATATGGATGTTACATTTATAAAATAGGTCGAAATATTATATTATACTCTCTAATAATAAACAAAACTAATTAGATTTAGATTTTTTTAAAAAAAAATTATAGCCCCGCGGTACACCGCGGGTTCAAATCTAGTTTAATACATTATATTTGAGTTTATTTGGTTCCATATTTTTTAGGATATCTATATATACATTTTTAGAGATATTTATGAAATAAATCCTGGAGTTCCAACTTATTTACGATCAAATGTCATTGACATTAATTATTTAAATTTTCAAAGTTAAACCAAAGATACTAACATAAAAAATCATTTCCAAAAATCTTAACCTAATATATTAAGCTTAAATAATACTTGCCACAATTACATGCATATTCAATTTGATTTCTTTAAAAGATCTCAACAATCCCTATATTTAATTGTGGCGATTTAAATCTTAATCCGGTTTTTAATCTTCAATCTTGACCGTCGGTTATACGCAATTAATTTAGAAATCATTATATAGAATTAATTATTATTAACTAAAATTTAAACATATATATATATAGGAGACTCACAAAAATGCCCTTTTTCAATACCCCTTTTCAAAAATACCCCCTTTGGCTGTCCATTTTTAAAAATACCCCTTTTTATGTACAAAATGACTAAATTACCCTTTTTTAATAAAAGATATCACAAATATATAAAGAAAACATAAGAATGTGCACACATCAAAATTACAAATTTGATTTTGTAAAAACTTGTAAAACCTTTAAAATACCTTGTAAAATTTTCCCGCCAAAAATTTTTTTTTGCGGGAAAAGTGATTCCGCAATTTTTTTAATTGACGTTAAATTTTTGGCGGGAAAAATTTACAAGGTATTTTAAAGGGTTTTTACAGGGTATTTATAAGGTTTTACAATATATTTTAAAAGGTTTTACAAAGTATTTATAAGGTATTTATAAGATATTATAAGATTTTACAAGCTATTTTATAAGATTTTACAAGTTTTTTATAAGATTTTACAAGTTATAAATACCTTATAAAACCTTATAAGTACCTTGTAAAACCTTTTAAAATACATTGTAAAACCTTACAAAACACTTGTAAATACTCTGTAAAACTTTTAAAATACCTTGTAAATTTTTCCCGCCAAAAAAATTTTGCCAAAAAAATTATGGAATCACTTTTCTTGCAAAAAATTTTTTTTGGCGGGAAAACTTTTTACGGGAAAATTTTACAAGGTGTTTTAAAGGTTTTTACAAGTGTTTTGGCGGGAAAATTGTGGGATCACTTTTCCCGCCAAAAAATATTTTGTATTTTGTTGAACTAATTTTGTTTCAAATAAGGGTAAAATGGTCCTTAAAAATTAAAAGAGGGCAAACTTAAAAATGGACTCTCAAAGGGGGCATTTTTGAAAAGGGGCATTTTTAACAATTTCTCTATATATATATATATATAATCAAACTTTTAAATTGACTTGAATTATATGTCTATTAAATAAAATATTATTAAAAATAACAAAATAAAGTAATTTGGGACGGGTTTGGATCGATATTAATATGGGACGGTATTAATATCACGGATGAAATCTTAAAATTAACAATCAAAATACAATTATACAATCTTAAACACTTAGCAAAATAAACGATATTAAAAATACAATTTAAAATTTAATTTTTTAGTTAAAAAATCGACCCGCGGTGTATACAGGCCCGGCTCACTCATCGGCAAGACCCGGTGCCACACAAAAAAAAATTCAATCTTTCATAAAAAAATTGGATATATTTCATAAACTATTTTGTATTTTATACCTATTTGGACCTGTTATTTTTGTTTATTAATTTTGGGCCTCAATATTACCTTTTAAAATAGAATTTTGGGAACTTTACATATAGATATTTTATAAAATTTCAGCATAACTAAATAGTTAAATAATAGAAAAACTATGAATTTAGACCTTAAATTTGTTGGATCTAGTTCAAATGCACTAGTTGCACATGCATATAACCGGTCCTGGATGTATCGTGGGGTAATTCTAATAGTATTTGTTATTAGTATGTATTTATAAAAAAAAATCAAATATTAAGTTTTTTAAGTGGCAAACAATGAAAAATCTAAAATATTTGAAGCGAGTTAGTTATTTCTCAACTCTTATTAGTCTTGTTACGGCTTAGGACAAGAGAAAATCGGGCTAGAGACAAATCCAAGATTGTCTAATCTGTTCATGGGGAATTGGAGCAAAGAAAAGAAAAAATAAATAAAGATAATACTTTTACTCACCAAAAAAATAAAGATAATACTTTTATTTTAAAAAAAAAAAAAACTGTGGATCCTTTTGGTGAGGCCGTGGGGATCTGTTTTTATACTCCTCTTTTCTAGAAGTTAATGTTCTATAGTTTTCACATATATTAAGAAGTAACCATTGTTTAATTATTTATTAGTTAGATTTTGATAGATTTGGGCTTTAACATGAGCTTCCAACTCAAAACTAATTGGCAATGAGTGGATTGGCCCTAACCCTTTATATATCACTTGATAATTTCTCCAACTTCCGATGTGGGACTTTCTCTCATTAACACCCCCTCACGCTCAGGCATCGTTGGCTCTGAAGCGTGGGCATATGTGGGAACAACATCCACGGGGTAGCCCGATATGGGACTTCAATAACACCCTCCCTCACGCTCAGGCATGAACATCTGAAGCGTGGGCATATGTGGGAACAACATCCACAGGGTGGCCCAACGATCGGGTGGCTCTGATACCATGATAGATTTGAGCTTTAACATGAGCTTCCAACTCAAAACCAATTGGCAATGAGTGGATTGACCCTAACCCTTTATATATCACTTATAATTTCTCCAACTTCCGATGTGGGACTTTCTCTCATTAACAAATTTTAATAACTTTGAACTAATAATATTAAAAAACAGTTAATCATTTTTTTTTTCCTCTGAATTTATTATTTATTACAAATTATGAGAACTGTTACATAGACGATTCTACAACGGACAATTCCTTCCGACCCTTATTAGATCCACGACCTCTTTCACCTTCTTCACCTCCTTCATGCTCACCTCCTTCACCTCCTTCTTCATGCTCATCTCCTTCACCTCTTTCTTCATGGACACTTCCTTCTCTGTGTGGAATCCTGGCGAACGGCTATAATTGTACATCGCTGGAGATCTCCTGCACACTTGCCTCCAATAATCTGCAAATTTATTAATAAATTGCAGTATCTGGGACTCGAACCCAGACCTCTAGGTGTAGAAGCATTAATGAACCCTTAATCAACCAATGGACCAAGGGAGCTTCTACTATGTCTTGAAGTTTACGATATATTAATTTTAATCAATAAAAATAAAATAAAAACCTAAAAAATCAAATTTTGTGGAAGTAACTAAAACTCTAAAACATCAGATACGTAGGAACAAAAGGAGTAGTTGGCAGGACAAAAGAGCTTCCCAAGGTTCTTTGGATGTATATGGAAGTGTTGGTTCCGCATTGTTATTCTGCTTTTGCGGATGACTTAAAAGACATGGGTTCCCAATGACTTAAAAGACAAAGTGCGGATACAACAAAAGAGAGACAAGCAAAAAAATAGGTTAACGTAAAATAAAGACTCATATCCCTTTTTAGTTTTTAGCTTCCTAAAAATAAACAAAATACAATTTTACCAAAAAAAACTTAGTTCAACTCTGAGTTTGGATCGCTATGGCTCGTGAAGGACCCCACTAATAGGTTTGCAAGAGGACGAAATGATCAATTAAAGAGGAGATATAGGCATGGTCGGCTCAAGGTGCAAATGCTAGGGTCGTTTTGATAAGAGCCTAAATTTTTGAAAAAAAAAGGTTTTAGTATTGATTAAGAAAACGTGGGGTTGGACTAGTGATCGGATCCAAGTGAGCCGAAAATATAGACATTAAGGGAGACACGAGTTCGATTCCATTTTGGAGGGATATAATTTATTTGATGATGATTCTAGGGAGATATGGTCGTAAATTCGAAATTCCCAGATTAACAAAAAAAACAAAAAAAAAATTCAAATAAAGTTCAATAACTATTAATCCCAATTTTAAACAAAAATTGGGGCCATTTTCTTTGCATAGAGCCTCTAATACATTTGAGCCAATCCTGGGACAAACAAGTACTAACAACTAAATAGGGCTGCTATAAAGAAGGTGGGGGCCGACCAAATGTGTTCTTCTTTTTTTTATAATGTGTTCAAGTTCTATCTCTTTCTTAATTACTACAAGAGAGAGAGATATGGAAGGACCCAACAATGCTGGACCTATAAAGGACAACCATTAGACATGGGTTTTTGTCGCAAATAGTAGCTCCAATTAAAATCCTCTTATTGATCCACTATAACCAGTTCATGCTTTTTATGTCCTGTCTCTGGCATTATTAGATGGAGGAGGAACGAGAGATTGATCTCTTACCTAATCACACTAGAAACTGGGGGGCATAGATGATCTCTAATAGATCTGTTTTCTTTCTCTTGATTTACTTAGAAAAGGACATTACTCCATCCCCAATTAATTAATGACGCTGAAAGCATGCCTCACTGTTTAAGATTGGCAATTTGGTTTTGGGTTTATGCCATCAACAGATATTAAAAAAAAAATGGAAACAAGAAAAGCATGAAAAGAAATCTTTACGACGATCATGTCAAAAAGTCTTTAGTTTGACCAAAAAAAAAAAAATTTCCAAAAATCATGTAATATATGCCACAACTTCTTATTGGAGAGACTCTCTCAACTTTTTGGAGAAACTCACATAATTAAATATTATTATTTCTTATTTTATTATTATTTTTGTATGTGAGAGTTTGGTGAGAGACTTGCATTACACATGCTCTAATATATCAACTAATATCAACTAATCTCCTACCTTTACCTATCTATATCTTTACCTATTTATTGAAAAGACGTTTTACTTGCCAGTAAAAACATTTCCAGTGACTAACATAGGATGGAAACATATGACTCGTTCCGTTATAACCTAACGATCTTTAACCACTGGACCACTACAGGAAGAAATCTTTTTTTAGTATAAACAGATTAATTCGAATTGTAAAAATGAAGCTAAAGATACTAAAAGTTCTGTAGATTTGAAAACAGAGAGGAGCAACACATGTGCAGTTCCACAACTCAATCATGCAACTTTTTTTTTTTTTTTTTTCAATCATGCAACTTTTAAAACTGTTACTTGATGACAAGAAGGAAAGCTTATTTTGTTTATTGACAGATACGAGTGTACTATCAAGATTACACAGTACATATATAACATTTTCCTAATGCATTATGGTTTAGTAGACGACTTAGGAAATTCAAGTCCCTCATCATAGGATTTCCAGTCATTCTTCAAATTTCTGATTTGATATATGTGACAACCCAAGAACATACTATATATATCATGTGCTTGAAGTTATTATAAGGAGAACAAAGTTAGCATGGTGTGTTTAGCGTAAAATTGCAAAAACAAACCTAGAACATAATGTTTTTTTTTTTTTTTTTCATCACCTAGAACATAATGTCTCATCTAAAAAAGTTTCAAAAGTGTGAGTTGTGAATTAAAATCTAACATATTTTAATAAATTAAATAATAATCCAACTTATTTAAATAAATTGAAACTCTAGAAACTAACGACATTAAAACGTAAGAAGAAAATGTTGTTTTATCACTTGATTTAAAATTTTATTTTGCATGTTTAGAGAAAATACTCTCAGATGCGCAAATTTCGTTTCTACACAAAATGTTGCAGCTCTATTGTTCGAAAATATTTGTTTCGGAAGTTCTCAATTCTAAATTCGTTAAATCCCCTGTAAACTCTACATTAAAATAGTTCGTTTGAGATGACGAAACAGTAACGAAGACATATTATACATGTGATGAACAATTGAGCATGATTGAAATTTCCTTTTCTATGGTTGGAACTACAAACAAAATTTGAAGGCAATGGCAAATGCCATATGATATTGTTTTCAGGTTATGGGTGTTTTTTTAAAATCATAAAATATGAAAAAAGTCATCAAACCAAGTGATAAGACGATTTTGTTTTGTTTTCTATCTAGGATTTAATGATGTTAACCTCTAGGGTTTTTTCTTCTTAGATTTTATTTCCTTCGTTAAAATATATATGTTGAGTACACCTCAAAATTAATTTGTTACTTCTTTTTAGTTATATAAGCTGATTTTTTTTTTCATACAAGTTTCTCATTGGTGTGTAAGTTTGAAAGGTGTGTGTGAGTGAGTGGGTGCAGCACAAAGTCTGGCACAGTAATTAAAATATTTAATGCGTAAGGAAATCAAGAAAAATAATGGAACCTTGAAATAGGATTTCTAGGTTGTTCTCTCTTCTTTTTCACTTTCTATATTCGCGGAAGAAAAAGACAATGGAAATGAAATGTGTGTGGGGTTATAATGGATGTCTTACTTGTACCATATGGAGTGGTCTCTAGAATGCTATTGGGAGATGGTTTCTATCATGGAAACTGGTCAGTCAAAAGATCCAAAGAAAGCTCGTCCGTACTTGATGCACCTCAATATTCACTTGGTCTCGTACGAGGAAAATACACCAATCAGTATAGTAAAAGGACAAACTAATAAAACAAGTTAAGTTCTGTGGTGGTCTCCAACAACAAGCAGTAGAAAACAATAAGGTATGTAGTACATTAGCAAAGGATACGTAAAGAGAAAAATGTACGTACGTATATATGACTATGATTGCAACAACCATTCGTTTTTTTTTTTTTTTTTTTTTGTCGTCCAACCATTCGTTTTTTGGCATAGTTCAGCTTTTCTATCAACTATTTTTAGTCTACTAAGACTGCAGGTTACATGTGAAGTCCTGAATTGGTTCGATCTTTGGATTCAAATAGCTCAGCAGCACCAAGTAGAAATCAATACTTAGTCCATGAGATCCAGAAAAGAATCACAACCCACAAGGCTGTTACCAAAGATGTAACCTAGGTCTCTTACTCATTGGTGGGACGTTGATGATTAATGAATATGAGAAAATGAGGTTCACAAACATAGCATATCAGCATATGCATCTTCCTCTGTTTCACAAAACTTAGAGTTTGAGCTATGGGGTCCTCATTCAGTTCCTTCTGGGCTTGTGGATTTAATAAGCCCACCAAATCACAGCAACCCACTGGCCAGTAAGCCTCCAAACCATTGTTCAGTTTCTTGCTAGACCCATCTTCTCTTTGGCCACTGTGAATATATATATATATATATATATATATATATATATATATATATATATATATATATATATATATATAGTGGCAGAGATTCATCCATTATTATTATAAATAAAAAAAAAGTCTAAAATGCATGTAAAATAAGTAAACAGAAAACTTGAGCCAATTGAACTAAAAAATTGGTTGAAATTTGAAACTGGGCAAATAAATAGTGAGACAAGACAAGTCCTAGTAAATGCAAAGACATGGAAGTTCTGCATTAAACATGTGGCCAGGCTGTAACTACCTACGGAACACAAGGCTACTAACTCACGAATCATGAGAATATTCTTCTAGTAATTGTAATCCCCAAAAGAAAACTAGACAACCTTAAGTTCTCTCTTAATTTGTAAAGTTCAAAAACTTGAAAACCCCAAAAGAAAATAAAGAGTAGCAAGAGAAACATCAAGTGTGGATGGAATCATACTGTAATACTCAAGCTGTCTGTTTTCAATTAAAATGCGTGGGTAAGTATCATCATCTCACCATGCATTTATTTACTTTTTTTTTTTTTTGGCATTTATTTACTTGTTGTACAGTTTATTTTTAAAAAAATTATTACTGTCACGTTTTTAAATGATTATCAATGCAATATAGAGATAAAGTTGCAGGGCAGTTTCCGATAGCTCTCTCGGGTCAGAAACCAGAAACATAAGATTTAAAGAAAGATACAAAATTTGGATATTGGCTAGTGCAAACTGAATAAAAGGCAAACCTCTTCTTTCTTCTTTTATCAGTCCATTTTTCACTTTCCACTTGTCAATATTATATGTTAAAGGTGGTAACCAACAAAAAAGACAGGCTTTGTCTTAACAGAAATGGGAAGAGAATGCTCTAAATGCAAGAAAAAATCCAATGAAGCTAATGGCTGCGTCACTGCACTTTACTACTTTTTTCATTTCCACCAATTTTACTTTCCTTCACGTCATCATCATCACCAACCTAGTAGTGTTGATTCTAACTCAAGAACTCCAAAAGGTACGTGCTTGCTCTCTCTGTCTCTCTCTATAGATAAGGGACTTGGGAGTTTTTGCAAGACAGTGAGTAACAGAGGAATGTTATGTTACTGAAACTTGTAGGCTTGGTAGCACCACGAAACAGCTTGGACTTAACAGAGGAGTCTCCATTATCAACCAACTACAAGCTGGAAAACGAAAGCTTGAACATCCATGTAAGTCAACATTAATGGCTTCTTTACATTTGAGCACGTGACTTGATTGATGAACCAAGTGAGAATTCAAATGCAGGTGGGCAGGAAGAATTCAACACTTAGAGCTCTTCTCGTTGATACATACTCTAATAACTGCAGCTCACCTCGCACCAAGTCACCAAACGTTGTGGCTAGACTCATGGGTCTTGATCTTCTTCCAGATAACTTAGACCTTAACAGATCATCCAAGTATAGTGTACGAGGACATAGGCTCTCCGGGAATGGCTCAGGGACAAGATCATTACCTGCGAGCCCTAGGATCTCCTCTGATTCCGAAAATTGCCGCCTCACTCTTCAGCTAAACAGAGAGAAGAATAAGCATGAAGAGTTTGGGCGTAGGAGGCTGAAAGAGTTGAAACACGATGAGCAAAGTCCACGTCCAAAACATAATGGGAGGCAAATAAAAGAGAGCGTCACCACCAGAAAATTTGGTATGGATATAACAAACTTGCTTGAGAACAAAAGGGCAGGAGCAGCAGCACAAAACAGGATTGAGCACAGCAGGTTTTCACAGAAAGAGAACACAACAAGCACTAATCCCACAATCGTGTTAAGACAAGATCACATCTCTCAGCAACCAAAAAAGGTGACTCTTTCAAAAGATTTCAAGGATAACCTGAACCGAGCAAATGAACAGCCGCTAAGACCTGGTAACGGATGGAAGAAAACAGAGAGTGAAGCAAAAGTCTCTCCTCATCCAACACCACCCAATAATAGAAACAAGCAGAGATCAACACCCTCAAAATCTAGTGATTGTTGTGATCTTATAGAGAAGAAGCAATGCAAGAAAATATCTGTAGCATCATCAGCTTTCTCTGCCACAGAACGTCCTCGGAAACAGGTAACACTTGTTTAACTTTTCTTTGTTTTAGTCTCATTGAGGAAATAACACAAACACTTGATAGGCATTCTTAGTCTGTGAGTTTTCAATAAAATTCCTTAGATAAAAAGAGCTGAAGAACAGGAGCGGAAGTCAGATGCGACGATATGCTCTGGTCAAATGTACAAATACGAGAAGAAGCTTCCTCAAGAACCGCCAAGTTCCAAATTTTACGATTCGACCACCATTACTGTTACCTTAGCCAACGTAAGAGACACCAAAAAGGATATTTCGGGGACGAAGAAACTTGAAGAGGAAGAGGAATGGGTCGTCGCAGAGATTGAGCGGCAAATCGTAGACGCACTCGTGCAGGAAACGGTGGAAACGACGTCGTTTACGGGTCTAAACGCACGCGCTGTTAGATTTGAGAGGACTTTTGGTTATATTAAAACAGCTTCTGCGTTTTAACCCTAACGAATAACGAGAGATACGACGTCGTTATGGGTCTAAACGCTGTTAGATTTGTGAGGCATTGAGGGCTTTTGGTTATATTAAAACAGCTTCTGCGTTTTAACCCTAACGAATAACGAGAGATTCGACGTATAACAATGTGCGTTTTGCATGATTACATCTCGCTGTTACTAATTTGGCTGTAACCTATTCATAGTTCAAATTTCTAAAACTAGTACATATTCCAGACATTTTTTTAACTATTTAGCTGTCAAAAATATTAAATGTATGGAGTTAATAGCCCAATGGTACATTCGTACGTAAAACTTAGCTTCTGGAGTATGATATCAAATTATCAATGATGTTACAAAGTTTGACTATAACGTTTAAAAAAAAAAAAACTCAAACAACCCACCAAGTTTTTTTTCTTTTTTTTTTGTTGGTTCTCTGAAGAAGAAATACGAAAAGAGAAATATAGTAGAGAATACACTACTTTATTCTTGAATTATGCATAGAGAGAATTGATTCAAACATTCTCATGTAGTAAGATAATATACATTAATGCATACTTGGATAAATCATGGCATTCAGCTTTCAGGCAATCCGATGTACAAATCAGTTTCGACATCCGAGACCTTCATGTTTCCACAACCACAAGGCTTCTCGGCTGCATCCTCAAGGGCTTTTATTCAAACCAGAGACATATATATGAACAAATCATATATTATACTTAAGAGACTAAATGTTAATTGTTGTTTTTGTTCATGAAATGCAAAGCCTAGTCAATACGCCTATTATCTAAATGTAGCAGTTAGACATAGAGAGTATGGTACATGTTTTTTTTTATGAATTAGATTCCAAATCCGACAATAGATTTCACTATGAGGGTTAAACTCACTCTTTGCCACTACTGATTTCACTAGCTATAATATTACATATATAAGTCTAAATGAATAACCTAGTTACCTATATTACAGCAATGGACAAGTACCACATCATCAAACCCGAATAATCACATGCATGTACGCATATGCACATTGTTGTTCAATTATAATGATCAGATAGAAACGTTACAAGAGTTATCAAACTAGATATTATGAAGATTGGTGAAAAGAACTAAATGATCTGATTTATAGTTTTAAAGTTTTATGGAGGAGAACATACTACGAAAGGAAAAAAAAAAAAAAAGATACAAGAGAAGAGATATCCGCGAACAGCTTGGCACGGGAGTGCCTTCACCTCAGGAAATCAGATTATTGTAGAATGTGGAGCTGCCAAATATTCTTTGGGCTGTCCAAAGTTTGAGAAATCTTCATCTTATGGAAGTGGACGTAGCTTCAGATTGTAAGGCTGCCAAGCAAATCCAATTCACTTGCAATAGATGTTTTTGCCAAAAACATCATTTTCACTCTTACGTGGTCCAGCTTGGCTGCTCAATAGATTCCATGCTGAGGCCACGGTTGGTTTTTAGTTGTCATGTTTGGCTCTGTTCTCAATTTGCCTTGTCTGGCTCTGTTTTTGAATTTCGGTACTCTGTTCTTAGTCTCTTTGGCTTTATCCGCTTTTTACCCAGATGACAAAAGAAAGTTTTTAACAAGAACAAATCCAAAAGTGTATCGGTCTTTGTTTGTGCCAAACATATAAAAACAATTCAGTAAAAAAGAAATGTTCAAGTTATTCATTCAAAAACCAAAACGTACAAGAAAAAAAACAGGAGATATATATGTAACCATAATGTACAGAAAACGAACTTGTTATGACTTATTGAGGGAGGTTAATGTGAAGTTTGATGAGGAGACCCGGGAAGACATCATCCGGGTCATGGATATGCGGGTTACGCTCCACGATAAACGGGTCGCCGCATTTTTCGCTGATGCTGTGAAGCGTATCTCCTTCCCCTACTACGTATAACTCCTCACATGGCCTCTCCATCATTTGCTTCCCTCTCCAAACCTCACAGTTTCTTCCTCTCCCCGCTGCTCGAAAATTCTCTCTCCGACCACCTCCGTGGCTGTTTTTAACCGATCCCGCCAGTGTTAGGATCAGTAGTGCCACCAGACAGTAAGACGCAACTGTGTGTGACCTAGACACCGTAACTCTCATCATGACTATGATTATAGCAGGCGGGAGGGAGAGGGAAATAGATAAATTTGGTGATGGCAAAACAAACAAATGTGTTTTGTTCTTTCTCTGGCGTGAGGCTTGTGTTTATGTAGAGAGAGATTTTGTGATGGCTACACAAGCAAATGTGTTTTGTTCTTTCTCAAATGTGAGGCTTGTGTTTATATAACGCCATGTGTCGATATAGACGGCATAGTACTACTAAGAAATCATTATCACCACTCATCATTTAAATAATTAATTCCCCATTTTGGTCAATTAAGTAAGAACGTTACTAAAAAAAAATAACAACTTTTGGATCTATATCGTGTTATTTTATGGACCCTTGGATCTAAATATATATAGTCGTATAAAAAGGCAGAATATAGTCAAAATCCTTTTATTTTGGAATCGCACCATCCGATTAAGTAAAGAAAGACTCTGAAATATCACTCCTAATTAAATAGGTTATGGGGACTCGACTGTTTGCTTGATATTTTCTCATATATATATATATGATGACTCATGAAAATAATTGGTTTTAACTGTTTTGCATGTGTTGTATCTTTCTGCAAGTATAAAAGACATATTTATATAACAATCAATCTTGTTATTGTACTTTTTGTGAAAAAATAACAGCGCACACAACAAAACAAACAAAACAAAAAGGCAAAAGAGTAGACTGCAGATACACAAAATACAATGAACCTTGATTACAAGTTTTGCTTACTTAAGGTGTGTTCAATTTAGATAAATCGAACTCTATTTTTATATAGTTCAAATGGATTCACTATTTCTATATCCGGAAAACTTGTATTTGCATTGAAGGAAAAAAAAAACAATCTGATCTAAAACTTAATTTTTCTTAAAGACATATGATCAAATACATTAGATTCAAGAAAATATTTGATCAAAACCGACACAAAACCTAATTGTTTCTGAAAATTAAGAATACGTTTGATGAAAACATAAATTCGATTTCAAACTGAAACCATGCGAAATCATTTATTTTAGGCTTTAGATATTATTGTTCATAAAATAAAAAGTCGAGAAAACATGAACCGAAATCTATATGCACACTCCTAATTTTGTTTAGTAGTCTAAGAACTAGAATCCAAATTATGAAGGGGAAAAAAAAAAAAAAAAAAACTCAAGTCATTTTCTATTACCAATTTTCAAATTTTTTTTATTATAATCAAAAGATGAAACAAATGTTGTCTTAGCAGATAACATCAGAAAAAAAAAATTTCTTCTAAAGGAAACAAACATTCTTAAGGAGGTCGGCATTGTGGAATACTTTCGGTTATAACTTAGTATATCAGACGTAATGCGTATGAATAGACACGACAAACACACGTATATATGGGACACATCGGCCTCTCGCTCGTGTAACTTGCGCCGTATAGTTCCTAAGGTGTTGGTGCTTGTGACTTGTTGAATTTTCTTTGTATAGTTCCTAAGAAAGCAAAACAACAAAAAAATATAAGATATATTATTGTCTATTTTTGCATAATGGATCGGCCGACATATGACATCGACATACTGTATAAAATAACAAATGTAATAACGAAAGAAAAATACAGAAAATCAGGCCACTCACATCACATTTGATAATAATTGAAAATAAGGATGATAGGAATTAAATATCCTTGGAAAATATGGTGTTTTGGTTGTTGATGATTCGTTATATGGATTATAGGTCACGGATCAAATTAAATGTGAATTTCTATTTGCATTTTCTTCCCTTTGCCATCTTAAGTAGCATGAAAACTGGATTTTCTATGAATCTTGGAATTAGTCTAATTAAGTTTTGATTTGAGATTTATGAACTTTAACATATTTGTTGTGACAAAGACTTCCGGTTTAGACGATGTATCTAATTTGTTAGCGTTAGGGCTCTCGGAGTTATGGTTTAGATTTGTGTTAATTATAAGTTATAAAATTCTATGTTACGATAAATTGATTGTAGAATTTCACTGTTGATATAGTTCTATATTAAATAAATAATAAAGAAATGATATTATAAAGTAGAATTCAATTTTGGATTGTGCGAAATGCCATTTTGTTGTTGAATTTTATATTTTTATGATAGAACTAGATTATGTGGTTAAAATCTACTTAATGGTCTCGAGTTTAAACAAGAAAAAGCATAATACATCTGTTTTATTTGACAATACTTGAACTATTTCCTCAAAAATAATTAGTTCAAAACTGGAAAACAAAGCACATCAACATCAATTTTCCAGTTGTTAGAAAAAGTGATAATAATGGAATAATCAAAATGAATTACTTAAAACAAATACATCAACATTCAAGGAGTTGAGTTGAGAATGGAATGTTAAAGAAAAATGGATGAAGAAGTCTTGAAGACAATGATTCATTTGAGTGCAATCAAATAATTGTACAAAAAAAAAAAAAAAAAATCGGCATGTATTTATTTATTTAATTATTGCTTAGTGGATTCTTGTGATTTCAAATCATCAAATAAAAACAAGATCTTCACTTCTTAGTTCCTCCTCATCAGTAGATCCCTCTCATCTTACTATATGTGAATTTTGCTTGCTGGAGAAGAATTCAGCATCTCTTTTATAATAGAAAATCTAAACCTCGTGCATTTCTTTTCATTCAGATCGATTGATTGTTTTTAGATCAGAAAATTATAATGACGATGTTTGAAGTTTTATGTTCTTGGAAGAAGAATTAAGAGATATGTTTTTTCATATCTTCTTGTTTATTCAAGTAGAGATAACCTAACTTGTCGTCAAAGAAAGTTGTAATATGTTGTGAGGAAAAACCACTATAGCTATTCTCCATTTTCATTGAGCAAATGCGGTGAATAGCTTTGAAGAGTTCGTTCTTGTGTGTGATAGGTTGAGAGGCAGAGTCCTCTAACCGCATCCACTGCACATTCAAGAGCCGAAAATTGGGAAAGATTGCGAGAAAATTAATGTTTCAGATTCAGAATAAGAAGTAAATGTTACTTGAGCTGCTTCGATTTCTAAGTCCTGTTTTTGAATATCAAAGGAGGTAGGTCTCAAGAGACAAACGAAGAATAAATCTGACTTGGCAAAAAATGACTCGTGGGTTTGACTGCAAACAGAAGGCTTAAAGGATTAGAACGTGGAAGTATCAAGAAACAATACATGAAGCAGAGGGTATATATGATATATATGATCCGTACCAGAAAGCTAGAATCTCCAAAAACTCAGTGTCGATCTGAAGATAAATGTATGAAAACGTTAGGTTACATGTGTATTGATTTACACATTTACATAAAGATATATGGATCTTCTTACGCCTGTTTCTTCTTTTACTTCTCTAATGGCTGCCGCGAAAATCTCCTCACCCTAGACGCAATAAAATAAAATGATGGTGAAAACTTCAACAAACATATACAAAAGGGATTGAAAACTTGTTGCTACAGATAACACATGCATACCTCGTCAACAACTCCTGTTGGGATCTTCCAGTTACCTGATCCGCGTAATTTACCGTATTTTTCCTGCACCACAAGAATCTGCCTCTAGTTTTAATTTTAAGATGCAAATACTGGAATATGGAGTACATTTCAACTCATGTTGACAGTATTTTCATTTCCATGCTATGATGATAAGAATATTATGACTTGGAAATACAAAAATACACAATGGTGTCCTAAGTACCTCTTTGTTATGGTTCAAGACAACAGCACCAACACGAACACGATGGGAAGCATTCAAAGGAATAGTACTCTCGGCTTTCGGAATCCAATAAACTAGCATCAGGTAAGTTGGCTCAGCGTGGTGATACCGGAAACCTTCCTGCATGCACAAATTATTTATCGGACCAGTTTTGTTCATTCTTCGCTGTAATAATACATGGGGTTTTGCAGCGATAACTTGGTATATCAACTATACCATTACCCAATATATGTCAAACCAAAAAAAAAAAAGAAAAAAAAAAACTAAAATATGTACATGGTACAAACTCAAGTGACAATCAAAACACATTCTTTCAATATCGAACGTTTTATACATTTGTCACGGACGTTAAGTGGAGTTTTATCTTAAAACTAATTAGTAATGACTAATGAGAGAGATTCATCTTAGAAAAATATATGACATCTAATTAACAAAAGCTGATAATAAGTGAGGTTTATATGCAGGACTTAGGAATCACCTTCTTTGTCCAAAAAAAAAAAAAAGAAAAAAGGAATCACCTTAACCGCAGGTTCCACGAGGTTTACGTGTGAGAGAGGCAAGTTTAACCAGACTCCCTTTTTACCCTGAAAAAAAAAAACAAAAAGTTTTACAAATCAACCGCGTTCACTCAAGAAGAGAGAGATGCATGTGATCTCGCACCAGCACAAACCTGTGACCGCCAGTGCTCGAATGAATATCTAAGAGCTGCAACAAAAGACTTAGTATCCATAGGAGTTTTCATCTCCACGATCACTCCTCCGTAGTCATCATCTACAAACGGAAGTACCTCACAAATCTTGTGTTCTACTCCATTAATCAGAGGAGCCTCTTGTTCATCTGACATGCTTCAAATTCTGAGAAATTTGGTCGAAGATTGGATGATTCAAGTATTCAACCAAAGGAGAAGATAGAGCAAAAGGAGAGTGTGGTTTCAACGAAGCAAATGATTTCAAAATGAGAACAATCACGAGGCGATAATGGCAGAAGTCAAGTGCTTATATAAGTATTACTAACATATATACATTAGTGGGGTGGGTCATAAATCATAAACATAAGATATTCATAATTGCCTTCACATTAACCCGACGCGGTCCTTCGGTGGAGTGACGCAGTCCCACACGTCACCTTAACGCAAAAATATGTATATGCAATTATGAATACGTAACAACACCCTAATTAGAAATACTTTGATCATGCGAATTTTCATTTTGGCAACATATCTCAGTTTAGTTTGATCGTTTAGGTTATTACATGTTCATTTGAGAATGGGCTTGTTGACATCATGGAACGTGACTTACGATATAATCATATAAAGCCAAACCAACCCAACCTTACAGAGTGCAAGACTGCAAGTAGGCCACAAACATAATAAAGCCTGCCTGCAAAACGAAAATAAACCGTGGGGCTCGAACCCACGACCACAAGGTTAAGAGCCTTGCGCTCTACCAACTGAGCTAGACGGGCTTTTTGTTTGTCTTACAGCAAAACTAAATTAATACCGTAAGATATCCCACGTCTCATTTTGAGTTCAGCAATCTTTGGTCACCACTAGCAACAAAAACAAATGAAAGGCCAACCTTTCTGTGCCCCGGTTGGCTCTACCTGGCAGCTACAAGAACGCTTGGCATCTGTGTCATGTGCTACTGGCAAGCCATAGCATTGATGTGAAGCCGCTCAATACCCACAGGCTCGGTTTCTCTCAAGAGGAAGTTGGAAAAGCCCTTTGCACGTGGAAGTGATGCTATCAAGGTCAATAAAATGCTTCGGAAACTCTGTTAATACATCATTGTGGACATTCTCCTGACTATAATCTGAACATAGTATGAAATTCTCTCTATGATAAATCATCACTTTTATTACACTGTAACATGACCACAAATATCTATGCCATAAATTACAAGACAAGAATGTTGACCAAAGAGGGACAAAAGTTCCTATGCCTAAGAAGTAAGAACTGCAACCAACGTGGTCAGATCCATACGCGGCTCTGGAACTGATCAGACCATGTCTCTGCTCGGACATCAAACAAATATAATACTTGATACAATCAGTGGTCCATAATCTTCTCTGAGTCTGAGGCCGTCTGTCTTACTGCAGAGACTTAATGAAGCCAGAGAGACAGATGCCTTGATGCTACTAACAATCTCTCGTACAACAAAACAAACAAGAACTCTTGACACTCGGAGAAGAAGAGTTTTGAAAAAAGTGAGGAACTAGGGCAATGTTTCGTGTCTCAAGGCAAAATGGCGGTTGGCTCCGTAGACCACTTCCATACTTTAACTTGACCACTTCCATCACCGGTGAAAAATATGCCCCCGGGACCAATCTGGATCGACCGAATCTCTTGCTTTGCTAAAATTTTGCCCCTTTCCGTAAATCTTACAAGAGAACGAAGAATCTAAGCTTTTGAAAGTAAAACATAATTGTAGAGTCATGAAACAAACAGCATAGGAAGGACTTACGATGGCAAATCATAGAGGTGCAATGAATTGTCATTGCACGAACATAGCAATACTGGCTTGGCTTCTGCATCATGGACACCACAGAGAGCTAGCACGCCCTGAATCCAAATAGCCATTTAGAACTCATTAGTTACATAAAGATTGAACCAAAAGAGAGTAAGATTTCAACAAAAATGCTAGGAACTGTACGTATTCTTCTTTGTGAGTATATGTGACTTCTAAGTTTCCACCTTCAGTAGCAGCCCATATCTACAACGGAAAAAAATATCCCAATGGGGGGTAATGTCATATTCAGGAATCGAGCCATGTCAAAAGAATTTTCTAGCGAGTTAGAAAGGAACCTTGACGGTATTGTCCAAAGAACATGACAGAAGAAATTGATCCCAGCAAATGAGAGACATGACAACTGAAGTATGCTCTGTAAGGGTTTGTATACACTGCAGATTATCCAGGCTCCAAACCTATTAAAAACAGATAAGGCAGGCCTATGAGCTTAAAAAAAAACAGAAAAGGGGATTTTAATTCAGGTGTGATAGGCACTACTTACTTTTATAGAATTGTCCATGGCACCAGAATAGAGTCTGTTTGCCCCAACATATAAAGAAACAACTGCAAGGGTGTGGCCCATTAATGATGCAGCTGGATCAAAACAGCTAGTGGTGCTATTGTATTTCCAAACCAAAATAGACCCATCCTGCATAGAGAGTGAAATATCCTTGTAAGAAGAATTTTTATCAAAATCCAATAGAACTGTAGATTTCAATAGCAGAGGTGTTTTTTCCTAGAGATGACGCAAACTCGTAATGATATTGCAGGAGAAAAAAAAAATACACACAACGCTGAAGCAAAATTTTACTCCAAGTCTCCAAGGCCTTAGAAAAAAAGTTTACAGTCAGTAAAAGTATTTACTTGTGTGCCAGCGAACAGTAGATCAGTGCCCACAACCAATGAATATACTTGGCCAACAGGTCCAGTGAGACTCAGGTCTACATTGTTTTGGATATTCCACGCCTGCATATTTACATATATATAATTCAAAAATGTATGTCCGGAACATCAATAAAACTCAACACATAGGACATAAAAGTGATTCTCAGTACAGATGAAGAGTTTTAACAGTCAAGGAACCATGCTAGTGAATCATACTATGAACTTACCTTAACAAGATTTGGCATGCCAACCAATAGCCAGGGGCCTTCACTAATCATGCAGCCAACTTCCCCACCAAGATTGAGAACACCTGTACACTACATCGTAGGAAAAACAATACTAGAATGATAAGCACGCTTATAAATTAGTCAAAGCAACCAGCCTTATCAAAATGATGTTTTAGATTCTGCAGAGTGATAGGCCAAAATGGTAGATCCTTTGGTCCAGTCCTAACCAAGCAATGACAAGTATCCATTGAATGATTCTACTACCAGTATGGAAGGAAACTCAATCAAACAACAATAAAAGATGCGACATAAACAATCAGAGGCAAATCAAAACCTGTCCAGAAGCACAATCCCATATCCGCACAGTTTCATCTTTACTGGCAGTGTAAAGCTTATCTGATCCAGATGGCAGAGCAATCCCAGTGATAACCTACTCAAGAAATCAGAACAGAAAAAAAACCATCAACATCGCCAACAAGCACAAGAATCCAGCATCAGTTATAAAGACTCCCAACAACAAGATACCTTCTGATGTCCGTCTAGCTGCGTCAACAAGGAGAAACTATCTCCGTTGCTCCAACAATGCAAGTATCTACATTTATCACCGTAAGGGCAATTTCCATCAACCCAGAATTTGCAAAGTTTCTCCGTCTTCGTCACTGTTCTGTTCCCACCGAATCTTCCCCAGTTATTAGCAGTCCCGCTGAATCCTGGCCCTCTCCGGTGACTCGGACCCGCAAAACCAGATTCATCAGCGACCCTTTTATTGGTAGACGAAGGACCCGGAGCCGGACCCGGCAATTCTCTATGCAGGTAAGGGCAAGGGTAACGATTGCACCGGCCAGCTCGCCAGTGGAAACAAACCTTCTGATTCGAGTCCGTCGTCGGGCGATTGGAGCCACCGCCTAGTCTCTGGAAGACTCTCTTGTTTCCTCCGTTCATATCTAAATCCATCGAATTGGATTCTCTCTAAATTACAAGAAGTGAATCAGAAAACTCGGAATTGGATTATCCTGTAAACGTCGAATGGATCATTACTGTTCAAAAGACCAAATCCGATCACAAGTAAAAAAAAACAAGCGCGAAAATCGAACGAAACCCTACCTCTCTGAATCAAGAGTATATAAACACTATCTCTCACAAAGGAGGTTTCTTTGATACATCAAAATTGGAAGACGAAAGTGATTAATGGAAGAGAATGAAAGAATCTGTGAAGCGGCTTCTGTTTTTTTTTTTAATCTTCCTTGGGTTCTTCTTGAAGAAAACAGAAGAAGTGAAAGAGAGAAATTAGATCACTCCACGTCACCTTCACATCAATGTTCGTTAAATTTCTTCTTGTTACATATAAATTTGTATAAACTATTGTAAATCAAAGTTGTATATAAAAATAACACAGATTCCACCATTTTTAGTCATTTGTTACAGATTACACCGAGTAAATTACTCAAAGGCTAGTCTCTGAGTGCCAACAAGTGAAGCATATGATCCCTTTTGCGCCACCAATTCTGAATGTGTTCCGAGCTCTATGATCTTCCCATCAGAGCATACAGCTATCTGATGCGCGCTCTGTACTGTGCTCAATCTGTGAGCGATGACTAACGTTGTCCTGTCTTTCATTAGACGGTTCAACGCACTCTGGACCAACCGCTCGCTCACTGCATCAAGCGCACTTGTGGCCTGCAACAAAAAGGCAGTCTCTCATATTATTTTAACGCTAAGGACTGCTCTTCTGTCTTGTTGATACTAACCGAACCATACAGCTTAGATGAGAGCATAAGAGAGTAATTCTCTCTTTCTGCTAGCAATGAAGACAGTCCATCAAAGGCGAGATTATTAAAATAAGAGTCTCTCACCTCATCGAGAATCAAGATGGGGGCATTCTTCAGCAGAGATCGGGCTATGGCAACTCTCTAACACGTTGATAAACAAGCACATCAAGGCTGTAGCAATATAAGGAATAAAAAATACGTAGCTCATAATGTTTCTATACCTGTCTTTGTCCTCCGCTAAGCAAGCCTCCTCTTTCACCAACCAGTGTATCGTAGCCCTATAAACAAACACCTGTATTGCTCAGAAGAACTGAAGTGCATTTCCAGGAAGAAACAGAGAGTAGTTGCACATAAGGCACACAAATCCGAACCTGAGGAAGTGAGATTATGAAATCATGAGCGTTGGCAGCTTTGGCTGCCTTAATGATGTCGTCCTTGGACACATGCTCATTGGGGAGACCATATGCAATATTCTCGGCCACAGAGAGAGAAAAGAGAACGGGTTCCTGAATAACACATAAATATAAGCTTTGAAGAAGAGAAGGAGAAATTATCCAACCATGCCTGACCCATAGATGTTACATATACACACCTGATTCACAATTGAGACAACCTTAGCCCATTCACTCTTGTCAAACATCCTCACATCTTCTCCACCCACGGTAATACGTCCTTTTGTTGGCTGCAAGAATTGAAAATTCAACCTATCCGCATGATGTAAAAGCGGCTGCAAACTTAGTCTTAACAGATATTACACTTCAAATTGGAAGAGGATGGTAGATTAACCTCATAGAACCGTGCCAATAACTGTACAATAGTACTTTTTCCTGCACCACTAGAGCCAACAAGAGCAGTTACGGTACCAGAATTCAACGTTAAACTCAGCCCATCAAGAACTTTGACATTGGGTCGTAGAGGATAAGCAAAATGCACATCTACACTAGACAAAATAGAACAAAGGAAAAACACCAGGTTAGAAAAAGGTAAAAATCTGCAGTTAACCTTGGAAATTTTATGGGAGGCTCTTGAAGTAAGATATTATGAGAAGAGTTTTTCTTGGTCTGATTTTACCATCAAGACACACATCTCCTGCCCATGTTAGGGTACGTAGATTGTTAGTTGATTTCAAATTTGACATGTAGTAGTTATCGAGGTGAAGGATATTCACATTAGGGCCAGCAGACAAGAATAATTTAAGGTTTTCATCTTGGACTTTCTTTGTATGTATATCTCTTTCTAACCCGTAGGCAAGAGCCTCATCTATGTCTACCGCGTTTAAAATGGAATTGATCCTGTCAATAGCAGCAAAAGTCCCACGTAGATCTCCAAACGTGTTTACAAGCCCTTGGACCTGGAAAACAGAATCACTGATTATGGTAAACTAAATTGTAGCATATGGGTAACAGTAAATGCTGTGTAGACAGGGGTACTTACAGCAAATGTTAAAGTAAATGTGTATCCAATGAACGAAACAACTGTTCCAACAGCGAGCTCACCCTGGGTAGGAGAAAACTTTCAGAATAAGAACCAAGAAAATAAAGTGCAAAGGAGCTGAAATGTAACAACATAAGAAGAAACTACACAAAAGAGAGATAAAGAGAAATTTGATTCTTAGTTTCGTTGATTTAAGATTTCAGAAGGTAGTAACTTGATTCTAGCTAGAAACATCCAATCATTTATTCCAGAAAATATGAATGACGAATAGCACTATCTTCTGTAAGAGAAATTCATCAAAACACGATTCTCTTTATGTTTTAGTGGCCAAGAAGCCTAATTTTAACTTGAATGATCAGATCTTACCGTCTTCACCTTGCTTCCCCCAAGACAGTAAAGAGCCAACAGAGAAATATAAACAGCAACCCTTGTTATAGATTCATTTATAGACTTGAAAGTACCAAGCTTTAAGCCGCTAAGCTTGTAAGCAAGAATCTGTAAATCAAACAAAAGGTTAGATTAATAGATTATGGAACAGTTAGAACAAAAACAACAATTGTTTCGAAGAAATAAATTTTAGCTTGTAAGAAGTCTGAAATATGACCTGACTACCGAAGAGAGACATCTGACGTTTTTCACCGCTGAATGATCTTACCTATAAAGAGAGACAAATTACTTGAGTCTTCAAAGGCAAATCAAAGTTTCTTTAGTTAATTTAATCTGCCTTAAAAACATACAAATACGATGAAGTCAAGAACTTACAGTTCGGATTGCAGAGAACGTTTCTGATACACAATCAGACATTGTTGCTTGAGCTAATCCATGTGATTTATAAACAGGAACAGTCGATCTCTTGTACACAGCTTTTGAGATTTGACCGAGGGAGCAGATGTTAGAGGTAAGCAAATTTAGCAAAGATGACCAAAGTAATTACCAAAAAACAAAAAGGTTAGGAGGATGAAAAATACATAGAGAGTTTACCAACTAAAACTGACACAGCTAGCATCAATAGACCAAGCACAGGTGCAAGTTGAGGAGATAGAGTAAATAGAATGCAGATTGTTCCAAAAACCTACAAAAGGGATAACGCATGAGCCATGAGAACTGGGCATTCTTGAGATGCAACAAGATACTCTCTGTCATTTATAGAACTCCAAAGAAACATCAGACATAACACCAGGCTACGATTAAGTCTGTATTCATTAAACAAAATGGAAGTACAAACAAAAAAATCTCACATTTGCATAGTAAAGAAATGGCTTGCCTCTGTAAATGCCCTAAATCCACGATCTCGTGAGATGTTATCATTCACAATGCTATTTAGAGCACCAAGATCAGACGTGAGCAGCCCTGTAAGCTCTCCTACCTAAAACAAATGAACTCGGTTTAACACAATGGCTAGGAAGGTTTGTGCCAAAATGTCCAAACCCTGAACAAAACTAGAGAAAAAGAGCGCAAACCTTATATTTATCGAAAAACTCTGCCTGCAAACATTTCAAAGTCAAACAAAAAAAAACCATCAAAGATATATTCCAACTGTAAACAACAAAGAGCCAACAGTAGCTTTAGCAAACTTTGACCATAGTAAACAAATCCTACCTTTTGAATCAAAACCCTTCTGAAAATCTGAGCTCTTAATGTTGCCATAACGTTTTCCCAAATAGCAGTCATGTTGGTCACAAAAGCAATAGTAAAGATGGGTTCCAACGAGTACAAAACAGCAATTTTGCTCAGCAGCCGCCACAGAGGCTCTGGTCTCACCCCAATCAGCACTTCAAAGAATCTACCTTTACTCAAAACCATAACACTTACCATTATAAAACAGCTTCACCAAGATAAAGAATCAATAAAGAGAAAGACAGATACTAAGCTAAATCATCATACCTAAACTTAACCTAAATTCAATTAAAAAAAAAAAAAAAAACAGTCGTTACTCGTTACAATTACAATTGATAAAGGTGAGTGAATTGAAGAATCGATTACCAGAAAAAACAGGCATAGAGAGAGTGCAAGTACTGCAGCCAAGGAGAGTCAATAAGCAAACACTGAGCCTGAGCTTGTGTTTGCTCATCAAGCTCCACACAAGCCCCCAACTGATTAAATCCTTCGATTCAGCCTCAGATTTGGATTCTTCAATCTTTGGGTCAGGTTCGTCCACGATAGGCGGCGCTCCAGTAACATAGGCCCGAGCCAATCCATCGGATTTCAGCCTCAACGAACGCCGGAACGGCACAGTGGAGCTAGGTAAGCTGCGGAAGGAAATCAAGGGCTTTAGTCCGCAAGGTTTAAGGACAGAGGCTTGACACCGTCTACGAGCTACGAGGACTCGAGTGGAACCGTGGTGGAACAAAAGAGTGGTTGCAGACGCCATTGATCTTGGTGGTCCAACGAGCTTCACGGCTGCATAAAAATGGCTAATTTTGGAAACAAAAAAAAAAGCCACGTGGACTGGGTTTTGTGAATCCTCCTCACTAAGGAGAGATACTTTGTTTTTCTTAACTTTCTTTTTTTTTTTTTTTTGGTAATTTTTTTTTCTTTCTTAAATTTTCTTAAAAAAAATTTTTAATTTTTTTTCTTAACTTGTCATTTATTCATAACAAAAATCTGAGTAGGTTAATTCATGCAGAATTAATCATTGATTAATTTACCTCCAAAAAATAATCATGTTGTTTAAAATTTTCTCTTTTCCTGTAAAAAATGATTTGTACAAGTTACTACTGTAAAGAAGAGGTTTGGGTTATGGATTCGATGTGAACGTCAGCTATCATCAAAAATCAAAATTGATCATTACCTCTCCAAATTGAGAAATCCAAAGAGAACTTGGAACTTTAGCTATCATTACTTATTCAAGTTGCCAGTTCTTTTGCTATTCAAAGAACTTTAATGTAAGACCATTGATGATCTCTTAAGACAATTTTTATGTTAAGAAACATATCTTATAACTAACAAAGTGTTTTAAAGTCTCTCAAAACACATGTCTTATTTAATTAATTATTTTAAATTTATTTAAATAATAAAATCATAATAAAAATAATTTATTTTATTCATCAGATACTTCTTTTTAGATCTTTACCGATGAGAATGCTCTAAGTATGCGAAATCTCATTCTTGTTTACATAAGTCTATGTGGGAATTTTTGTAATTAAATAAGTGCTTAGAACTTTTTAATTTTTTTTTTTTTGTCATTTGTTATTTAAAGAAAGAAAAAAAAAACCTGAACCTTTTGATATTTATATTGCCTAGAATTTCTTTTGTTTTACAAAAAAATCTAGGAACTGCTGCCATAGCCTTGGAAGATGCTCCGGAATATTTGCTGAAATATCAAAAACTGTTGCTATCTTACCAACCTAGGACTTTTTTTTTTTTTTTGCTCTTTACATTAGTGCTTAGAACTTTTCTTAGCCACGGAAATGCCAGAATCATTTAACTTAAATTTTACAGGTGAGCCCAAACTTATTGTTTTTACCAAATTACATACTTATACTAATACTTATGTTTTTTATTTATTTTTATTGTTACTCATAAGGAGACCGAGATAATAATAATATCCTGCACTCAAAAACACTTGCATTTGACAACACCTTTACTGAATCATTTACATTCGTTTCTCACACCACCCAAAAAAAAATGACGATCCGTTCTAAAAAAGGATCTAATTTATAAAAAGTTATAATACCAAAACTGTACAAGAAAATTGAATTAATAACTCCATAACGACAAGTCATCATCTCCCTCGACATCAAAATTATAGTTCCATTGAACAGACGGCGACGGCAAAAGCATTCCTTCGGCCATATTATCCAACAAACTTGACATCCCGAATATCGCCTCGTCGTCTAAATAAAACGCGTCGCTCTGTTCCGCCGTTACAATAGCTTCCACCATCGTCTCTTCCATGTCAAGGCCATGATCCGTCGTCGTCGTATCACACATCTCATATTGAAAAGCCATCGCGGCTTCAGCCGCTGCCTTTTGGATTTCCTTGGCGCACGTTGACTCGGGGATTCGTAGCCTCCAAGCCGAGTCAGCGAAATTAAGACAGGCTGATCTGCCACGGAGAGCTAAGGCGGCGACGTCGTGAGCACGAGCGGCCATCTCGGCGGTTTGGAAAGTCCCAAGCCAAATCCTCGTTTTCTTGTTTGGCTCTCTCAACTCACACACCCACTTACCGGAGTTTCTTTGACGAACTCCTCTGTAAATTGGGTGACGAGTCTCACGAAACTTCTTTCTTCCGGCAGGTTTCTTGGGACAGCTCGTCGCCAATGTCGGAATATAATCGCCGCCTGAGGACTCGTAGTCGGAGCCAAACATTTCAGAAAAGGCAGAAAATGATGAGTTCATTGATCAGTACTCTGTTTCAAGAAACTGGATAAGGTTACGAGTAGAGTGTAAGTAGATGATCTAGGTCTTTTTTGTATGGGTTTGATAAAATATTTATTTTATTTCTCTCTCTTTCTTTTCTAATTCTGGTAAGTTTGAAGTTCTTGGAGTGGGAGCTTGGTGTTTTATATTGGCCGGAAGATATTTGGATATTTGTGGGCGTCGAACACGGAGTTTCTGTCTCTGTGAATGCCACGTGGTTAAGACACAGCTAAGCGATCCCACGGTTTTTGTAATCATTTAGGCTGTCAATCCCTCAGAGTCTGCCATGTGTCCTTTGACCCATCTTGGGAAGTTTCTGACCTTCCCGCGTTATGACCATTGTGAGTTTTTTAACTTATTAATCTTATTGTATGAGTTTGTTCAAAAAAGAAAAATCTTATTGTATGAATGTGTGGCTGCTGTTATACTAGTGTACGACAACCATTACTATTATTAGTCTATTAAATATACTTTTCCATGAAAAAACAAATTTTTATAATAGTTGCTCGTCTATACAATAATAGACATACAGATAAAAGATTTGTGAAATGAGATATTTTAAAATGCTCTTTCTGTCTTTTCTTCATTGGCATAACGTATTTCAAAGACTTCTAGAATATAAGTGGAGTAGATATTTGTCTACTAATATTTATATATATATATTTGTTGGTCTAATTAAAACATTAAAAAGTTTGATTAACTAAATTAATCAAAATTTGGTGGTAGACTAGTAGGCATGTAAATTTAATTCAACACTTCCCGTAAAATCTTGAAAAATAACCAGTTTTACTTTTTTATTTTGTATATTGTCTAAAAAAAAAATATGCTAAAGTTCCTAAGATTTCATGAAGGCTATGAAATTTTATTATGATTTCTAAAAATATATTGAGAACCCATGTTGGCTTAAACGTAAAGAAAAAAAACAGCTTTTAGATATTGGGATATCGTGTTTTCGCTGGCTTATTTATTCCAACAATGTATCAATCTTCGCATTATATCAATAAAAGCAAATGACAGAAAAAAAAAATTGTGATACGAGTTGGAAACATAATTTTAATCGCATAAATTAGTACTAGATCATCACTCGTACTACAATACGGGTTAAATTTCATTTATTTCAAAATTTATAAATTTTATGTTTTAGAATAAAGTTATGATATATTATAATAGTAAGTACAAAAATAATATTTTTTTGTCAGTCCCTATATATAATATTAGAATGAATATATTTTCTTTTTCTCTATGGTATTCAATTATGGATATGGTTTTTTAAGATATTAAAACGGAAAATAAGATTATTTTTTTAAAAAAAATAATATTGTTTGAACAATGAGTTAATTTAGTTAGATCAAAAATCAAAATATCATAAGTGAATCGCATCTAAACGTAGATTATTTTGAATTACTTAAGAAAATTAGCTATTATTTTGAATTAATTTAGGAAATTATTTTTTCAAATTCTGATTCATTGGTTGTTGAAATAGAGATTTGTTTGAGCTAATTACAGAATTTACCAATTATTCACATAATCAAATATGTTATGAACATATATTTGGTATATAATAATACAAAATTGCTTGCAGAATCAAATTTTCAAATATTTAGAAGTGTCAAACCCTATTTAACTCATCTCATCATAAATCTTAAAATGTCGTCTGTTATAAGGATCATAATTTTTTACCATATAATACATTACATTTAACCCGCCGCCTACTATAAATATTTTAAACATATCATTTTAGAAAATCAAATTAATGTATTTATAATTTTTTTATCTTTTTAATCTATTAAATATTTATGATATTCTTTAATATATTAAATTAAACTTTTTTAGAATGTTCCAAATTAAAATCTTTTAAATTTTTTTATTGTAATATGTAAATTTATGAATTTTTTTTTAAAATGATATGAAATTAAATATAAATATTCAAATAGTTATAAGGATCATAACTCATTTCATCATATAATATATTATATTCAACCCGCCGCCTATTATAAATATTTGTTTCAAAAAATCAAATTAGAGTATTTATACTTCATAATTTTTTGATCTATTAAATATTGATGATATTAACAAAAAAAGAATATAATACTCAAATATGAATTTTTGACCTGTTAAATTTGTTTTTCATACATTGAATAATTTATATTCGTTTTTTAAAATTCAAATCTTGGTATATGCGGAAAAAATTTACTTTTTTTTATTATATAGATGATATAATAATTTATTTATTTATATAAATAGAATCATATAAAGATGAGAGATGAAGTATAATGATTAGTAACAAATTAATACGGTAAGTTAGATATCAAATCTTATATGTTCATTTGATTGGTCATTCTTTTTAAAGAAATTAATAATAGATTTTCGTTTTTTTAATTAAATTAAATTACATAAAACAATATTTGACTTGTTTATCCTTAATGAGTTGAATTAATTTACTCTATAAAATTTTATTTCTAATGGTATTCTTAAGTAAATTATTACAAAAAGGAAAGTTAATTAAGGATAATTGTAAATTCTACTCCCCAAATAATAGTATAGTATATTTTCTAGAATATTTAGTACATAAATATACATGGTCGTGAATACAACTGGCAAGGTGTGTATTGGATATGATAGACAAAATAGGACAAATGTTTGGGTAAATTTGGCAAAAGGAAAATATGGTAATTAAAAAAGGCATTTTGTTATGGTAATTGATCACAATTGTCAGTATCTCTAACAATAGTCTAATTTCTCTCCATTCTCTAGTGGTGGTGACGAATTCCTCCTCTTCTTCTCCAAGAGCTTCTTCCTCCTCTTTACTCTTTTTTGTTCAACCACTATATAAATAAGCTCAAATGTTTAATTACTTCTAATAATAACAAATTAAGCTAGCGTAGAGACATTAAGTTAAATAAAACTAAACAAAAAATTGTAACTGGTTTAAGCCAAGGATTAGACCAATACAGTAGCAAGTAATACATCACACTCAAATTTCAGTAGTAGCAATAAAATATCACAAATCTCAACAACAGCGATAAAATATCTGCACGACAAACGTTTCTCTCTCGCTACCTTTCACTATCAAGTGTCTCACGGAGTAATTGACAATTGACATCTTCAGAGAAACAAGACGACAAAGAGTGGTGGGTCGAAAGAGAGTGGTTAAGGTACAGAAAACGACAAATAAGGTATTATTATAAAAATAGAAAGTAAAACTTGAAAATGACGTAACATTGATTCCAGCTGAGCCACGTAGGGGGCCAAGGCCAATGAACAGAAAGGAAGCTACGGAACAAGGGCTCTCTTGTGGGACCCATCTTTCTGTTTATTGACGTTTTGCTGAATGTGTTGTTTCGGTTTTACACTCTAATTTAGGAAACATTTTTTGGTGGATAAGTATAGATTTGAAACGCCTCTATTTTTATTTTTATGTGTAATTGTTTAATTATTATTTTTTTTGTCAACTAATTTTATTATTGATAAACTTGTTGGATACACAATCCAAACGAGGGAAACTAAAACCCAAAAGAGGGAAACTAAAGCCGACAGACGCAGTAGAAGTCTTCAGAGTCAATAGCCGGAGGAAAAACGAGAAATCCCCGGAGTCTAAGCCCTATAAAAGGGAAACAGAAGTACTATAACCATAAAACAGAAAAACTCAAAGCAAAACGAAAGAGGACGAACCCTTAAACTAAAAACATAAACAACTAGGCTAAAACCTTAAGAAACATACTAGTCTCAAGAAGCAAGAACTCTTCTCCTGAAGCACTTGTAGAAAAGACTTACCAAGGACGCCCAAAGCCAATCCAAAGATAACATCAACCACCTCCTATCAAAATGAGAGCCGATCTCTCGAAACTAGAACCAAAGCTATCATAACCCGGCAAGCAAAGACTCGAACACACTTCCGGATGCGACGACGATGACTCAGCGTCCTTTTATCGTCTAGGTAGATGCCTTCAAAACGCGATCAGGTCAAACCGGACCTACAACGCAAGGACAAGGAGCGTAGCCTAACCTCTCGAAAAACCAAACTCAACTGAGCTGGAACGAGACAACTAACAACCACAACGAACCACAACAATGAGAAGCGCCAAATGCAAACCTTGAAGACTAACATATCAACAAACAATGTGAAGCCTATGCTTAGAAAGGGATCGCGCCTTATGGGAATCAAAGGCTGGGCGAGTAGACCGAGGAGAGGAGATGCAAAGGCTGGGCGGATAAAACGCAAACACAGCCAGGCAACACTAACGGCTTCAAAACGATGAGATGCACAAGAACGGGAACAGAACAAGGGTAGGATCAAGCAAAGAAGATACCTTATTAATCGAGCCACACCGTAGATCTACCAGAACCGGAATTACTAACATCTTCTCCGTAACCACAAAACCCAAATCTTCCCGCAACTACCGCTTCCACAAATCCAAAATCGAAACTCGAAACAACCCAAGAGACCCCCCAGACGCAAGCCAAAAGTTCTGCAAACTAACCAACTACACAATCCTAGCAACCGGATAAACGCAAAAACTCAATCTAACCACCGCAATCACCATGAAAGAAGAGAAACGACCTCACCGAGAAACAATTGGCCATAACGGGGAAACCAGGAGGCGGCCACGACTGGAGACACTCCAACAAAGGGCGAACCCAACCATCGCAAGCCACATCTAATTCCAAAACCCGGCAAAAAACCGGCAAACCGTACCTCCAATCAAAGCCATACCAACAAAGAAACTAGAAGCAAAGACGAGATTAAAGCTAAAAGGAGAGGCTGGAGCCGATGCTGAGGAAGCCACCGCGATCCAGCCTCGATCTAGAATTATTATTAATTTTTTTTACGGTTGGAACTCGAGAGAGGTTGTTTAATTATTTAATTATTTATGTATCTGATTTTTTGTTTTTAAGACAAATGTTTCCGTCATTATTTTAATGACATTCCTATCCTCTCTGTTCCTATTGTTGATGAACCTCTTTTTTTTATTATTATTATTATAAGAAGCAACTTTTTTGTTGCTTATATATTGAACTTAAAAATACTTGCATTTAAGAAAAATCCACACTTACTGAATCCTTTACACTCATTAATCTGTTATAAGAAAAAAAATGAAGAAACCATTATAGAAAAGGATCTTAGAAAAATGGAAATAAACATAGGTTTTTAATAACTCCATAACGATAAGTCATCATCGCCGTCGACATCGTAATTATGATTCCATTGTACTGACGGCAGCGGCAAAAGCATCCCTTCCGCCATATTAGCCAACAAACTCGGCATCCCAAACATTGCCTCCTCGTCTATATAAATCGATTCTTCGCTCTGTTCCGCCGTCACAAAAGCCTCCACTAACGTCTCCTCCATGTCGAAGCCATGATCCGTTGTCGTATATATCACACATCTCATCTTGAAACGCCAACGCAGCTTCAGCCGCCGCCTTTTGGATTTCCTTGGCGCAAGTCGATTCCGGGATTCGTAGCCGCCAAGCAGAGTCAGCGAAATTGAGACAGGCGGATCGGCCACGGAGGGCTATGGCGGCGACATCGTGAGCACGAGCTGCCATCTCAGCGGTTTGGAAAGTCCCGAGCCAAATCCTCGTTTTTTTGTTTGGCTCTCTCAACTCACACACCCACTTACCGGAGTTTCTCCGACGAACTCCTCTGTAAATTGGGTGACGAGTCTCACGAAACTTCTTACGACCCGCCGGTTTCTTGGGGCAGCTCGTCGCCAGCGTCGGACTATAATCACCGCCTGAGGAAACCGAAGACTCGTAGTCGGAGCCAAACATTTCAGAGAAAGCAGAAAATGAGCTCATTGATCTATACTCTGTTTGAATTTTTTTTGGATAAGGTTATAAAAAAAAGTAGTAACTAAAAGATCTGTGTTTTTTTTGTTGGTCTGATATAATATTAATTTCTCTCTCTTTTTATTTTCTAATTCAGGTGGATTTAAGTTTGTAGTTGATAAAAAAGTTGGAGTGAGAGAACTTGTTGTTTTATAATGGCGGAAGATATTTGGATATTTTTGTGGCGAAAGAAAAGGCAAACACGGGAATGCCACGTGCACTATACACAGCCAAGCAATTGTGAAATGAGTAGTTTAAGGTTTTACTCACTAAGAGCCTGCCATGTGTCCTTCGACCCTCTTGAGAGATTTTTTTTTGCCTCTTCACTCGTTAAGATATGTGTTGGCGAATAACAAAAAAGATACCTTTATGTGAATGTGTGGCTATTGTGTGTATGTGGTATACTAAGACCATCTTTATCAATGGATTCTTAAGAAAATTTTAAGATGATTTTAGTAATTTTTTAGTATTATTACTAAGAACCAAAGTTAAGATGAGTTGAGAGAGTTGCTTACCTAAGAGCCAAAAAGAGGTAAATCTTAACTTTGGTTCTCAGTAATAATACTAAAAAATTACTAAGATCATCTTAAGATTTTCTTAAGAATCCATTGATAAAGATGGTCTAAGTAAGTCTAGGATAACATTTATTTATTACTATTATTTTCCTGAATATAAGAAATTGTGAAAGAGATATTTTAGGTAGATGCTCTTTTTTTTTTTGGCTTTTCCCCTTTACATTGCAAATCCTTCTAGAGTATGAATAAGGAGAGTAGATATTTTTGTGCTAATTAATATTTAGCTAACAAAATATACAAAAGTTAGAACATAATGTAAACGTAGTTTTAAAATAGGCGTGTTTGGATTCAGGAAACAAAATAGATAATTATCTTTTGCAAAAACAAAACAAAAAAAGATAATTATGTAAGTATGTGACATAAGAAGAATGTAGTAAGCATGCAATAAAAGAACATTTTGCATTAAATTTTGGGTCAATGAAATTTAAAACCATAGATGAATAGTTTATTAGTTTTGTAACATTAATAATTTGAAAATTATGTATATAGAAAAGAGAAAACAAAAGTAAACCATAAATATCTTCTCCATTTAGTTTAACTACACAAAATGTCATTGATATAATACATTATTTTCTGATGTAATATATCGGTTATACTGTTCATAAACTACTTGCTGACACTGTTTATACAAGACCGACAACACTATTCATCAGATAATATAGTTAAACATTTATTGTTTTAGTGTGTAACTATTTGGTTAACATGGTATCACTATAAGTTTACATATTGTGTGTTAATTGCATGTTTATCGATTTAAATTCGTGAATCAATGCTTTTTATTTATGTATATATATCAGTTCAATAAAGAAGAATTAGTCTTTCTATTATATAATGAACATGATAACAATTATAATAACATGTTATATAGAATGATAACGTGCTATATTTAATATCTGAATAATATTTATATGAACATGATAAGATAGTCGATATGGCCATATGGGTAATATTTATATTAACGTGTAACTCATACATAATATTTACTAAATATAATTAATAATAAGGTTATCCTGATAACAATGAAAGTAACCAACAATGAAAATAAAAAGCTTTCTCACTTTATAGAAAACTTACAAAACAATTACAGTAGCGATTTGTTTTTTCACCGCCGCAGATGCCGAAGACGGAGGATTCAATTTTGCCGACTAACAAAATTTTCTTGGCCACTACAGATCTGGTTCTAGCGATACTTTAATTGCCAATAATTTCGAGAGACGCTGGAAAAACTATACCAAAATTTGACGGAGGAGAAGACATATCAAAAACTTCGAGGATTTTGGATCTCAAACCCATACGAGGCATCAAAGATTAGTGGATAAGAAGAGTTGGTATGGTGGTTTGCCAGAGATGGGACGAGTTTGATGTTGGTGGTTGTGACGATTGAAGCGTCGGAGCTGTCCAGAATTGAAGGAGATAGCAACGGATGAGGAAGGTTTCACAAATATCTACATAATTATTTTGTAAGGTATTTATGTCAATTTATACCAGCATAGTAAAGTACAATAGTACATAAATGTATCAATTAATTTTGGATTCGTTTGAGGTTAGATTTTGATAATATACTTAAGTTTATCACAATTCTCAGGCCTCTCTCCCATTCTAGACTACTAGATTTTGTACCCGCGCGTTGCACGGGATTTTAATTTTAAAATCTTTTCTATTGATATAAAATTTGAGCATAAAATATAATCAATTAAATTTAAAAGATAATTTTTTGAGCATAAATATAATAATTCAAATTTTAAACACTAAGCTTATTTTACGCAGCGATATATAACATATATATTATCGACGATAATATTTCTTTGACAAATAAATAATTTGATATATATCACGTGGTAACAAAGATCACTTAAGATAATCCCACAAATAATAAACGGTATCAACACTCTCAAAGGGTTTATTTCTTATTCATATTCCATGAAGGTATTTATAAAAGTTTTGATATTAATTATCGACTGTTGATCTAATTGTAGATATTATTTATGATTAAATGTTGATACGAACATAACATCATTCCATATAAAATGTGAATTTCCCGAGTTTCATGAACATTATTTAGTGTAAAAATACATCTATAATACCATGTTGCTAGAACCAGTTTAGCGAGTTTGATTTACCCATCAAAGCTAGTGCAACAATAAGAGAATTTCCGACTAAGTCATCAATGTGCCTATCTTATTTTACTTTCCATGATTACATGGCCAAACGGTTAAACCCAACTTTGAATCTAATAATTTGTTTAATAATGTATGTCATGTATTTTCTAAGAACTCATTCGTTTCACACAATGAATGAGATCTCAAAGATACATTAGTCATGTGCATTATCTTTCTAAAGTTTTAGAAATTTATTTTCAAACTCTTTTAACTACCAGTTCTTTCGTCATCTTCTATGATGCAATCGTTGCCTCTCGACATCTATTTTCTTTTTACCTTCTATTAACTCACACATAATATATATTGGACTGTGAATTGATTTTCAAGACATATCATAACTATCTTTTCAATATTTCATTGATGAAATATCAAACTTAGTTTTTTTTTATTCTGTTATAAAGTTGTACTTCCACTTAAGAATATGCTACACAAATTACATATCACTTTTTTTTAATGGCTAAATTTATTTTTAATATATTTTATTGTAAAACTCATGAATACTGTGATCACTGATTATTTATTTTTTAAAAGATGGATGATAAGGTTTTAAAATTTTCAAGATTTTTTTTTTTTTATAATTTCACAAGATAAAGTTTGCATCTTACAATATTTTCTTCTTAAATTATAAATTTAAGTTGAGTTTAGTAATTTTTTATTTTTCTTTAAGTAAAAATTTAATAATAACTAAAAATATGTAGTATATTGTTCTTCGAAACTAATATTTTACTTTGAATTTTATTTTCTTGTTTAAAGTTTCACATATAGAATTACATAAATTTACTTTCATCCTAAAACTCATTAACACATTTAAAATTTTGAATACTGACCATATTTAATTTTTATCATTTAAATGTTGAATTATATTAGTCTTACTTATAAAATTTTTCTAGTATTATTTTATTATTTTAACATTTTATTTATTTTACATAATTCGTTTTTTATTTATTTAAAATGTATTATTTCTATTAATTACAAGTTAATGCATTAAATGGATGTTTTAAATTGATTTTAATGTAAAATAAATATTATTGTTTAGGTGGATGCTTAGGTGGATACCTTAGTAGGAGAGAAGACTTTCTAATTATATATATAGATTTTATCTTTTCTCTCTAATGCTGGCATATATATAAAATATAACTTATGCTGATATTTTATTTAGCTCTTATTGGCATTGAGATAAACTAATGCTGGCATATATACAAATATCATCCACATTTTTGTGCGTGTCTGAGAACAAAAAAAAATCATCCACGTGTAATGAGTATGTCCACATATTTTGGCTTGAAAGCAACTATTTGACGTTTAGCATCTTCTTTACTTTTTGTAATATTTGACTTTAATTTATGCGAAGTAAAGGGGATGTGTATTTAGTCAAGTGGTTAAGTCCATTTGACTCCGCCTTCCCCACCGGAATTCGACTCTACTAAATCGCGTTACCCCGCGTAGTAGGGATTGGCTATGGATCGGGCCTTGTCGATCTAAAGATGTCAAAAGAAAAAAAAAAAAAAATTATGTGAAGCAAAGATGTAGAGAGGGAAAACGATTTTTTTTTGGAGCTTTTGCAAAAATGCCATTTTTTCAATGCCATTTTTCAAAAATACTTTTTTTAAAAAACCTTATAAAAAATACTCTTAAAAATATAAGATTTACCCAAATATATATGTAATATTATTAAAACATACACAAACTATATTTCTATGTATCTAAAATCTTATAAATACTTTATAAATACCTTATAAATGTATTTTAAATACCTTTAAAAACATTTAAAATATCTTGTAAAACCTTTGAAAAACCTTAAAAATCCTTTAAAATAACTTGTAAAACCTTTAAAAACACCTTATAAAACCTTATAAATACTTGGATCGAGTCTTCAAGTAGTAGTTACAATCCATAAAGTACCTTATAAACCTAATAAAACTTTCTAAAAATTTCAGCTTTAAAAAGGGGTATTTTTGAAAATAGACATCTAAAATGGGCATTTTTGAAAAGGGGCACACCAAAAGAGATATTTTTAACAATTTCCCTTTTTTTTTTATTGAATTATTTTACAATCATTTCTCTTACTACAAACAAAAAAAAAAAGGAAGGATCCATTCTAAAAAAGGAGCTAAAATCTTTTCAAACAATAGTACAAAAATGGAAACGAATATCGAATTTTAAAAACTCCACAACGACACGTCACCATCTCCCTCGCCGTCGTAATTATGATTCCATTGAACGGACGGCGGCGGCAAAAGCATGCCTTGGGCCATATTATCCAACAAACTCGGCATCCCAATCATCGTCTCCTCATCCATATAAAACGCATCATCACTCTGTTCCGGCGTATAAATAGCCTCCACCATCGTCTCCTCCATGTCCAGGCCATGATCATTGGTCGTATCACACCTCTCATCTTGGAAAGCCAACGCCGCTTCAGCCGCAGCTTTCTGGATATCTTTGGCGCAGGTTGATTCCGGGATTCGTAGCCGCCAAGCCGAGTCAGCGAAATTAAGACAGGCGGATCGGCCGCGGAGGGCTAATGCGGCGACATCGTGAGCACGAGCTGCCATCTCGGCGGTTTGGAAAGTTCCGAGCCAAATCCTCGACTTCTTGTTTGGCTCTCTCACTTCACACACCCACTTACCGGAGTTTCTCTGACGAACTCCTCTGTAAATTGGGTGACGAGTTTCGCGAAACTTCTTTCGACCAGCCGGTTTCTTCGGACAGCTTGTCGCCAACTTCGGACAATAATCTCCGCCTGAAGAAACTTGAGACTCGTAATCGGACGCAGAAAATGAGCTCATTGATCAAAAACTCTTTTTGAAGAAACTGGATAAGGTTTAAGCTTGTACGTAGTTACTAGAGTTCGCAGTCTTTTTGGATTAATAAAAGATAGTATCTGTTTTTTTTTTTTGGTCGAAAAAGATATGAGTATCTGTTTTTGTAAAGCTATTTATATCTCTCTCTTTCTTTTTTTTCTTTTCAGGTAAATTCTTTTTCGAGTGTGTAGTTAGGATAAAACTGAGAGTGAGTATTGGTGTTTATATTGGCCGGAGGAGAGATATTTGGGGGCGCACGCACACGGAGTTTTTGTCTCGTGAATGACACGTGGATAGTAGTATAGTACACAGCTAAACGATCCCACGGAATTGTACTATCACCCACTCGATGTCTGACATGTGTCATTTGACCCTTCTAGGGAGGCTTTTGACTCCTTCACTCGTTAGACCTTTATGTTTATGAGTTCTTTAACTTCTATCGTGTGAGTATGTGGCTGCTGTTGTTACAATCGTTAATTCATTATTAAATTCTATGAATAAACAATTTGTCATTAATTGTCTCCCGTCTATTACACAATAAACATAAAATATCTCTGTTAAATGATATTTTAAGTTTCTTCCATTGACGGCTTGGAATGGTAACCCATTTTAAAGCTGTACCACTCTGTACAGCTTTGACAGTTACCAATCAGAAAAGCTTTATGAAAAGCGATATATTATAACATAAACAGTTTTTTTGGACAAAAGCAAAAACAAATTAAAACGGTTACGGTTAAATACTGTTATGGTTAAATACGGTTATAAGGGTTACGGTTAAATACGGTTATAACGGTTACGGTTAAATACGGTTACGGTTACAACGGTTAAGGATAATTACGGTTATAGTTATTTGATGACTACAATACGGTTAATCGGAGGCGAAATCTTACGAGTTACCTAACTTATTATAATACTTTTCATAAAATCAAAAAGTATGTTACAAACCAAATTTTCTTCATTTCGAGCAAAATAACAGTATAACATATTTGTACAGTTTTCGTGTTTTATTCTTTTGTACAGCTTTGCACTATTCCCTTACAGCTCCAGCTAACAGCTAACAACTTGTTATCAATTAGACCCGACATGTTGTGCACTGCAAATACTCATGTAGTATGAGTTTAGTGGAAGTAGATGTCCTGATATCTAATAATTAGAAATATAAAAGCTTGATTGTAAAATGAAATTATCAAATTTGGTAATGCATATGTAACACCTCGTACCCAGAAATGTAATATTTTGACTGACGGTTGAAAATGAGTCATATAAGAATAAGCATGTTAATCGTAAAGCGAGTCTTTCTTTCGACGCTAGTCAGTGGATAAAAGAGTACTCATAAAAATAATATTTCCTTTGAAATATGCTTATATGAAAATGAGTCATATTATAGCTAGAGCCTAGAGATTGGTTGAATAGTGGAGAATGAACGTAACCAAGAGATTGTGTTCTTTGTTTGAATAGCCTAAAAATAATATTTGGAATAGGGCCTAATGATTGGTTAAATAGCCTAAAAATAATATTTCCAGCAGATTGTGTTCTTTGTTGCTCTCGATTGGACACTGACACTCATTCTCACTTAATTTTAAAATCTATTTGGAATATCTAAGCAAAACGAGTATAAAAAAATCCACATCTTTCGCTTTCATAAGCTGCTTCTTGGGTCATGACTTTTTTTGCTCATCTACGACTGACTATGCATGCACAATCCTAAAGCTTTTACTGCAAACCTTGTTGGTGTTTATTTTATATAAACATGTTTATGTAACATAAACATTTGTATTTATGTAAATACTCTTTTACATGTTCAAATTACATCACGTCTCTTGGTTACGTTTATACCGATACACCGGTTGAGATAAGAGAAGCATCTCTTGGATCAAACATCGCTTCATTAATATATAAGAGACGTGACGATGTAGAGATAGGGATCGGAGAGAGAGACAATAGAGAAGAACAATACAAGAGAAACAAAGGAGAGAAAGATTGGGATTGATTCTCATCTTCTTCTTCTCCAAATCAATTTCAGAGAATCTCAAAGTAGAGTTTGCTAGGGTCTCTGTACGGTGTTAAAACAGAAATCGATAGTTGTATCCTACAAGATAGAAGCCTACACAAAGCTACGTACACCACCGTAGGGGCTAAATTCTGTCTTAGGAGATTGCCAATTGCAAGCCTCTATCAATCTATACGTTGTTCTTACGAGGAAGAGAAGAGATCGTAAAGTAAGTTTCAGTTCTGTAACAATTGTTTTTCCTATTTGTTACTTATTCTATAAAGTGAACGTATTAGTTTATGTGTATTACTCTGCATCTATAATCTTCGATCAACAAACCTCAATTTAATTATATGATTTGGAAAGAAGAGAATAAATTATTATTTTTTTGAAAAAAGCTCTCACAATCTATTTTTTGTTGACGCATTATTCGCAACAGATTAATATACTGTTTTTCGGAGGATCCGCTTATCACTATTTTTTTCTTTGGCTTTAACTTTGGTTGTATTAGTCACCCACTATAAAAATGGCAATAGCTCATTTTTTTAATGTTCCTATAGTCTCTATTAACAAGAGCTAAACTTTATTTTTCTTCTATTTTAAATTGTAATTTTTTTTTGGTATAAATTTTAACATCTAAACTTAAAAAATAAAAATTGTAAGGCGGTCTCGGCAAAAAAAAAATCTTACGAATTCAATTTGAGTTTTAAGGAAAAACCTATGCAATTGACTGCATTAAAATGCGCGAATAAATTCTAGTACAAAATATCTCAATCTCACTAATAGCTATTGACAAAAAACAAAAAAGCTAGAAAAGATCTTCACAATAAGATATGCATAAAATATATTCGATTACAAAAACGTCTCTGTCGCCACCTCTCACTCTCACGTTATTGACATGTTAGGAGAAATAAGAGAGCAAATAATGGGAAAAAAGAGTGGTAAGGTGAAGAAAACAACAAAATTGGCTTTAGTGGAAAATAGAAAGTTGAGCTTGAGAGTTGAGAGTGACGAATGGGGCCAGTGAGAAGAGGGGGACGGTTTCCGTGGTCGAGCTACGGGGTGTAGGATTTTGACTGGCCCACGCACTATCTTTCTGTTTTTGGAAAACCGTACGGACTATTGTTTAGTTTGCTGAATCGGTTTGTTTCGGATTTATACTCTCTCTCGGGAATTTTTTAAAGACATTCTTGAGTGGATTGGACTGGATCTTTTGTAGCTTTTTGTTTATAATTCACCCACACGAGATAGAAAATAATTGAGGTTTTGTGACATACTATATGAAAAGTCGAAACTCGTTCTCATTCCACGTGTGGTATGATATTTTTGTGGCCACATATTCTGCATTGAAAGCAACTAAACTTTTAACATAAGTGAAGCAATGAAGAGGAAACCGATTTCTAACATAAGCTTCACTTCTTAACAACAACATTTAAACTTCCGAAAAACCTAAAATGCTTTTTCAAATCGAAATCTTGAAAGTGTTGTTAAGTTGCAAAACTTTTTAAGAACTTGTAGTATATTCATTTTATGTGATACATGTTCTAGTTCTATTAATTAATAGTATATTCTAAATCTCTAATCAAAACATATAATGAAATCTTCATAATATATTAGTATTGTTTTGTTTTTTTTAAAACATAGCTTCAATTTTGTTTTACTTGTTAGTTGTTTAGCTATATAAATATTATGTTGGGCCTTTTATGAATTGTTTTAACAGATTGGCCCAATACTCCAGTTAGCTAAAAATGGAGTAGATTTTATTCTTCTTTGAAACTAAAAAGAAAGAAAAAAATAAAAAAATATCCAAATTATCTCTTTATCTTCTCGAAGCGAGCTTGTTCTAGGGCTTCCACGCGACTACGACTGCGAAATAAATCATTCTACAGGTAAAAATAGCTCTTTGATTCTCGATATCGTGGATCTGAGCTTTTTTTTTTATTTTGCTGGTAAAAGATTCATGCTTTCGTGGTTTGTTCTGGTTTGCTTTTCCCTTGTGAATAATTTTAGATCTGACTGCAATTAGATTAGATCTGATGCATTAAACTTTGACTCTGCTAACTTTTTGGTTCAATTCCAGGATTTAACGGATTTGGAGCTCGAATAGATAGTCTTAAATTACTAGTGATGAATTGAGCTAAACAATTCGATTTAGTGTGATGGCTAGTATATAGTGTTCATTTTGGTGACAAAGTTGTTGTGATAATCGTGTTTAAATTGTCTCATTCAAGGATCTTTTTTTGTACTACGGTGGTGTCTATGCAGGAAGCATGAAGCCAGTCTTCTGTGGGAATTTTGAGTATGATGCCCGTGAGGGTGATCTCGAACGACTTTTCAGGAAATACGGCAAGGTTGAGAGGGTTGATATGAAAGCTGGTAAGCCTTTTCTTTCTCTCTTTCTTCTGCCTTTTACGTTTTTTTTTTTTTTTTTTTGTGGATTACCTCGATGAACAAGCAGTATTGTAAACCACTAAGTGCAATGAAAAAGCGAAATTCAAATGCATTTCACGAAATCCACTTCCGTGTTCTTCCCATCCACGAGAAGGCTCTGGTGGACTTTCTCCTTTTGGAAGGAAGTACTAAACATAGACCACATCCACCTGGCCACGTTTGAAGTTTGGAAAGTACTTCAGAAGAAAAACTTTAGAAAAAAAAAAAAGATTAGTGTAAAACGGCATTTTCTTTGGCGCAGGATGTGATTGATAATCTTGGGATGCCTATACTCCCACCAGGCCATGAATGGACCATTGAGAAATCCATCTCCTTATCCCCCAAATTGAGTCACTTTCCATCCGCAATAGCACTGCCATCTTAATTGCATTTCATTCCTCATCACTTTACACACTTGGACATGCCTCTGCAATGGAGAAGACACTCTGTTTTCATTCACATCCCGTCTGACTTCCACATTTTTCAGTTGTTCCTTGACATATTAATTCCATAATGCAAGGTCTGTAACTGCTTCACTGGTCATTTGGTTTGCAGAGTTTTTTAAGGTTCTAGATGTTCAAAATTTAATTTGTAAGTTAGCCTATTTGATGCCGCTGAAGGAGGGAGTACAGTGTTCGTGTTCGCTGAAGGTTCTTAACCTGGTTTACTTCCTCACTGTTAATGTACTCAGATCTTTGCTTTTGGCTTTTCTTTTTTTCTTTTTCTCCAGGGTTTGCTTTTGTGTACATGGAAGATGAAAGGGATGCAGAAGATGCCATCCGAGCCCTTGACCGTATTGAATTTGGGCGTAAGGGACGAAGACTTCGTGTTGAGTGGACAAAGGTAGGATACTTACCTCAGTATTTAACTCTTCCCAGGCTTAATTATGAGGTTTGAAATACTGATAACATTAATGGGTCTGTGTGTAGAGTGAACGTGAAGGTGATAGAAGATCTGGTGGTGGTTCAAGGAGATCCTCATCCGGCATGAGACCTTCCAAAACTCTCTTTGTGATTAACTTTGATGCGGATAACACTAGGACCCGGGATCTAGAGAGACACTTTGAGCCGTATGGAAAGATCCTAAACGTTAGGATCAGGAGGAATTTTGCATTTATCCAATACGAGGCACAAGAGGATGCCACAAGAGCACTGGATGCTACAAATAACAGGTTTATTCCTGTCCAATCTAGTATCTAGTTGTTTTCCTTTCTTAGACTCATGTTTTGCCTGTGTTTCCATTCAGTAAGCTGATGGATAAGGTGATCTCAGTGGAGTATGCGGTGAAGGATGATGATGCTAGAGGGAATGGACACAGTCCTGAAAGACGCCGTGATAGGTCACCTGAAAGGAGAAGGCGATCACCTAGTCCTTACAAAAGAGAAAGAGGAAGCCCTGATTATGGCCGAGGTGCTAGTCCTGTTGCTGCATACAGAAAGGATAGGACCAGTCCTGACTATGGCCGTAGACGTAGCCCAAGTCCTTACAAGAAATCAAGGTGTGGCAGTCCTGAGTATGGTCGCGACCGCAGAGGCAATGATAGTCCTCGTAGGAGGGAGAGAGTTGCAAGCCCTAAGTACAGCCGCAGTCCCAACAACAAGAGAGAGAGGATGAGCCCTAATCACAGCCCGTTTAAGAAGGAAAGTCCGAGAAATGGGGTTGGTGAAGTTGATAGTCCCATTGTAAGGAGGGAGAGATCGAGGTCTAGCCCAGAGAATGGCCAAGTTGAAAGCCCTGGCTCAATAGGAAGAAGAGACAGCGATGGTGGGTATGATGGTGCAGAGAGCCCAATGCAGAAGAGGTTAGATGGTGACATAGTTTGATACTTGTATATGTATTATGATGATTCTAACCATTTTCTTGTTGTTGCAGCCGGTCTCGTTCGCCACCAGCTGACGAGTGATGAAAGTGGATCCACAATCTCTCTATCAAAGTTAGGATGTTGTAACTGTTTGTAGTCAACGCTATGTTTGTCGTGATTAGTTTTTGTCTTTTGCTTAATGGATTCGAACTCGGATCTCTTTTATTGTCTGATTGAAAAACTATGTCTGTGTGCCAAGGTACTGCATTTTCGATTTTTATCATCTTACAAGTTTGAACTCCAATCACGAATTAAAAGGACATAATTATCGAAGACATGAATGAGGAAGTAGACAAAAGTACTTACCAAATGAGCATATATGCATCTTGTTGGTTGGGTAATGTACCAGTTCCTTGTGGTAAACCGGTATGAGGCTGAGGTAATGTACTGGTGTCTTCTCTTCAACTTCCTCTGTTTCTCTATTTGCTCGGTGGGATAGAGTCTTAACCTGCAAAGGCTTGAGATAATTTGTCAAACTCCTGATCTTGGCACAGCCCGAGACGATGTTTTACCTGCAATTTCCTTTGTAAACATCACATCTCCCCACCACACACAGTCCCATATAACTGAAGCAACTCGTTCATCAAGCAGTGACAATGCGGAAACATTGAAACAATTCAATTCTTTGACAAAATGGAACGCATCGAAATTATTTATGTAAGGCAAAGACGGTCCTATTGACTCCATTCGGTCTTAAAACTCCTCTAACGCCTCTTGTCAACAACGATCGGACTAAAAAAAAAAATATTGTCAACAAAAAGAAAATACCAATCTCTTCCATTTTATTCTTCCATATTGGTCGTCTGTTTTAATATATATATATATATATATATATATATATATATATATATATATTTTCCGAAAGGATGTTGTAAAGGTTTAAATCTCTTGTTCAAGTCCCTCACGGGGTTCTGATTCTGGGGTTTGATTGTGCAAGTCCACAAGTCTACTTGGTTTATTTATTTATTTAGAGTTGCCGCCGATTGGATTTGTTGGTAAGTTTTTTGACACTAGGAGATTTCTGCAAATATGCTAGGGGATGCTTGTCTGATAATTTAGTGCTTTCGAGTATTATCAAGAATTCGCCTTTCTGTCTTCTTTGTTGCATCGAGGAACTATTTTGCTTCTAGTTTCTAGGCTTACCCGTCTCGGATTTTGTTTTCAGATTTTTGACCATTGGGGTGCTCAAGCTAGTTATATTTTCGTTAAATTATCTCAGTTTCATCGGTGAAACTAGAGCATAGCCGTCTCGGATTCTCTTGTTTTGTTCTGAGATTTCAAGCTTTTCATTCCGTCCTTGTATTTGGACACCATGCTCTGTACCTGCTCTCCTGGGGCACTGTCTTAGGAGCTGTCGAATCGAGTTTCTCTTTGAGTGATGCTCTTGGTCCGGAAGCTCTAAATATGCAGAGGAGCAGTGCCATCAATAATAATATGCGTATCCCAACATCACCTGTGTCTTTCTCCCCGAGTAGCATTAACATACCTGGTTCATTGGTTCTTGATGGCTCTGCTTCAATGCAACACTTACCTCAGCAGCAGCAGCAGCAGCCTGTTCCAATGAGGGAAAACAATTATTCCCATGTGGATAAGAAACCCAGATTACAAGTGAAGCACGAAGACTTGTTGCAGCAGCAGATTTTACAGCAGTTGATCCACCGTCAGGACCCCACGGGAAGGAATCCGCAGTTGCAAGCTTTGCTTCAGCAGCAGAGACTCAGGCAACACCAGCAGATGCTTCAATCCATGTCACCCTCCCAGAGGCTCCAACTTCAGCACCAGCAGCAGTTGAGACAGCAATTACAGCAACAACAGATTTCTCCTAATGTAGTTGGCGTCTGTGCTCGCAAATTGATGATGTACTTGTATCATCTGCAGCAACGGCCTGCTGTAAGCTAATACTAACCTCTGGACTTTTTGTTATTTCATCACATCTATTCAAGTTCTCCCATCACTGATACCTATTTGTAGGAAAATTGCATTACCTATTGGAGGAAATTTGTGGCAGAATACTTCTCACCTCGTGCAAAGCAAAGGTTGTGCTTGTCGCAGTACGAAAGTGCTGGGCACCATGCGCTTGGCATGTTTCGACAGGCAGCTCCGGTCAGTATCGTCTTTTCTCTGTGTGTTTTGATCTTTTATGATATCGGTGTTCTGCATCAGCGTATCTTTAGCCATGCACATGTTTACTCCACCTGTACTATTTATAAATTTCACTATACTGATTTTTTAACTAATAAGTCCATTATCTTCTCATTTTGTTTGCAGGATATGTGGCAGTGTGATCTTTGCGGCACCAAGTCTGGAAAAGGATTTGGTAAGAGAGTCCAAGTTTCTCATCCTTGTGTGTACTTGTATTTCTGTGCCTCACTTAACTGACTTATGCACAATGAAACAACTTCCATATGCTAATTTTCTCTTTTATTCTTTAAAACTCTGATAACTGTATTAAAAACTCTTCCATCAAAATAAAATAGTAGCTAAACTGTCATGTTTTCGTTCCGCAGAGGCAACGTTCGATGTGCTTGCCAGACTTATTGAAATCAAATTTGCAAGTGGCATCATTGATGAGCTCTTATATCTGGACCACCCACGAGAAAACAGATTTCCCAATGGACTGATGATGTTAGAATATAGAAAAGCAGTTCAGGAAACTGTACACGAGCAGTTTCGTGTTGTCCGTGAGGGCCATCTTCGCATCATATTCTCTCAAGATCTGAAGGTATCTAGAACAATTCCCTGGTCAAAAATTATGACTCTTTCGTCAATTCTATTTTACCCTACTTATTCACCGAACATGAAAAGCAAAGAAAAAAAGCAATCACCAGTTTGCTAATGCTTAGCTAATCTTGACTTTGCTTCTTCCTAGATACTGTCTTGGGAGTTTTGTGCTCGGCGTCATGAAGAGCTTCTTCTTCGCAGACTTATTGCTCCTCAGGTCATATTCTAATGGCATGGCCCTTGCATTAATTATTAGGAGCATAAGACTTTACAAAAAACATTTGTGGTCAACTGTATAACTCTGCTTCCTTAAACACTTGTGAAATTGAGGATAGCTAATAATACCCTGCTTCCCTAAACATTTTGTATAAGTGCTTATCTTCTGGTTTCCTATGAATTAGAGCACAAATTCTGTAACTTTACTTCAGAACAGACATGCTGCAATGGTGTTGGGAAGTGTATTGGAAACTTATTATTGGTCATGCAGGTGAACCAGTTGCTTCAGGTTGCACAGAAATGCCAGAGCACAATTTCAGAGAGTGGTTCAGAGGGAGTTTCTCAGCAGGATTTACAGTCAAACAGTAATATGTTAGTTTATCCGTAACACTTAATTTACCTTTCTACACCCAATATGGTGGATACAGACTATTCTTTTACTGTCTATGTGCTGGCATTTGTTTCTAGTGCTCTATATCATTCCGGTACTTATTTGTGTGTCAGGGTCTTGGGAGCAGGACGACAGCTGGCGAAGTTCATGGAATTACAGTCACTGAATGATCTTGGCTATCCAAAAAGATATATCAGAACTCTACAGGTACTCATTAGCTCCTTTCCTAGCTGTTACCTTTGTATCTGTAGTCTTAAGAAGTCCTAATAGTATAATTCATTACGAGTGACAGATATCTGAAGTTGTCAAGAGCATGAAGGATCTGATGAATTTCACTGGCGAGCACAAGATCGGCCCTATGGGTAAGTCTAGAATTCCCATCTACAACATTATTCTTGAATGAGACCCAAAACGAGGTTGCTCCTCTGGTGTAACTCTCCTGTTTAAAGGCTCTGATTTTGATCTGGTTATTGAGTTTCTGACTGAATGTTAACATTTTGAAGCCTGTTTATGTCCCTTATGCAGAGGGGTTAAAACAGCTTCTGGAACAGACAGCGACATTGAAGCTCCAGAGACAGAAAATGCAAGAGATGGAGCAGTTTGGGCCAGCTCAAGCTCAAATGGCGTTATCTTCAGGTACGATAAGCGGTTCAACTGCCAACAACAACTCCAATAATCACCATCAAATTGTTGGTGGTGGAGCTATGAATGGCTCAGATCAAGCCGCAGCAGCTTTGACCAACTACCAAAGCATGCTTATGAGGCAAAATGCTATGAATAACCCAAACTCAAATACGGGTAAACAAGAGGGGTTCTCGAGTCAGAATCCAACCCCGAACTCAAACCAGAGTCCATCTGCTTCATCCCATCAGAGGCAGAACTTAGCTACAGGTGGATTTCCCAGCTCTCCTCAAATGCAACAGCAGCGGCGCACCATGGATGGCGCTCCCAGCATGCTTCCGCAGAATCATCCTCGTCAGTTGCAATCAGCACAGTCACATGGTAACACTCAGGAGCAGCAGATGCTTCATCAGCTGTTGCAGGAGATGTCTGAAAATGGACCGAGTGTGCAACAGCACCAAGCCTTTTTGGGTCAAAGTGGTAGCAACAGTAACGCAGAGAGAAACACAACTGCCTCTACTTCCAACATCTCAGGAGGAGGCCGAGTTCCAAGCCGCAACAGTAGTTTTAAAGCAGCCTCAAACAACAACCTTCCTTTTTCAGATGATATATCGGTTACGGACCATGATTTCTCAGAAGATGGCTTCTTCAACATCAGTGATATCTATGGTGGCTTGTAATATCAAAACAGAACAGATGCATTGTTACTTTGACTAACACAGTGAAAGAGAGTTTAGGCTTTATTTTTCTCATTTAGGTTGGTTTGGTCTTTGTATAGAAACCAAATTGATTTGAGACCAAAGGAGTTTGTGATTTGTTGTAACCTACGTCTACCCATAGGCACTTTAGCTTCGTCGTGTTTTTTTTCTTCCCCTTTTAGTGATAGTGAGGTGAAATCTTAGATTATGATTTCTGCTAACTCACTATCAAGCAATCTTATTCTTTTTTCTTTTACTTTGATGACAATCTGTTTATAGAAAGGAATTTGAGGTTACTTATCCTTTTACGGATTTCAAATATACTTGTCTACATTTGCCTTAAGGACCTTACTTGTATAGTTTTCTTATCTTGAACAAAAAAAAAATGAACCTTGTATATATGCCAGTACACCTAAATCTAGGTTTCTATATTTGCATAAAAACTTGCAATTGTATGTTAAGAGGGAGGGTGCATTTTATGATCTCTTAAGTTTTTTTTTTTTTTTTTTTTTTTTTTAATGTTCATGTATCTTTTGATATTCATCAATTCAAATCAACAAACCACAGAGTTTCGCTTTGGTTAATCACGTAATTTATGGTACGAGTCTTTTAATCCACTATCTCCTAAATCATTTGGCTTCAAAGCTAAGCTTTTGGATGCTATGTTGATTGGATATGTTTAATATATAACAACCAAAAATACGTTTCTTCAAGTTGAAGAACAAGTCTACAAAAAATCTACAATGATTTGATCGATAGCATATACAATGAAAAGGACATACACAAGTGGAACTGTGGAAGACATGCTTCCAAAAAAGGCTCAAAATAGTTCAGGTTGTGTTGCAACTTGTTGTTATGTGTTAAGTTTTATGAGCTTGCATGTAACTTCTGAGCTCCTTCAAGATGATGACTCTTATCAGCCCATATCGAACCAAATCTCACTTTAGTACTAGAAATAAACACTATTTGGATCAACAAATTAGGCTTTGATACTATATTAACTTGCATGACTTCCAACACAAATCAATTCACAATGAGTGTATTAATTCTTGTCACTTCTATATTTCCTTAGGTCTCTTCTAACTTTCGATGTGGGATCATAACATCCCTCTCAGATGATGGCTCTTATGGCCCAAATCAGGAGTTAGAAGATACCTAAAATGCAAGAGAAGGATCTTAATTCATTTCATCTCTACATAATTTCATCTTCATACCTCAATACTCAACCCCTTTATCAAAGTTAAAGATAAAAAAGAATAAGATTACTTGAAAGTGTCTGCAGAATCATAATCTAAGATTTCATCTATCTCTAAAAGGGAAAAAATTGAAGATGCTAAAAGTTCCTATAGATAGGTTACAACAAATCACAAAGTCCTTCATTGGCCGGCCTCATATCTCTTTGGTTTCTATACAAAGACCAACCTAAATGAGAAAAATAAGCCCTAAAGTCTTTTTCACTGTGTTAAGTCAAAGTAACAATGCCTCTGTCCTGTCCGGATATTACAAGCCACCATAGATATCGCTGTTGTTGAAGAAGCCATCTTCTGAGAAATCATGGTCTGTAATCGATATATCTTCTGAAAAATGAAGGTTGCTATTTGAGGCTGCTTTAAAACTGTTGTTTCGGCTTGGAGCTCGGCCTCCTCCTGAGATGTTAGAAGTAGAGGCCGTTGTGTTTCTCTCTGCGTTACTGTTGCTACCACTTTGACCTGAAAAGGCTTGTTGCTGTTGCACACTCGCTCCATTATCAGACATCTCTTGCAACAGCTGATGAAGCATCTGCTGCTCCGGAGTGTTACCATGTGACTGTGGGGATTGCAACTGACGAGGATGATTCTGCGGAAGCATGTTGGAAGCGCCATTCATGGTGCGCTGCTGCTGTTGCATTTGAGGAGAGCTGGGAAATCCACCTGTAACTAAGTTCTGCCTCTGATGGGATGAAGAAGATGGACTCTGGTTTGAGTTCGGGGTTGGGTTCTGACTCGAGAACCCCTCTTGTTTACCCGTATTTGAGTTTGGGTTATTCATAGCATTTTGCCTCATAAGCATGCTTTGGTAGTTGGTCAGAGCTGCTGCGGCTTGAGCTGAGCCATTCATAGCTCCACCACCAACAATTTGCTGGTGATTACTGGAGTTGTTGTTGGCAGTTGAACCGCTCATCATACCTGCAGATAACGCCATTTGAGCTTGAGCTGGCCCACTCATAGCTCCACGACCAACAATTTGATGGTTTTTATTGGCGTTGTTGCCAGTTGAGCCATTCATTGTTCCTGAAGTTAAAGCCATTTGAGCTTGAGCTGGCCCATTCATAGATTCACTATTCCCAAACTGCTCCATTTCTTGCATTTTCTGTCTCTGGAGCTTCACTGTCACCGTCTGTTCCAGAAGCCGTTTCAACCCTTCTGCATAAATGACATAAGCAGGGATAATAACATTCAGTCAGAAAATCATACAGAACATCTTCACCCGGAGAGTTACAACTTACAACAACCAGTACATATTTCAAGTGAGAAGATACAGCAGAGGGGAAACCTGGTTTTGGATCTCATTTAAGAAGCATATTGTGGATGGATATAGTAGACTTACCAATAGGACCGATTTTGTGCTCGCCAGTGAAATTCATCAGATCCTTCATGCTCTTGACAACTTCAGATATCTGTCACTCGCAATGATTAATACTATCAGGACTTCTTAACACTACAGATACAAAGGTAACAGCTAGGAAAGGAGCAAATGAGTACCTGTAGAGTTCTGATATATCTTTTTGGATAGCCAAGATCATTCAGCGACTGTAATTCCATGAACTTTGCCAGTTGCCGTCCAGCTCCCAAGACCCTGATACACAAATTAGCACCCAGCAACGATATAGATTAAAGAGCATTAAAAACAAATGTCAGAGCATTGACAGTAAAAGAATAGTCTGCATCCACCATATTTGATGTAAAAAGGAAATGGAAGTTTTAAGGATCAATTACATGTTACTGTTTGACTGTAAATCCTGCTGAGAAACTCCCTCTGACCCACTCTCTGAGATCGTGCTCTGGCATTTCTGTGCAACCTGAAGTAACTGGTTCACCTGCATGACCAATAAATAAGATTTTATTACACTTCTTAACACAGTTGCAGCATCTGTAAACATCTGTTCTGAAGTAAACTACAGACTTTGTGCTCTAATTCCTAGGAAACAAGAAGATACACAATACGCAACATCGTTAGGGAAACCAGGTATTAGCTATCCTCAATTTCATAACAAGGGTTTAAGGAAACAAAGTCATACAGTTGACCACTACCGTTTTTTTTGTAAAGTCTTAAGTTTCTAAAACAAACGTAAGGGTCATGCCATAAGAATAGGACCTGGGGAGCAATAAGTCTGCGAAGAAGAAGCTCTTCATGACGCCGAGCACAAAACTCCCAAGACAGTATCTAGAAAGAAGAAAAGTGAAGATTAACTAAGCATTAGCACACTGGCAACTGACTTTTTCTTTGCTTTTCACAATTTTGAACCAGCGAGTTGTTCTAAATACCTTCAGATCTTGAGAGAATATGATACGAAGATGGCCTTCACGGACAACACGGAACTGCTCGTGTACAGTTTCCTGAACTGCTTTTCTATATTCTAACATCATCAGTCCATTGGGAAATCTGTTTTCTCGAGGGTGATCCAGATATAAGAGCTCATCAATAATACCACTTGCGAATTTGATTTCAATAAGTCTGGCAAGCACATCAAACGTTGCCTCTGCGTATTAACATGAGAAGTGACAATTAGCAACTATTTCGACTTAATAGTTTGAAAACAATTATCAAAGTTATAAATAGTAAACAACGAGCAATTAGCATGTGTACATTGCTTCATTGTGCTCAAGTGAAGGCACAGAAATACAAGTACACACAAGAATGAAATTTGCAACTCTCTTACCAAATCCCTTTCCAGACTTGGTGCCGCAAAGATCACACTGCCACATATCCTGCAAACACAATGAGAAGGTGAAGGACATATTAGTTTAAAAATCAGTGTAATGTAATTCATAAATAGTACAGGTGGAGTAAACATGTGTATGGCTAAAGCTACGCTAATGCAGAACACCGATATCATAACAGATAAAAACACACAGAGCAAAGACGATACTTACCGGAGCTGCCTGTGGAAACATGCCAAGTGCATGGTGTCCAGCACTTTCGTACTGTGACAAGCACAACCTTTGCTTTGCACGAGGTGAGAAGTATTCTGCCACAAATTTCCTCCAATAGGTAATGCAATTTTCCTACAAAGAGGTATCATCGATGTGAGAACTTGAATAGATGTGATGAAATGACAAAAAGTCGAGAGGTTAGTATTAGCTTACAGCAGGCCGTTGCTGCAGATGATACAAGTACATCATCAATTTCCGAGCACACACGCCAACTTCATAAGGACGTACATTAGGAGGAATCTGTTGGGTTCCTTGTTGCTGTAATTGCTGTCTCAACTGCTGCTGCTGCTGAAGTTGGAGTCTCTGAGAGGGTGACATGGATTGAAGCATCTGCTGATGTTGCCTGAGTCTCTGCTGCTGAAGCAAAGCTTGGAACTGAGGATTCCTCCCCGTGGGGTCCTGACGCTGGATCAACTGCTGTAAAATCTGCTGCTGCAACATATCCTCTTGCTTCACTTGTAATCTGGGTTTCTTATCCACATGGGAATAATTGTTCTCCCTCATTGGAACTGAACCTTGTCCTGCTTGCTGTTGTAGTAGTTGCTGCTGCTGCTGCTGCTGAGGTAAGTGTTGCATTGAAGCAGATCCATCAAGAACTAATGAACCAGGCATGTTACCGCTATTCGAGGAGAAAGACATTGGTGATGTTGGGATACGCATATTATTATTGATGCCGCTGCTCCTCTGCATATTTAGAGCTTCCGTACCAAGAGCATCAGTCAATGAGAAACTCGACTCGAGAGCTCCTGAGACCGCCGTTCTGTTCATGCCCTCACGAGAGCAGATACAGATCAAGCCGTCCAAACTACACGGGCTGATTCAGAGGAAGGAATGAAAAGCTTGAAACTTTAAACCGTCCTCGCAGAATCTGAGCCAATAACAAGGCCAAACGGATCCTAAGCGGCTATGGTATACTTTCAGGAATCAAACTAAGATGGTTAATCATTCAAGATCCAAGATTTAGCTGGTTTTCAAACCAAATCAGCGACTAGATATACGAATCCAAGACGAGTAAGCCTAAAATCAAAAGCCCTACTTATCAGAAGAGCAAATTCAACATCTCAAAAGGATACAACTTACCAAACAAGACTAAAACTTTAAATCCAATCGGCAGCTCAAATCAAAACCCAGAAAGTCTCAAAGGAATCGACTTGGGAGTTGCACAAATCCCAAAAACCAGAAAATTTTCAAGAAACTCAGTAGAGAGGGGAATTAACACTTTACAGCAGCATTCAGGGAAGAAAAAATATCGGCAAAACCTGGAAAATATGAAAAAAAAAGAAAAAAAGAGATTTTTATTTTGAGTTCACAAATATTATACGCAAAACATAACAACATCTAATTTCTCAAGCCCAAAAAAAAAGTATACAGTAGTACAATAGTCAAAATACTAAACCTGAAATTGATAAGAAGTTTGGAAAAATGGAAGAAAAAAACAATCACAAATTATGACCTAGTTCAGATTTTTTTAATTATATAAAATAGCTCAAAATCTTTGACCAATAACATACGTATAGTAGAACCGGTAATTACCGACTGTACCGGTCAACTAGCTCTAAGCGTCACCGACCTCGTGGATCAAACGACACCGACACGTGCTGATGTCTTAGTAGATCTTATGTAAGGGGGTGGGTCCTTAGTTACGTGGCATTATATGAATCGTTAGATCAGATTCAAATCTGCTACCACAAAGAGATAGTGGTACCAAAGGATGAGGAGAAACAATTTTCATTGAGTATTTGAAAATATTGCAATGATTTTCATTGAGAAAGTCTATCAATGTTCTTTAGCAAAAAAAAAAAGAAGTCTATCAATGTTTCCAGTTATAGTGTGTGACCTGTCATTGTTTCCTTAGTCGTTGTTTATTTTTAATTAATTTAATAAAATTAATAAAAGTAGTTAAAAGGTTATTATTGTTGAATAAATTTAGTTAACAATTTTGCTTCTCTGTTTTTCGATATTTTGGGAAACTGTCATTATATTTTCAATAAGCATATAGATTATTAGTAAGTAATATATATTAAACTGATTTTTTTATCAATAAATTTTTGTTTTTTTTTCTGTCATTTCATATTATTATAACTATCATATACGAAATATATCATATAAAAAGATTTTGAGTTACACACAATTTTTTAAAAAGAGACCTATATCTAGATTTTTATTTACTTTATGTTGGATGTTGTTAAAAAAGAAAAAAATGGGATGGATGATGATTAGTACTTATAAGATTATAAATGAATATTTTAAGATAAGTTATTTATCTTTGTTAATTGTTACCATTACAAAGCCATTGATAAAGATTGAAGATATCACCCAATAAGTAAAGAGCCCGTGTGCTTTAGCAACGTCCCATGCAGCTGATTGTGCCTTCGCCTTTCTCTTCCTCATCTGCGATTATAAATAAGACAAAACAACAAGAAAAGATTAAAACCAAAAACAAAAAAAAAAAAAAAAAAACTAGTAAAGGTCCTGATTTTGTTTCACAGGTACATACACTTTTGAACATTGATCTGTTGTAAGAAAGAAATTCCATTTGAAGGTTACGAACTTACGATCATATACCCAAAGAACCGTTAATTCCATGCTTTTTTAAAAAGAAAACTGTTTTATCACTTTAGATTTTTATATTTTCAGCGTTTACCAAATCTACACCGTACCTTTTTTTTTCTCGATGTCGTTAATCTATGTTCTTATGTCATGTAATAGATCACTGTTTGAAAACATAAGCATTTACGTAATCTAAATTAAACTGCGCCATCCACGGATGGTTCCAGATTTTTTTTTTCATATGAACTCATAAAAGAAGAGTTAAATTTCATTTTATTAAATTTAGTAAGGAATCAAGTGTATTTACTGTTTACTTGTTTAAGGTATTTAACTATTTATATTTTGTTTTGTTTTTTCATTTGTTAATTATGGTTATATACTTATATCGAAGAGTTATGGGCCGAGGCCCATACATCTTTTTATCGAGAATCTCATATAATCACTATCTCCTTATCTTTTTATCCGGAATCTCATATAATTACTATCTCCTTATCTTTTAATCAGGAATCTCAAATAATCACTATCTCGTTCTACATTCACAGAAAAATCGAAAGTTCCGTCATTAGGGTTTTTGCTTTTCGCCATTGGTCCAAACGGTATTTGGTTGTTTTAGATTGTTTTTAATCTGAAAATTTAATATCACCTTTATGTTTTTCTTCTTACAATTTTGTCGATTTATGGGGTACTAACAATCAGATTATTGTTGTTTTTTCTCGGCGGAAAATCAGATCTTTTATATTTGGTTTAGAATGGTTTCTGATTGTCTGTTTTCCACTTATGTATGACGTGTTTATTTTGAAGAAATTGAGTCAACTATACAAGGGGTATCCCGAATTTCGGGGTCCTATTGTCTTGTTCCATGCTGATACACAAAAATTGACAATTTTAATTATGTTCCTCCAAAAAAGTGTTTACTTATTCATTCTCTACTTGAATTTTATTTTGGTTGTATTCCATTTCCAGTTTATCAGCTACCGGATTTTTTTTATTAGTTTGCAGTTTGGATTGGCTTTGTCTCTTGTGAGTTATTGTAATTGTAAAAGCTTAGAATAAATAATCTTTAGCTGGTAATAAATCTTAACATAGGTTTTTTTTCATAAACCAAAAAGAAAAAAAACTTTTTTAATTCTATTTTGTTTGGTGGTCAAAAGATTGTGCATGTATTAATTGATTACACTCACTATACGGTCAGAGTGGTAAACCCCTAGCTATATCGAGTACTAACAGTATGCAATGTCCAGGTTGTTGCATAGAGAGAAAATGAATGAACAAGGTGATGATTTTGATGCGGTTGGAAACATTCCAAATCCAAGCGGAGCTGAAAATGGTGAGAGTGATCAAGATGGTGGAAGGATGAGGCGAGCCCATAGGCACACTGCTTATCAGACTCAAGAACTTGAAAAGTTTGTTTAGTTTCTTCTTTATTTCATCATGCATGCAACATTTCCTATTAATTTTTTGATTTTGAGTTTGAAAAGTTTCTCTTTAATTACTTTGCTATTTTTTTTTTTTTTTTAAATGATTGTAGTTTCTACTTGGAAAATCCTCTTCCTACTGAGGATCAGAGGTACGAACTTGGACAAAGGCTTAATATGGAGCCTAAGCAAGTCAAGTTTTGGTTTCAGAACAAAAGAAACCAGATTAAGGTACCAAAAAAATACAAAAATGTAAACATGTGGTTGTGTCTTTTCTTATTATTTGCACCCTATTATGGACCATGTTTCTGCCCTATTTTAAATAAATATATAGTTTATCACCTCTCACTTATTCTCAAAAATCTGCTTTGATTATGGTATAAAAATTGAGCCGAAAGTTGAGTTTTTTTTTTTTTGTAAGCAGATCAATAGTGACCGCCTTGAGAATATAACTCTTAGAGAAGACCATGACAGATTGCTACTAACTCAGCATCAGCTTAGAAGCGCAATGCTACATTGTTCATGCAACATTTGTGGTAGGGCAACTAATTGCGGAGACATTGACTATGAGGTGCAAAAACTTATCGTTGAGAATACTATATTGGAGCGGGAGATAAACCAGTTGTATTCCAAAATCCCTTCCCGTCCCAATCAAATGCTGGTTAGTCCATCCCAACCGCCGCATTGTTCTTCCTCTAATCCAGGAATAAATGCAACACCAGAACTTGGTTTGGGTGGTGGAACTAGGACGACTGAGAAGGAGAGATCAATGTTTTTGGATCTTGCCATTAAGGCTTTGAAAGAGTTGCTTGAATTGGGAGAAATGGACTGTCCATTTGGGAAGATAGATTCAAGAAGCTCTAAAGCAGTATCATTGATCAATGAGAAGTATAAAAATGCTTCCAACAATGTCACAAAACCTCCCGGGCATGTTGTGGAGGCTTCAAGAGAGATAGGTTTAGTTCCCATGACTTGCTTGACTCTGGTCAAGACTTTTATGGACACGGTAATAACCTTTAACCACCACCCATTTTTTAGTGAAATGTTACATAAAATGTTTTTTAAAAAAATTGTTTTCACAGGAAAAATGGGTCAACGTGTTTGCACCTATTGTGCCTGTGGCATCAACCCGTAAAGTGATACCTACCGGTTCTGGTGGAACCAAAAGTGGCTCACTCCAACTGGTAATATTTATTTCTGAGTCGTCTATATTGGTTGATAATCCAAGAGGAGTAGAAACACCTAAAACTTTTAAAATTTGTGATCATATATATTGGCAGATTCAAGCAGAATTTCAAGTAATTTCTCCCCTGGTACCAAAGAGACAAGTAACGTTTCTAAGATACTGCAAAGAGCTCAGACACGGCTTATGGGTGGTCGTCGACGTTACTCCTGATCAAAATCCGACTTTGCTGTCTGATGGTGGTTCTATTAATAGGCTACCCTCAGGCCTTTTCATAGAGGACATGGCCAATGGGTACTCCCAGGTTACTTCTGAATCCTATACTTCTAACCTCGGTTAAATTCTGGTCTCATGGTATAGCTTTATATAGCCTTCTAGCTCAATTTACATATGCTCATAAACTCAAAACGAGTTATTACTCGCAATCATAATTGATGATCTATCAAAATCTTGTATTGTGGAGGCGAACCGTATGTATAAATAGTAAATGGTTATTCTTATACTCACGTAGACGAACCGCATGTATAACACATAGAGATTTGATTTCACAGGTTACATGGATTGAACAAGCGGAATATAATGAGAGTCACATCCACCCACTCTACCAGCCTTTGATAGGCTCTGGGATCGGGCTAGGCGCAACGAGATGGCTGGCGACGCTGCAGAGACACTGCGAAAGCCTCTCGACCCTTTCATCTACCAACTTAGCTGAAATTAGCCCAGGTATAACTCTAGTTTAAAACACTCTAGTGAATTTCAAATATTGAAATAACTGTCATTACAACTGTTTTTAATGTCCTTTCGGTTCGCCACTATATTTGGACCGGCCTTGATTGTGATGTATGTTTTCGATATAGGATTGTCTGCAAAAGGTGCATCTGAAGTAGTGAAGCTAGCACAGCGAATGACTCTCAACTACTACACAGGTATCACGAGTTCTTCGGGGAACAAGTGGGAGAAAATCCAGGTAGAGAATGTGGTACAAAACATGAGTTTCATGATCCGAAAGAACGTGAATGAGCCTGGTGAGCCTACTGGGATTTTGCTGAGTGCAGCCACTTCTGTTTGGTTCCCAGTGAAACAGAAAGCACTTTTTGCTTTCCTTAGCAACCCAAGTTTCAGACACGTGTGGGATACCTTGACCCATAATGCTACCATGGAAGAAACAATCCGGATTCAAAAAGCAAAACGCCATGGAAACATCATCTCTCTTCTTAAATTCGCTGTGAGTTTCAAACAGAATAAGATTGAATGGGGTCGTTTTTGTCTATGTTTCAATTGATTTTTGTGAGTTTTGCAAAACAGGGGAATGGTATGCTAGTTCTGCAAGAGATTTGGAATGATGCATCGGGTGCAATGGTGGTTTATTCACCAGTGGAAACCAATCCAATTGAGTGGGTCAAGAGAGGTGGAGACTCAGATTATGTGCAGCTTCTTCCTTCGGGATTTTCGATAATGCCAGACGGAGTACCTGATCGTAAAGGAAAAAGCAAAACTGGTGGTGGTGGAGGATGTCTACTGACATTTGGACTTCAGCTCTTGTTTAGCAGTAATCCAACTGCGGAACTCCCTCAAGGTTATGTCAAAAATGTTGAGGTTCTCATGGTTCACACTATTGGCAAGATCAAATCCGCGTTACATATATATACATAAACATCGATCGGCGTCTCCAGTTTCTGTTTTTCGACATTGGCATGTGCCATAGTTTGCTTTTCCAATCAAGACTCCTCCGGATTTAAGGTTTTATGTGTTTGTTGAACTGTTATTCTGTTTCATGGGATACTCTTGTTTCCTTTCTTCTCTCTTTTTCTCAAAGTCTCAGATTGTTACAAACCAGAATATTTTAAGACAGTTAAAACTTATATTTGGTTTGTCTGTATGTGGTTGGTTACTATATTGTGTTTACTATAAGCCAGTATGCCCAGAAGCATATATGACAAACCATCATCATCAATCATTGGGTGATTCGGTGTCTTTGGTTCGGTAATCTTCTACACAGTTCAAATTTATGGAGAAAAGATATGTACTGCAAGATTACTATGTACTACAACACCGGATTAGAATCCGTCTCTCTAATTCTGTTTTCTTGTTATACTAATACACACATAAGTTGCTACGCAACTAACTTCAAAACCTTGCAGTTGCTATAATGTTAAGATTAAATCAAAATGATCAAGTTGGTTTTAGTTTGATTTTGCCGCAATCTTCCAAGCATGATTCAAAAACTCGAATGCTTTCCAAGGGTCCTCTTCAGAGAGGGCAAATTTCAGGTCAGCAAACAAGTCACCTAGAGCCGAAATTGATTCTTCTGCGCCTGTCCAATCTCCAGGGGCACCATGTTCTTCATGTCCTTCTGCTTCTCCCATGCGTGTATTTCTCTCTCTTGCACCTACCTCAGCTTCCAATTTTGCACCCATTGAAATGGCTCGACGTATACATGATGAAGGTATCTACAGTCAAGTATATATGTGAAGTCAGCTTCATGGATTGGACCAACAATAGCCCATGTTTCAGTGACTCATGCGTTCATTGGGAGGGAGTATACCTGGGCAAGCTGAGCAACCTTAAAACCAAAGCTCCTGCTGCAAAGACCACGAACAAGTTTATATAGGTAGGTCACATCATCATGATCAAATCCGCTTTTCTTCTTCTGCGATGTCAGATACGAGACATGGTATGTCCCAACAGAACCTCGGAATCCGTTACTGATCTCAGCTATTTCAGGGTAATGCGTGACAAAAAGAACCAAACATCTCTTTTCTAATAGGAGATGTTGTAATGTTGCATAGGCAATGGCTACACCGTCGTGTGTGCTAGTGCCTCTTCCAAGTTCATCTAATATAACTAGCGAACGAGAAGAGCAGGTTCTGATTATGTGTGACGCTTCACTTAATTCTTCTAGAAAGGTACTTCGGCCATGCTGGATACTGTCTGAAGCACCCATCCGAGTGAAAACACCATCAAGCACGTGCAGCTTAACGGATGAAGCTGGTACAAAGGAACCAACCTGGGAAACCAAAGGGACTAATTAGAATCATTTATCATTAGACATATGTAAGAGAATTTGGTAAAGCATAAACGCTTATACTGTTAATGCTATGTTACCTGAGCCATTATAGAAATTAAAGCAACTTGACGGATATAACAGCTCTTTCCTCCCATGTTAGGTCCGGTGATAATTTGGCAATATTCCCCTTCTGCATGCAAACTTGTGTCGTTTGGGACGAAGTTATCTTGTAATAAAGTCTCCAATACCTTTGAAAACAAAATGATCGATACATTTCCATCTTAAATAGACATAGAAAGAAAGAGAAAAGGAAGTGAAAGCAGATGCATACAGGATGACGACCAGACTGTATGTTTATCTCAACTGGTTCACAGTCATCCACAAACACGGGACATACATACTTCTGCAGAAAAAAATTTGAAGACGAAGTTAAGAATGGCAAAGCAGTGACTACAAGCACATTTTTTGTAGTTTGTTCCTTCGACCTTGTTTTTAGATAGAGTTGCAAGGGAGTGCAAACAGTCCAGCGCAGCAAGAGCTTGAACGGCAGCCTGAAAATCTGTATAGTATCTACTGAAACTCTCGAGGAAACTATCCCATGAAGCTCGGTTCACAATGGCAAGATGTTCAGTTGCTAGAGCTAGCTCATCCAACCCAGCTACTATTTCCGGAGGATGATATCGAATAGTCTTTTTGGTGCTATTCACTTTCACCCAATTCATAGGGACCTTGGCATCCACAGGCAGCTGTACAAAGCCTTAGCTTCATATCAGAAATAAAGGTCCACAACTTTCAAAGATGAAAGTATTATACATACAAATTGTATACTTGGTACATAAGAATATATTTGGTTCAATAGCTGTGAATAATTTTTAACGGACATGTGCGAGTGTGAGAACAGTAACCACAAAAGAAAACCAACTCAGGCTACCTTCTTGAAACTTATTCTCATCCTATATATGAGGATACTTTTTGGGTATCCATTTAGGTGCAATTTCGAAAAGAATCAAGAAAGCTGCACCCTTGCGGTAAGAAAGCATCATTTAAAATATTACGAGTTTCTCAAGAGGGTACCTCTATCAAATGCGTGATCCCCGACACTTGAAGAAATTCCAAATTTCGAATTGCGAGCTTCTTGCGAAATGAAGATATCAAGGAATCCAGCTTTTCCTTGATGACTAAAACTGCTTGGCGAGCTTCAGCAAGCTATGCATAGCAAATAACACAACTGAGTTATGGTATACAACATCGCCACTAAACAATTAATTCATGGAAAGCAAAACAAGATTAAAGATAAGAAGCTGTGTGACGCATAAAACATAACATTAAGAGAGATGCAGTAGATAGTATGAATTTCCAGACAAGATACAAACCTCAGGAAATTGGTCGCTGGAAGTGATTAGTATGTCGAGCAAATCTCCTCGAACAGCCCCTTCCTTATTCAGGGCAGAGAGAAGTTTTGCGGCATTATCAACCACAGCAGGGGATGCAGCAACAGATATCAATTTTTTCAAAAGAGAAGACTGCACAGTTGCGGATTGCATACTCCTCATTTCACAGTCTTGCTTTATGCCAAGCCGCTTAAATTGCTTCCCCGCAAGTAAAATAGCTTCCATAACTGCAATGAACTTTTCATCCAAAAAGTTAAGAGCCCTCAGGCCTCAGGTGAGAAGAAGAGGGTTAAAGCAAGAGCTATTAACAAAACCAATGGTGGGAAGCAAAACTCGTGTAATTTTTAATATTTCCTGCTCTCCCATTACTTTTTTTCCTAATCAAGGTAACTAAGAACTGGCATATTGTAGTTTATAGCTTTATATATGACTATCAATAAAATGAAAATTATCGTCAGAAAAGAGGATAGGATACTGAACAATATCTAACAGTTGCTGTTACTATAAAGCAAGTATTTCTTTGAGTAGATATCGCAAAGACACCAATACTCTGTATTATTTGCCAACTCATTTCAGAGGAACATTTTAGACTTGGTTAGTCAACACGCATGGTGGCGATTTAAACTAATTCTGTGGACAAAATTATTACAGTATTTCACTATACGAGTTGAACTAACTTCAGTCAACACATGCACATATATAATAGGGCAAAGGACAGGCCAAGTTTCACCTCTGTGGCTTTAGCAGTCCGATGAAAGATTCTTGTTATTCCACGTTGAATATCCGAAGATCTAGACAAAGCTGTCAAGACTGAGGAGAGCACGAGATAAAACTCAGGTGAAACAATTGTTCTCTCAGAACCGTCTTCAACCAACTCATCACTGTTTTGGGATGAACTATGAGATCCCATGCATGCAGCAATCTCAGAAACAGCATCAAGGCGTGCAGATATCAGATTTCTATTGCAAAGAGGATGAGTCACCTGTTGAAAGGAAAATGCCCACAAATCATGATAGGAGATCTTTCTAATTAATTTCCCTACCACTTAGCAAAAAATCCATGAAGACTCTTGAGGGATAAGTTATAAATCTATGTCCCTACAAGAACTGAAAGATGCCAGTAAATTTTTTTTTTCTTTATTATAAAACGACAATGTGGTACAGCAGCAATGACTAACACCATCTTTAGAACTCCAAAAACTTGTAAGAGGACCAAATGTACAAATTCCTTATGCCAAAAATCTAAGAAGAAAAGATATGTGTCTTACCCAGTGTCTAAGGAGCCGGGAACCATATACTGTAAGAGTGTGATTCATATTATGGAATAAGGAGCCAGATTCCGATCCATCTGAATTATTTCTCACAACCTGAACATAGATAAAATTTCTTTTAACGAAAACTCAGTTAGGATACTTAGAAATGACTGAAGTTTTAATATTCACTGAACATGTGAGGCTAAATATAGTGGAAAGTACCTCCAACTGTTGCAGTGTATTGGCTGAGAGAGTCATCTCTGTGCTGCTTGACAGAGAGCGAAATGAAGCCCCCTGGTAAAGGATCCTTTCAAATCCAAACTGTTTGAGATGGCAAAATATCAGGGCGAGGGCTTGAACAGTCAGATGCGGCATGTTCATAATTGTCTGCACCATAAACAAATGAACAAATTAGCAGGAATTGCAGCAAGCATTTAATAAATGAAAAACTCTTCTTGAAAACTAGATGTGTTCATTAACAATCTCATGTTAACAGAGGATCATCAAAAAATAAAGAGAAAGCTTTTAGAAAATCAAATGCCATACGTGAACTGTCAAGCAAGACATTCCTTCTTCAGCAGCCTCCACCTTGATTTCTTTATCATCTTCTAGGTTGCTTGCACTTATTTTTTCACATAATGAAATAACCTCATCTACTGCATTACCATTGCCGAAACGATCCAGTGAGGCACGTTCCACTCGAATGTTAGAGGTAGGTCCAGCATGTGCCAACAAAAACTGCCAAACAAAGATACCACAGGAACATCTATCGGTACGAATGCAAATCGACCAAGAACAGAAGTTCTACTCTTCTAAGCTAATCCATATAGTAATTATACATAGAGAAAAATATTCTTGTGTCAAGCAGTTCATCGGGAAGGATTCAGCAATTATTATAGACAGAATCTGGTACATCTAATTGAGGAGCTAACTTGTTCAAAATTAATCAGCAGTTCCTGAATTAGTAACATTGACTCATTCACAGATAAATGTACCTTCTCAGTTTTCTGTGAAAGAGGCTGGCCAAGCAACAGCTCCGCTGGTGAGAAGCTCAAAATCACAGCCTCTAACCCACTCCTCATGAAATTATCATTGAACTCTCCATAAACAACTTCACCGGTTGAAATTTCAACGCCAACAACACCGACTCTAACATCAAAACTCATTTCAATACCAGTCTCCGTGTTAACTCTCTCATCCACAACACAAACCAAGAAATTACTCTGTGCACCAAAACCTTCTTCACCACCGCCACCACCACTTATATCCTCAGCCGCTTCAAGCGTGGCTTTGGTATATAAAGCCGATAGTCCCCGGAAAAAAGGACCGGACCGGTTAGCACCGTGGGACTTAATGGCTGCAGTTTCGGTCTGCTTCACCACACCAATCTTGTACCCTGCATTCACCAGTCTCCTCACATGGAAATTCAATCGAAATGTTGGCACACTCGCCGTCATGAAACTGTGATCCATATGAGCGTATATACCCAAGACGCGTGCTGCGATCTCCGCATCTTCTCCGAAGAATCTGTACCTGTAACCAACTTCAACCATCAAAACCACATCTGGGTACTTTCTCTTTAGCTCCACCACCTGCTGTTCCAGTGGCGTGTACTTCCTGGATGATGATGATGTTTCGGGAACAGATTCCTCCGGTGAGGGTTCCAGAAATCTCTGGAGAAACCTTTGGTGTAAATTGGGATCGGGTATGGGGTTTTGAGTGTGAGGAGAAAGTTTAGGCTTTTTGGGTGAAGCGGCGGCGAGGTGGTCGGAGAGAAGCTTTCGCTTAGACGGAGAGAAGGAGACAGTGGCGGATATCTTCGGTGGCGGTGTTGACGATTCGGGTACCGGATTCGGTTCCTGAGTCGGGGATTTGGGTTTGGGAGCGAAGAATCGAGAAATCGTCTGCTGCTTTTGCTTGCCCATAATTGCTATCTTCGTATTCTCTCCTCCGTTTAAGAGAAATGGAAGGTCGTGGTCGTGGCTATGGCGAACTTGGGTTGCCAATTTTCGCGCGCTTTCTTAGGTTGCGCTGCTTGGTAATCATCATCACTCATCATCACTGAACAAACAAAGTGACGAAGGCATCGGTTCGGGCGTTCGGCGTTATAGTGGGCCGGGCCTTAAAAATGGGCCTAAAGTGTAAAATAATAAATGAGTATATATACATACATACGGCCGTGACTCTAGAAGTTGGTGGTAGAGACAGAGTGTGTCATTAATAATTCTCCGTCGAGATTACTTCTCTCCTCCGTTGCCGTCGAACGCCGCCGCTGAGCGATAGATCGAAACAGAGAGACACACACGGGGGAAGAAGATTTCACCATTTTTGTCTGAGTTGATTCGAGCGACAGCGAGAGAGAGATGGCTATGTCTCAGGTGGTGAACACGTACCCGCTTTCCAACTACAGCTTCGGAACTAAGGAACCCAAGCTGGAAAAGGACACCTCCGTCGCCGACCGGCTCGCTCGTATGAAAATCAAGTACTAGATTCCTCTTTCCTTCTTTCTTCTCGTGGCTACTGCTGGAGAAGATGCCCAAGAATTGAAAACCCTAGAAATCTCCAGCTTTTCCTTTCTTTAGATCATGATCTCGTTGTTTTCTCGCTGCTGCTGAATTTACTAGCTTCTACGTAAATCTGCGACTTAGCTTGGGCTCCGTTGAAATCGTTGTTGTTTGCAATATTAGGATCTGTAGCTGATCAACTTAGATACGTCTTTTATATTTCGTTTACTCTCTGGGTTTTTGGCTCCTCAACGAATAATCTTTTGGCCATTTTACATAACTATAAGGTTTCAAAACTAGAACAACTTCTTCGAACGATCTGTTTTTGTGAACAAAGAACAGCTATTGGCTATTTAACTTTACAGTGATTGATTTGATAGGGGAACAGCTATAGCTACTGTACATGTTATACTATACTTTTCTTTTGTAAGTAAAGTCTCATGCTTTTTGCTTGGCTACACATGAAGTCCGGAATTTGATAGCTCTTACTTAAGACATTCTTGGAGTCGGATGGCTAAATGTATCTCTTTCTTGTTTTCTTAATGGGGTGTTGCAGCTATATGAAAGAGGGCATGAGGACTAGCGTTGAAGGGATTCTACTGGTATGATTATTTTCGATCTGCTCTACTTGTTATCCAACTCTTCTGTAGTTTTCTCTGTGTTGTTTAACTGCCAGCTGTCTTAAAATCGGTGGAACTGTTTTGTGGTTCATGACTTGTATGGCCATATTGTCATTTACATAATGCCTCTTATGTGTCACTTTATTTGTACTATTATCTTAGCGTTCTCTGTATATATATGAGTTCTCTACCCAATGTATCATTTAAACGTGGCAGATATATAGAACTGTGTGATATTTTGATTGAAGTCATCTACTTCCTTTTCTAGTTGCCATCTCCCACTCAATTTTGTACTGATTGGGTAACCTTATATTACAAATAAGCTCTAATCGCATAAGTGGATTAATCTGCCCATATAGTCACAAGCTTTACGGATCCAATGAACTTAGCCTGCACTTAATAAGAGTCATAAAAGTGAATTTTTAGTAAGTCATGTTTTGAAGGGTGCCATTTAGCAGACATATTTGATGCATGTTGTTGTTTTGTTTCTTTCATTGTTTGTATGCACCCTTGCCCTTACAAGCTTTCATATTTTCCCATGGAGTATCATGTGCTTCACATTCATACCCTCATCTCTTGACATCATGTTGGGAACATATATTGTTTTGACATCCTTAAAGTCAATTTGATAAACCTTATAACCCACAGCTACAGTTATCTCGTCGGTGCATAAGTTAAGCAAATAATTTGCATTTAAGTCTAGCAATTACTACCACCTAATTTGATTTGATTTTAGTGATATCTCTCTAACCCTAAGATTCTTCTTGATACCTTATGCTGGTTAACATATCAGGTGCAAGAACACAACCATCCTCATATACTTCTGCTGCAAATTGGTAACACATTCTGCAAACTTCCAGGTGGACGCCTGAAGCCTGGAGAAAATGGTATACAGTTACCACCCGTTAGTAATACTTTCTATACTGTTATGAGTTTCTTAAGTTTTGGGTGTACTATGTTGTGTCTGCAGAAGTTGATGGTCTGAAAAGAAAGTTGACCAGTAAGCTTGGAGGCAATTCGGCTGCTCTTGTACCTGACTGGAAGGTACTATCCTGGTTTCTTCTCTATTTCGTTGAGTGATAGTGACCAGATATTTAGGTATAGATGCCTTAAAAGAACTAGGTCCGTGTGGTATGTGCTAGCTCTTAAAGCAAACGAGACGCAATTCAAATTCTTCTGGTTATTACACTTAAGCATGCCAGGAATGAGGGGTTCATACAAGAAAACAAGGATAGGGCTGATGTCATTGCTAGAGAATCAGATACTTACTACATGAAGAAAGAAGACTTTGCCATGAGTCCATAGATGTCAGATTGAGTTATGAATATAGCTCTGTCCCTGATCACTTGGTATCTTTATGTCCCTTTAACAGGTAGGAGAATGTGTTGCGACATGGTGGCGTCCAAACTTTGAAACCATGATGTACCCGTATTGCCCTCCTCACATCACGAAACCAAAGGTAGTAAGAAAACAACACAATGTGTAGCTTCTCAACGTTCCTCTTTTACCCTTCTCCTTATTATATCTCCTTTTTGTGGAATGGCAGGAATGCAAGAGACTTTTCATTGTTCACTTGTCTGAGAAAGAGTACTTTGCTGTGCCCAAAAACTTGAAACTCTTGGCCGTCCCTTTGTTCGAACTCTATGACAATGTTCAGGTTTTGCTTATATCCAGATACTATTAACCTTTGGAAATTTGGTTTTACAGCAAACTTCTAACCGTATTGTTCTTATCATGGAACAGAGATATGGACCGGTTATATCGACCATACCTCAACAGCTATCCAGATTCCATTTCAACATGATTAGTTCGTGATTCTACTCGGTGTGTTCAAGAACAAGAAGCCTGTCAGGATGGCAAGTTATTTAGGTACGGTAGAGAGCTGTAGCTACCGGTTTAGAGATGAGATTTTCCGATGATGCGTCTTGGTTTTTTCTTTTTGACATTATAGACTTGTTGGCTTTTATGTAGAACCGGTTCAGTTTCAGCACAAAAAAAAAAGATTGTTGTATCTCATTTCTAAAAGCATTCGTCATTGTTTGACCAGCGCCTGTCTAGTCTTAACCGTAAAACATGTGTTTCCTTCAATCTTGAATGAATTTTTATTTTGGTGCTATGTATGAAACACAAAACTAAGCCATCTTCAAACTACTTTGGTTGGTCTCGAAATAGGAAAATATCTAAAAAGGACAAATATATCATTATTTTTTATACCACAAGGCCTAATGGTCGAAGGAAGAGAAGATTTGTACATATACAAACAAGTAACTATTCCAAATTTATAATTAAGACCGATCACAATAATATTCTCCGATGGCTAAACATTAAATCATCATAACATTAGATGTAAACACTTTATTAAATCCGTGATCCATTGGGGATTAGTTTGACGGCAAATTTTATTATGGTATATCAAGACGACCAAGACAAGGTAGACATTTCTTTTTTGTTTCCCTCTCAATTTCTATACTCCATCATTTTCCACAGGCCAAAAGAGCCAACAAGTAAAAAACAAAATCAGAGTATTTTAAAAATTGCGACAGGCCATTTCGATCGGGACAGAAGGAATTCAATTTTTTAAAAGTTCACAATATTCCTCAAACAACTCTTATTATTGGTCCACTTGTCGGTGTGAATGACATTTTGTTCTGTTATCAAGAGAACAACATTGGAGAGAAAAATTACTAGCAGCAAATAGGAGCTCAATGTTGACTTCAGTACAAAATATTTGTAAAATTTGTCTGCTTGCTATTGATGCTTTACGAAAAGATTAACAGATTGGATGATTCTCTGTAATCATTAATTCATTATTCACAATCATTGAATTGAATCAGACAGATTATTCCACCCGGATTTTAAGTTTCTAACCAAAAACCTCATTGACGCGATTTAAACTAAACTAAAGAAGTCGGTCATATAAAATTCTTGCCGACATTTTAGAGATTTTTAGATAATAAGATGTTATCTGCTTACTATCGTAAATTCTTAAGACCTCGTCCATTATAAATGTTGTTAACATAACAAACGGAAGAATAAAAATAAAAATAAAAAAATTGAGAGAACATATACAAGCAAAGATCCTCTTCTTTTTGTTTTCATGTAGGAATCTTAAATCTGATATATACTGAACATTGCTAGTTTATTTTGAAAATTGGAACGTTATAATGTACTTTATGTCAAAATTAATTTCATCAAAGCAGACTTTTCCTACACCTAATTAATCCTTCCATTTTGACTTTTCTCCTCACTGCTAAGAAATCCACACCTAAAATATCCCAAATTTTCATAAAAAAATTAGAACATATGTGTCATTTGTCTTTTACTCTAAGCAGGCCCATTTGGTCATTTCTTAACACTAAGTATGTAGGCTCTATCTGTGGGAGATTGGTGGTATATGTTGTCTCAATCATCATAGTACTGAGACATGTTTTCTTGTATCAGGACAAATTTAAGACGATAGAGAATTAATGGCAAAGACGAAATCTGGAGAGAGACAGAGGAAAGGGTTATGGTCACCTGAAGAAGATGAGAAGCTAAGAAGCTTCATACTCTCTCATGGCCATTCTTGCTGGACCACTGTTCCCATCAAAGCTGGTCTCTCTTTTTTCTCTTCTTCTTTAATAGTTCTTCCACTCTCAAATTAATCCTTAATTTAGTCAACTTTGATAATTTTTAATTTAATAGGGTTGCAAAGGAATGGGAAAAGCTGCAGATTAAGATGGATTAATTACCTAAGACCAGGGTTAAAGAGGGATATGATTAGTGCAGAAGAAGAAGATACCATCTTGACGTTTCATTCTTTCTTGGGTAATAAGTAAGTGTAACTCTTAGACCTAACCCTATCGTTTTAGCAGATGATTGCTAGTTATAGAGCTAGAGAGACTAATGATTAGGTGTATATAGGTGGTCGCAAATCGCAAAGTTCTTACCGGGAAGAACAGACAATGAGATAAAGAACTATTGGCACTCTCATTTGAAAAAGAGATGGCTCAAGTCTCAGAGCTTACAACATCCAAAATCTGTTTCCTCTTCTTCATCATCATCATCACTTGTTGCTTGTGGAAAAAGAAATCCGGAAACCTTGATCTGTGATCAGGTGATCTCCTTCCAGAGACTTCTAGAGGACAAATCTTCGTCTCCATCACAAGAAAGCAACGGAAATAACAGTTATCAATGTTCTTCTGCTCCTGAGATTCCAAGGCTTTTCTTCTCTGAATGGCTTTCTTCTTCGGATCCCCATATCGATTATTCCTCTGATTTTATAGACTCTAAGCACAACCAAGCTCCAAATGTCAAAGAAACTGTCTCAGCTTATGAAGAAATGGGTGATGTTGATCAGTTCCATTACACCGAAATGATGATCAACAACAGCAACTGGACTCTTAACGACGTCGTGCTTGGTTCCAAGTGTAAGACTCAGGAGCATCATATTTGATCAAGAGGCCTCAGATTGTAAATTCTTCTGCTGAATTCTTTTCTCCTTCAACAGCGACGTAAATTAAGTCTAATGAACTGTAAATCAAATTTATCTAAATGAAAACCTCTATTTGTCTGAATGCTTTGACACCAATATATTAAGAGCCACAAAGCTTGTGAAATTTATAATTGCTCAAAATCGGTCGACTACACTAGAGCTCAGCTAACAACTCACTATCTGATCATTAGATGATGAGAGATTTTTAAAGGAATGGCAATATGAGAAGAAAACAAAGAAAAATTCATCAATTATTTATATCTAAAGATTTTACACTCCATAAGTAGCAAAGTCGTAAAACACAAAGCTTTTAGCTACAAATGCATCACATATAAATGCAGTTTTGACAGTACAAGGGGCAATTCAGATGTGAGTGGAATGTAGAAAGTGTCTTATATAGCAGAATAGCTGTAGTCAACAGTATCATCATTGGAGGAGGGAGACTTAGCAGAAGCAGTGAGTACCACAAAGGTAGCAAAGAGAATAGTGATAATGGCCGTGAAGTTGATAAGAAATGCCTCGGATCCATACTTGTCCAGCCCTCCATTTTCCAAGAATGTCAGCTTTTCCAGAAACCCTAAAGCTGCATTCCCAACAGCAAGTATGTAAACAAATAGGCCGAGCATTGCATGCCACGGAAGCAATCCGCTTCTCAGATTTGTTGATCCTCCTGGGAAGAAGAACACTATGAAGCTGTACACCCACTGCAAAATCCAAAACTCTTGTTCTGGTCAGGAACAATGTACAACAATAGGTAAAAACATTTTCCCAAAGTCTATGAATCAATATTTGTGTGTTTTGTGCTGTTTGTAATTGTTCTGTAAGTAGACTTTTAGAGATATGTCATGCTCAGTTTGATACAGAGGAGTCAGAAACAAATTTAAGGGTGATTTGGTGGCTGAACCAAATGCTTATCAAAAGGATTCTTATGTAAACTGATTACATGTTTAATGGGAAAATGTTTGTGTCTACGGAGCAAAAGGCCATGGATTTTACCTGGAAGCCATAAAGGGAAATGACTCCAATACCAATCCAAGAATGGAGACTGTAGAGATTAGGGATTCCGCTTTCATTGTGGTTCTTGAAGGCTGCACAGATGCCAAAGATCCCAAGAGCCAGAGCAATGGCTGGAGTATAAGGTGGATCAACTTCTTCACTGGTTTCTCCAACGGAAGCGATTTGTAACTTATAATGGCTGCATTTTAATTCCAACAAACAGGTGTATATAAAGTGATTACCATCAACAGGTGTATGTATACAAATAAAAAGCGAAATGAAAGTTCTTGTTACCTTCTCCACCCAAGATTATAAATCCGATGAGCATCAGAACAGGATGCAGCTGGATCACATATAAAAGAAAATGGATCAGAACGGAAACAAAAGAAGATTTTTGGATGTTAGTATCTTTTCCTCCCAACAAAAAAAACAAAAACACGATATGAACTCTGAAATAAGATCATAGCCAAATGAAGAAATTTAGATTTGAATACCATAACCTAAACCAGAACAAACATCATCTTCTATACATTCACTCACATCACACTGTAATAAAGAGATCACAACAATCATGGATCCTAAGTCACCTCCATAGCAAAAACTTGGGACAAACCAGAGGACTATTGCTTCCAAAATTAGAGTTATCTGACTCATCATCATCAAAGACTTACTTCACAAGCTAAAACAGATATCAAGATAACAAAAGAATTCTCCTTTACATAAAGTCACTCACTCAGAAACAGTACTGAGGAACAAATAAGAAGCTTTGCAGTGAGATACAAAACTATGATCAATTTGGATATGTAAAACTAATTACCCACTAATCTGACAGATAGCCAGGACATACAAAAAGTCAACGCAGACGCGAGAGAGATAGAAAAAGACTAAAAGAGAGAGCTTTAAGGAAATTGAAGAAGCATACATTGAAGATGAGATTCTTGTTAGTAGCTTCCCAGGCCAATCCACCTCTGTAACTGATACTCCAAACCAGCACCATAATCGCTGCTATTACCGCCAGCGCGTGCGCCACAAACGTCACCGCCATCGCGTTTATCCCGACAGCCATAATATATCCCTCTCTCTTTAACTGTGTTTCCTTCTTCTTGTCTTTTTTCTTACTCTTCTAATCTCCTTTGTCCGATTAATCTGGAACACTCTGCAAACACAAAAAGCTTCAACCTCTCTCACAGAGGAATCAATCCCTAAAATCTTTCTTTTTTTCCATTATCCATTGTGGGCCCTTCTTCGCAGACACGTGGGGCTCGAGCTCCCTTTCGAATTATCTATTCAGACGTGGCAGTTTTCGATGAACGAATGAAATTTCGCCACGTGGATATTGTGGTAGCTGCATCTTTTTTTTTTTTTTTTTTTGGGCAAATGGTAGCTGCATCTAACCCCGCGTTTCGTGTCTGTTTCTTCTACCACTAACCAAACCAAACCGTTAAACGGCGATAGAGCATACTGGATCTTGTTTTAAAGCCCATTATGTACATTTTTATTGATTTGGACCAACCCACATATTTTGAACACAATACACATTGCGCATGATATCATTTCTTGTCGTCTTAGAAAATAATATAAAAAGTAGGAGAGAGTGTAGACACAGTTTCTGGTTTGAGAAACTTTGAGAAACTATGTCTCCACTTGTCTTTTTATTATTGGCAAAAAAAAATTTTATAATTTATAATTTAAATAAATAACTTATTTATTATAAATTGATTAAAATAGTATTTTTGAGACATCTACATAGTGTATGAGGGATGGAGATGCTCTTAGGATTTTGAGTGAGTATGATATGCTGTTTTCAAAATGTTCGAAACGGTACGTTGTCGGGCTCCGGTCTGTGAAATAAGTAAGTTTATTATGGGCCGATGGGCTAACTTGTGAAAGAAGGTAACATCGACAGTTCTGCTTGGATAAAGATTAGGCTGAGAGAGCCACGTACACGATCAAGAGCCTGATACGTGGCAATGTATGACACGTGGCATTTCGTAAGAGAAAGTACAGAAGACACAGCCATCCAGCGGGTGGTTCGGCTATGCGTCTTCCTCCTCTTTCTCTACTCTTTAACTCTGTATAAAGCTTTCAAGAAGCTCCTCGGATTTACTCAGAACAATTTGATTGCAGAGAAAGGAAAAGAGCAAAACCAAAGTTAGCAAATATTATGGATTCGCAAGCGCAGTTGCAACGTCCTCATGGTCATCACCAAGCAGAGGAACCAATTAGGATTCACCATCCAGGTATGCTAAACCAGATTCTTATAAAGTTATATAAATTGACATTCCGAAATCTGGAAGTTAGAGAGTCTAATGAATGTTTTCAATGTGTTCCTCTGTTTTGAATGCAGAGGAAGAAGGGCATCATGAGAAAGGACCATCAAAAGTTCTGAAGAAAGTGAAGGAAAAAGCAAAGAAGATCAAGAACGTTCTTACTAAACATGGACATGGTCATGAGCACGGTCGTGGAGAACACATCCCCGATGATCACGATCTCGACCAAGAAGACGATGAAGATGACTACCAAGGCCAACAACTCCACGGGGGTGCACCAGGTTTGTCCGTCCTTCGCTTCACTTCACTCTTTCTAATCTCAGTTAATGTTTTGGAGACTAACGATTAGTCGAACTGGTCTTGGCAGCACGAGGAAAAGCTCACAATCCGGTGAAGGAAGAAATAGTCCCTCCAGGCACGAAAGCATTTCCGGTTGTGTCTTCTTCACATACGAAACACTCTGAGCCAATCAGAGGAGTTGGCCAGGAAGCAGTTTCTCATCCTGTTAGACCCTCCGGTGTTCCTGATAAAGAAGAAAGAAGAGGGGCTGCTACATTGACACCACATAACACCCCCGTGTCATTACTCTCTGCGACCGAAGATGTCACGAGAACATTTGTTCCTGGTGAAGACAAGTCTAGAGACCAACGTAAGGTCAATATGGAGAGACCCAGAGGATTGGAGCAAGATCCAGCTGCTCCGGGATCTCATGGTCAGGTGTCAAATGACCAGTCCAAAGTTACTGATCCCATCGGAAAATGTAAGATCTTTTCTCTTAGTCTTGATTTAGAGTTTCAACTCAATTCACTTGTGTCTGTTTCTTTATCTCAGCTACTGGAAAAATTGGAGCAGCAACGACTGTCTCAGCTCTTGGAAGATTAGGTGGCCTTGACACGAAATCGGCTGCTCCGGGATCTCATGTTGGAATGTCTAATTATCAGTCCAAAGTTACTGATCACGCTGGAAAAGGTAAGATTTTTTGCTCGAAATTTTGATTAGGGGTTTCAAATCTTTTGACCTGTCTCTGTTTCTTTATCTAGCTTCCGGAGAAATTGGAGAACAACCACGTGTCGCAGCTTTTGGGAGGGGGGAGAAAAGTCGTGGTTTGGATACTAAATCAAGACCTGAAATGGGCAAGCACTTACCGGCGGGAGACTATGGATCTAGTTTGGGAAAAGAATCTCCGGAGAGGAGTCAAGAATTTGATTTGGGAAAAGATTTGCTAACGAGAACTCAAGGTATACAAAAGCCTGCTGGTTTTGATTCGAAAGGTCAGGAGAGAGGAGATGAAATGCAGCAGCCGAATCAGAGCAGCTACACTGATAAGATCGCATTAGCGACTTCGGTCGTAGCTGACAAAGCTGTGGCAGCGAAGAACGCCGTCGCTTCGAAGCTCGGTTACTCTGGGGAAGCCGGCCACGAGAATCGTGTAGAAGGAGCAGAAACTCCTAGCTCCGCTGGTGGATACGGGAGTACGGTCGCAGGTATGGTGACTCCAGTTTATGAGAAGGTTAAAGAAACAGGAGCTAGTGTAATGACGAAATTGCCATTCTCCGGGACAGGGACAGAGCAAGGACAAGACAAGGGCGTCTCTGCTAAAGAATATCTTACGGAGAAACTGAGTCCGGGAGAGGAAGACAAGGCTTTGTCGGAAGTGGTCGCTGAGAAGCTGCATCTTGGAGGAGGCGGTGGCGAGCCGAAGAAGGGGATAGTGACACAATCGGAGGAGGTGGAGAAAAGGCTAGGACGGTTTAAGGATCCGAGCTCGGAAGCAGCTACAAAACACGGTGAAGAGTATGCGGAGGAAGGCGAAGGAGGGATGGCGGAGAAGCTGAGAGGAGCTGTTACTTCTTGGCTTGCTGGTACGACGGAAGAAGTAACGCAAAAGTCTACAGAATCTGTTCAAGACTCTACACAGTCACTTGGCTCCACCGTTGGTAACGCTCGCCTCTAACTATTAAATAACGTTTTCAGCTTTTAGTGTTGTAATAACGACTTGATTTTTGTGTGGAATGATGGTTAGGGAATAAAATGGGAATTTCTGGTTCGGGAGGAGAGGAAGCAGGCAATGGTGGTTCTGTGCCTTTGCAGAGGAGATTTCAAGAATCTGGAAAGTGAGCTTTGCTTCTTCTTTTTTTCATGTATGTCAATGTGTTTTGTGGTTTGATCCATGGCTTATTTTGATGTATCTCTATCTACTAGTGCCATGTAAAAAGTATGAATAGTTGGGTTTAAATGTTTAATTAGTACAAAACAAAAGGAGGAAAATATCGTCGACAGCAGGGTTCGAACCTGCGCGGGCGAAGCCCAACAGATTTCAAGTCTGTCTCCTTAACCACTCGGACATATCGACTTGGTTGTTTAACCGCACCAAGATAGGAAATATTATTCGTTTATTTGAGAGTTACACAACAAGCTACATGGTTTCAACCTCCCTTCCAAACGGAAGTGGATAGAAAAGAATTTTTATAAAATGAATAAGACAGATAAGAAGAATTTCAGTTTTAAAAACCAAATAACATGGTAATTTTTTGGGGTGAAGATCAGGATCGATGATAGAGATATAGATCGTTGAAAATGATCTAGAGAGCTCGGCTTTTGATAATGTCGAAGCTCATCTCGCTAGGATCAGTGGCTTGTAACTCCACCTGAATGCCATCCAATTCTCTCTTGAATCTATCCTTAGAGCTTGCATACACCATCTTCATCCTCACCCTTGATGAATCTGGTGACCTATGTTTTATCATCCAAGTTTTAAAGCAATAGTCAAATATAACGTTGATATGGATCTTAAGGAAGTGATCAGTGAAATATAGAAATATGATACCATGCGATGAAGAAGATTTTGCTCTTCTGGCAATTTTCATCGGTGATGAAGTCAAAATCGAAGACTGCATAGCGGCACTCGTTCGCAGGGAGGGAGGCTGTGAAATCTCCGTAAGTCTCTTCCGGGTTTCCTAACTTTTCGACCACCACTTGTTGCCCGTCTATCCTGAATATTATGAATCGATAGTTTCTTTTCGACTTTAGCTCCAAAAACTTCAGCTTGCATTCGTCCTCCACTGCCATCCCCGACGCCGCGTTCGCCTTTTCATTCACATAAATTAGGAGAAGCATTTTATGTAATTATTTCCAAGTTAGCTTGTTTTCGGTTCCATTATTAATATCCATACGTCAAAACATTAGTTCTAATCTTAGTCTTCTAGCCATGACAATTATGAATTAGAATGAGATGCACAATATAACGTGTAAATATAATGAGAAAACACGTCAATAACATGCTACAATCGACGTCTAATTAACATGATTAGACAAACATTGCATCCAACTCCAGATTTTTATAGATCATTAGAATGGCATTACATTCAAATCAGATAATCCTTAAACCAGAAAACTTGGCCTGATTTTGACACTAATAGATTCATAGATTTGAATATCGTGTATCTTTTGCCCCGACTAGAATAAAATCACATCGATGGCATGACATGCTAGAACCAAACAATATTGAATACAAAAAAAGAGAAGAGAACAAACCATTGCTTTTGTCTAGTTTCTATGATAAGACTTGAGGAAGATGGCAAGATTTGTTGTTTTGTGAGAATATTTGTCCTATGACAATGGAATGAAGGAAGAAGATGGTTTCCTTTTGTGATACGAACTCGGACAAACTAATTAAAGGCTCCTTAATATTGGTCTCTGATCTGTATTTGTGATCACCACCCACACATTGTGTTTTTCTTTTTTATCAAACCTTAAAATTCGCCTAACCATCCCTTTTTCAAGCACTTTCTACTCTATTTTTAGATCTATATGTGTGTACACACCATCCATATATACATTCATACATTTTTTTTTTTTTTTGCATGCATATCCTTGTATATCCACGTGAATTTTGTTCACAAGTTGATAACATCTTTTGGCTCATTTTAATCTTTGGTCTCCAGTTTCCAATGCATAAATTAAATGATACTATTACTCCCTATAAACAGATAATTTTATTTCAGAAAAACATAGGAAACCAATGATAATATGTCAAAAAAAAACTGTATGCGTGTACACAAATCGTAATTGAAAAATAATATCTGTGGGGTAATTTGAAATTTTGGCATTTTTCTAAGTTAACCTTGATATAAAAAACTTCGAAGGACACAAACTTACTAAACGACGTCGTGAGATCGCATCGGTGATTTATTTTTTCAGTGAAATTGGGAAAGATGTTCCTCGTTTCAGCGATGTAGCATTAGTACCAGTGTGGAGCAATGGCTTGCCTTAGCGAAACCTTCCTAATTCTGATAATTATTGTGTCTTCTTCGTCTTCTCCTTTCTGTTCCGGTGGAAGGTGAATCTCTAGCATTACTTGAATCTCTAGTTTGAGTTTTATAATCCTTGAATTTTAATCACAATCCGGTTTTATTAGCTATAGTTATGTTCCTGTATCTCAAATTTGTTGTCTCTCTGCAGTCGGAAGGAGCTCCGGGATAAAGAAAATATGGGTAAGAGTGATACACAAGCGAGTTATGTTTTAGGATCTAAATTTGTGGACCCGAGACGTGTTCTTCAACTGTCATGGCAACCAAGGTCAGGTACACTTTTGATGGATATACCTCTGGTTCTACCATCATGGATCATTGCTGCACATAGGAATGTATGTTTTACTTTTTCAAATTTGGGGGGTCTGAAGCTATTTGGTATGTACAGGGTCTTCCTTTACCGCGGGTTCTTGTCGGAGGAAGAGTCTGATCATCTGATATCTCTGGTTAATTTCCAGCCCTTACCGTGTTTGAGATATAGTCATACATTGTTCTTTGTGTAATGGTTAGTTCTTTTCTGTAGAGAAAGGATACTTCAGAGGTAACCTCAGGGGATGCTGATGGAAAGACGCAACTTGTAAGCTCTTAGTATTCTTGAACTTTTCAAATATCTAAGCTTGACAGGAAATGTTTTGTAATGTTCTTGAAACACTAGACGTTAATGTTGTTGTAGACTCTGAGATATAGGCTTGTAGTTTTCTGTGACACGTAGTAAGTCAATACCTTTCTCGTACATCCTTATCAAGTTAACAGAGATGATTTCACACCCTAGTATAGCATTTTCCACCTTGTTTGATCGAAATGGCCTTAACAATGTTACGTTGCATTCCTTATTTTGGATAAACTAGGATCCAGTAGTTGCTGGGATTGAAGAAAAAATTTCTGCCTGGACTTTCCTCCCAAGAGGTAACTTACTTATCTTGGTTTTATAATCGATGGAGACTTTGTGACTGATTGCTCTTGGAAGGCCTCTTTTCTTGTGGCCAAACTGCTGGCTTATGTTTCTCTCTTGACGCACATTTTTCAGAAAATGGCGGCTCTATCAAGGTAAGAAGTTACACTTCTGAGAAGTCAGGAAAGAAGTTGGATTATTTTGGAGAGGAACCTAGCTCTGTATTGCGTGAATCTTTGCTGGCAACCGTCGTTCTCTACCTCTCAAACACAACTCAAGGCGGAGAGCTTCTCTTCCCAAATTCAGAGGTCAGTTTGATTTCTAACCTGAGAAGCAAAAAGATCTCTTATTTGGCACAACACAATGAATGTTGAGTTCTCATTTTTCTTTCAGGTGAAACCCAAAAAGAGTTGCTCAGAGGACGGTAACATTTTAAGACCAGTGAAAGGAAACGCAGTTCTGTTCTTCAGCAGACTCTTGAATGCATCTTTGGATGAGACAAGCACTCATTTGATATGCCCTGTGGTAAAAGGAGAACTGTTAGTAGCAACAAAACTGATCTATGCGAAGAAACAAGCAAGAAATGAGGAGAATGGAGAATGCAGTGATGAAGATGAAAACTGTGAACGATGGGCTAACCTTGGGGAGTGCAAGAAAAACCCTGTCTATATGATTGGCTCTCCTGATTACTACGGTACCTGCAGAAAAAGTTGTAACGCTTGTTGATTCTTCAATTTTATTGCAAACAAAGGGGGGCATAGTTGAAACTTTTTCAATACTTAAGCTGTTTTTGGTCTATATGATAGAATAAAATGTGAATAGTTGTCGTTGTGGTAATTAATTCCTTATTGACCATAGGATAAAGGAATATACTCACTTAGATCTTCTTTGATATGATCATATGTCATAACTCAGTTATTACTCCGGTAGTGAATGAGGACAAATCATAGTTTATAGATCTAAGAAGTCTTTTTCTATGTTATCTATGTTTCTCTAATCATAAATTTGCATCTTTTGCTTTTTCCTAAGCTGCATATAGTCCATTTCTCTTGCTAATCCCAAGAAAATATCACACTCTTGGCCAAATGTGTGTAAATCTCTAACATACCACTATTTTTCCCTTCAAAAATGATACTCAAAAGGGTTCATATACGATATAACTACATTTTTTTGAACATGATATACTTTTTTGGGGGAAAACCACATTTTCGAAGATGCAATTTTTTTATTTTTAAAAATATGTATTTACATATTAATAGACTAATTTAACATGATATGGTCTCAATCGAAAAGATTATGGTTTAGTCCCAACATTTTCTAGTTACATTTGCTAATCAAAAAAATTTAAAAAATCTTGGTAGGAATCAAAAGTTAAATTTGTTAATGCAGGGAAGTTTTATAAATTGTAATACTTTTCTAAAGATATTGGATAATTATCTGGATAAGAGAAATACTCCATTTGGTTCCATCACCTAGTAAATTTGAAAGAAAAAACAAAAAATAAGAGAGAAAATGTATCACTCACATCTAGACAATTGTCATGAATCATAAATCTTATATGCCTGTCTATCCCAATAACTTTCTTCAAATAAAACAGTCTATTTTTCTAGACATTCAAAGCTAATATCTTACATGTTAAGAAAAAATAAATAAAGAAAATTCAGAGAAAAAATGGATTTGCCCTTTTAATTTAATTTTTAAAATAATAATTTCCTCAAGAAAATTTGCTGGATTATTGTGATTAGAGCCCCAGGGTTGTTTTGTTTCCCCGTAGGCCTGCCTTTATAATTTGTTCCACAGCTCTTTTGCCTCCTCTCTCCGAAATTTTCTCTCATTTTTCTTTCTTCTTCTCCTTTTTTTTGCGTCCCATCACTTTCTCGGATTTTCTCGGCGACTTTCTTTCGTTTTCCCACCTCCTCTGAATCCCCCAGAGGATCGCTCTCGATTCTTCTCTTCTTCCTATTCTCCGCCCGATCTGTTACTGTTTTTTTTTTTTACTGGTGCGTGATCGGACTAACCATTATTCTTCTCATGAACACACACTAAATCGATTTGAATTCGTTCGTTCGTCTATACATCACTGGTGTTTAATTCGATTTCAAACCGCGAAAAACTTTTACTACGATTTCAATTTCGATTTTGCTCTGTTAGTCATGGAGGAAATTAGGCATCTGTGTTAGTGATTCTGATGGTAATTGAATCGAATACTGTGGATTTATATAGTTGCTTAGGGGAAGAATAGGTTCAGTATATAGACTTATTTTTATAGGTGCTGTGTTTATAGGAAATTGTGTGTTTGTGAATGTATGTTTCAGTCAAATTCAATGGAGCTTGTGAAACAAGATGGGAATGATTCTGTCGATATGCTTATCAGACGTGCGGTTGGAAAGGATCCGTTTCTTTCATTTCATAGACCTGAAAATAGTCCAGTCCAGCTTTTTCAACTTCTCCATACCTTAGAACGTCCAGGTAATGTCTCATTGTATCTCATCTGATTGGATTTGACATTGTCACTGACCAAATACTTCTTTTAGCATTGGAATTTGGTGGATTGGGTACTATGTGGATATATAGTTTTAGTATTGAGGGGTTTATCATATTAGCTTATTGATTTTTTTTAGATCTTAGTGATGCTTGAATAGCATGTGGCCTAGGGTATGGTACCTGGACTTTATTTGATGTTCTATTTCGTTCCCAGGCTGGCCATTGCTGACCCCTTTGAAGATACAAATGCAGAAGTGTGAAAAGTGCAGTAGGGAGTTTTGTTCTCCTGTGAACTTTAGAAGACATAACCGCATGCATCGCCGTCAAAGGAAGCCTGAAAAGGTTTGCTTTCTTTGGTTTTCTGTGTTTACTGGTTGGTTTATTCTTTTTCTTCTAAGTCATCTGAAGTTTGTGTTTACATGTTACCAGGATTCTGGTAAAGAGAGGGATGCGCTGGGAGCCTTCTGGAATAAGGTAGGTTTCCCTCTAGTCGTCTTCTCATAGGTATTGCCAATTCGATTAGTTTTTCCATCAGGTCCTGATCTCTGTGGTTATTTCAGCTCTCTGCAACTGATGCAAAGGAGATTCTCTCATTAAAGAGCATGATGCTTGAGGTAGTATGATTCCCATTGATGCTTTCACTTTTACCTTTTCCGTATCTTCACCCATTTAAAATGCATGGTGAGCCTCACATATGAGTGTGGCATAACATGTTCTTCAGGCTTCCCAATTCTAATTTCATTGTTGTTTCTCACATCTTGTCTAAGGGTTTTGACTCTTTATGAATGCTTTATCGCTTTTTTTTCTTCATTAGTGAAAGGTTTGATACCATAATAAACATTGTCATAAATGTTTCCTAGAATGCCATATGACTTCATCAGGGTTATGGGATTCGTTTCCAAATAAATTCTTTTTATTTAAAGTATACCATACCTGATTCGTATACATACCCTCACAGGCTTGATGAGTATGCATACCTGATCCATGCTGTACCTTTCTTGACGTCTTTTCTCTCGCATTCTGCATCGTGGACCTGTGTGCCTAATTAAAATTCTTTGTAGACGTCTCTAACTCGAGATGCTTTGTTTGGATTCTTGTAGGATGTTCCTGGGGCATCAGTTGAGTCAGGATTAATGTCACTTATCGAAAAACCAGGATATACTGCTCTGCCACAGTATTATCTAAGAGCTGGTTCTGGCCTTTTGGTATGAATTTCATCTCTCTCTTGACGGTTTCTTTTTTACCTTTCTAGATAAACTATCCTCAATGTTCAACCTCATTGCTGATATATGTTCCTCTTTCTCCAGGATATTCTCCAGGCTAGACCACCTAGGTTTCCAATTTCTTCGCAGGAACTTTTTAGCATTCTTGATGATGCAAGTGAAAAAACTTTCCTGTCTAGCGAGGCTGCACCAATGCAAAAGTACATTTTTGACGGGGAAATAGGAAAAACTGTACTGGAGGCAAAAAATGTTGTTGCTTGCGTAAGCTTCCTTCTGGAACAGCAACTGGTAAAGTTTTTCCTTCAAGGTTTCATCCTCTCTAGTTGGTAAAGCATAGTGTCTAATACGAGGACTTTGCTTTGCATGTATCCATTACATGTGGTTTATCTTTGTATTCTTAATGTGAAGATTAAAGCATGGCTGGCTGACAAAGATGTGGAAGCTCTGAGGTGCCAAAATTTACTGGTTGAAGAGGAAGAAGCTGCTCAAAGAAGGTATTTGCGTATTAATTGCAATGCCACATATAACCTTACTAAATCCACTAAGTGTTGAGTCTAATTCACTGGTATTATGTTCGGAGCAGACAAGCTGAGCTCTTGGAGAGGAAGAAGAGGAAGAAGCTAAGGCAGAAAGAGCAGAGAGAGAAGGACCAGAAAAAAGATGATAAGGAAGAAGAGAGCACCACATCAGAGGAACAACAATATCCAGCTGAGTCATCAAGCCCGTTATCTGTAGCTTCTGATGCTGAGGCACAGAGACCAGATTCCATACCAATTGATGATTCTTCATCCCTCGAGGACCCGCAAGTTTTGGAAACGAATAATGGGAGAAACGTTGAAACTCAAGCGCCAATGGTTGATGATAATGGCTTAGGCCATGGCCAAAACATGGAAAGGCGAAGTGGCCGTAGGCAAATGCAAAGATCACAACAGGGAATGCTGAATGGGTTCCATGTTAATCATGCACCAAAACTTGGAGGCATGCGAAAGAATGGAACCAACAGAGACGCAAGAGTCAATACTACTAAAGTTTGGAGCCGAAAATCCGATAACCCCAAATTGATATCACAACATGCAGCTGTGACTCAGCAGGATCAGACAGAGATCAGCGAATTTAGAATTGGATCAGTGAGTGTAACAATCCGAAACAGTGGAGAACATAACCAAACCAAATGCAGTGAAGGGGAGGGAAGAACAAAGACTGTTGAGGCGAAACCTACATCGGAGCAATCAACTGTAAAAATATGGAGACCAGTGAGCAGTCAGGGAAGAAAAATCTCAACAGTCGATGAAAACACAGACAAAGAAGATAAGAAGTCAAACTCAACTCTACCCAAAGCAAAGACCGCTCATCACATAAGCTTACAGTTTAACAACCACGAAGCAAAGGCGTTTCTTGCAAAGAGTAAAACTTCTTTTAACATTTCTTTTCATCATTATCTTCCTATCATTGAATTTCAATATTTTTGGAAGTTGTTTACTTATCAATCTGAATAAATGGCTTGTCAGGATGGAAAGAGGCAACCACTGCAGAACACGTGACACTGGTTCTCTCTCAGGAAACCAACATCTCGGGCAACAACACTCACGAATCCTCAAATGGTGTTATAACCGCAAGACCAGAGCTGAGGACGAAACCCGAAAAGGGCACGAAGGTAAAGTATGTTCCAAAACAGAGGATTCCTTGAAAACTTGAATACAAAAAAAAGACAAGCCTGATTCTGGACCAGAGTATCATTCTTTTTAGGTATACCAAAAGTGCAGTGTTAGCGAGCGAGACAGATCTTTTCTTTTGCTTCTAGAGAGATTTTTCCCATTTTAAGAGTCTTCATTCTTTCTTTTTTTTACTTCATATTCTTGGTAGACAGAGATTGTTTTGTTATTTTGTTGACCTTTTTTTGCCATCTTGAGGGTTTGAAATTTGAAACTTTGAAATGGGGTTCTTTGATTTTTTGTGTAATAAAGTTAATTCTCAACACACCGCCTTTAGAGCTCTCCTCTCGGATACAAATCTGAACGGTGGCTTAGCTAACTCAAAAGTGTAAGATGATAAGTTTATACACAACCAATACAGTTTCTTTTTTGTCAATGATAAGTCTACCATTATGTGTTTAAACTATTTTATATAACTATCAGTACAAAGAACAAAGACACCTACAATGCAAAGCTATATATGTATAGTTGTTAGACCCCAATATCTTACCATACACTGAATTTGCTTCCCATGTTAGAGGTAATGAAGAAGATAAAAGGCTTTTTTTCTTTTGGTAAATTTGTCAAGTGAATCCAGAGCGTAAGACCGGAAAGAAAGTCCAACTGTTTCTTGGACTGTGATCACCTTTTCCGGCGACCTTCTCATTCGCCCACCACTCCGATCTAACTTTCTCTATCATCTCTTCATTCGTGTTATCAAACTTGAATTCTTTGCTAGAGCCTGTAGAAAACGATCTTAGCTTCTGACTTTGTTCGCTCTCTGTTTCTCCCGATGTTTTACAACCGTTTGGTCTTAAGTGTTCGCCGCTCGCTTTTTCATGCGAACCGGATCGGTTTAGCTTGCTTGCAAGACAACGTGCAACGTCTTCACCTGTCAACTCGAAAGAAACTCTGTGAGGAACCACGGCAGCTTCATCATTATGCCTTGAGGACCCGTGGTCCGAATTGGCTAAAGACGCAACCTCAGTGATCTGACTATCCAAAAGACTGCCTTCAAGTGGTGTGAGAGCACCAGAAGCAAGCTTTGAGCCAAGTCCTCCACCACCATCAGGAGTCAGAGCACCTGAACCCAACCTTGAACCTTGACCAGCAGGTGTGATGGATCCAGAACCGAATCTTGATCCCCATTTACGCGCTGTGAAGTGCTCAAACCCCAAAAACTTTGGAGGTTCACCGATACGAAACTCAATGATGGAGCATTTCCCTGGGTAAGGAGAAGATGTACCTGAACCAGGGGAGATTAGATTACCACCTGGACTTCCAGGATACACTTGATGAGACTTAAACTCGTAGTGTGCAGCTGAAAACTTGTGATGCATTCCGCCACCGATGTTCCTCCTAGCCTTTTCCAGTGAAGATGTAAGTAACTGAGCAAAAGGCACTTCAGGGGAAGAAGGTGATTCAGGAGGTGGAGTGAATGGCGCGGTGGATGGTTCCGTTGTGAAAGCAGAGAACACTGGAGGAGTAACAGGTTGAGTTTCATGAGCGTAAGGTCCAATAGTAAAGGCTGAAGGCGGTTCATTGACGGTTAGGGAACAAAGTAGACCAGGATCAGGAGTATGTGACACAGATGGAGGACCTGATGGCAGAAACGAAGCAGGAGATGAAGGAGGAGCTATAAAGGGCATGAACATTGAAGTTGAATTGCTAGAAGAGTTTTGGACTGGAGCCACCGCAGCTCCGGATGCAGCTGGTTCGGGTACAAGCACCGCGTGGCCAATCCGCTTATTGTTCTTCTTGGATCCAAAACACAAGTACAAGCTCCACCAGCTTCCCCATTTTTTCTTCTGAATTTCAAAGACATAAAAAACCAAGAATCTTGATCAGCTAAAGATTCAAAGGCTTATAGCTTTATCAAGAACACAACTTTCGGGTTTAATCTTGCTGAAACCACACCTACTATGGTGGAGAAAGCAAAAAGATTAAAGCTAAAATATTTACCAAGTTTTTTAGCTCATCGAATCTAGTGCTGCTTATCATTTATCAATAATAGACATATTTTAAAATAAGAAAAACACGAGGAAGAAAACGAAAATCGGATCAAATCTCGAATCTTTTTATATTTCTCTTTCGTCAAACACTCTTCAATTCTCTTTAATCCTAGTTAATAAAACAGTAACAGGTAGATCAAAGCATAATTAATAAGTAACGCAAAAATCTCTTTAAACTTTAAACTAATTTCGTTACGTAAACACTTGCAAAACAGATCAAACATCAAAATCCCGAAATTCTCACTTTTACAAAAACCATTTCTCTGAGCAATCAAAAACTACAATCACGATCCAGCGTCAGAAACGTCGGCAAATCAAGTAACAACACTGATCTTTCATAAATCCACACTCAGGAAAAAAAAAAAAAGAAGTACATGAACCGACGACGGTTGTGTTCTGGACTCGGCGGAGACGATGGCGGAAGCGGCGGCGTTCACCGTGTCGACGCTCCTCATATCTCAAGACCAACGACGACAATCAAATAACATCCAGATTTTCAACTTTTGTTTCACCACCTCTTGATCTCATAGCAATAACAAGGTAAAGATTTTTCCCGGTAAAATCAAAACACAAACAAAATCCGAAAAGAAAAATGTGAAAATGAATTTTTGAAGAATGAGAGAATAAATACTATGAATATGGAGCAAAAGGCTTTTTATTATGGATGAGCCGCTTCTCTCTCTCACCGGTCGTTATCTTTTACAGTTTTCATTCAATTTCCCACGAGATTTTGCCACGTCATCATTAATTGACGGTTCGGACCCACGCGCTTCCATGAAAATATTATTGTTCGCAAATTATTGTATTAAAATTCAGTATGCTTATTGCTAAAAATAATTGGAAAGGAACAAAAGAAAGAAAAACAAAACACTTAAAAAAAGGGAGAGTAACGCATATAAGTGATGATGAGTCCCCAATGCAGACAAATGGCTTTCTTCGAAATTTTTTTAAAAAGGCAAAACTGATTGAGTGTCTTAAAAAAAAAATGTTGATGCCAAGATTACCCTCGTTTTTGCGATGGTAATAACAGGGAATGCCACGCAGTAATGGCTGGCGTCGCGAAACTCGTGAGTTTGCGAGTCTTTTAAGATAAATGCGCCGCTGATTTCATTCCGTTGGCGTTGGGTGGCGAGCGAGATCCTCGTGACTTACATTAGTTTTTTTCTCTAACTTATTTATTTGCTTTCATATGTGACATACACACATAGTTATTGCTAAGGTCGGGTTTTTTTTTTTTGACATCTTTAGATCGACAAGATTCAATCTATAGTCAATCAGATGAAAAAAAAAAAAAAAAAAATCTATAGTCAATCCCTACTACGCGGGGTAATGCGATTTAGTGGAGTCGAACTCCGGTGGAGAAAGCGGAGTTAAGTGGACTTAACCACTTGACTAAAGGTACATCGGGTTTATAATGATTACTTTTAAAGTCTTTTTTATGTATATAACGGCAATTTTTTTATTTTGCATGGTGTACACATGTGAAAGACCACGTCTATCTACTACACTCAAGTACGTCCATTCCAATATAATCACTAGAGAGACTTTAACAAACTATCCAGAAAAGTGGATCTTCATTATATAGTCAAGTTTCTAGTCTCGTATAAGGAGGTATGGTGAGACTCTCTCTCTATCAATTCTATAGCGAGTTTGGATTGTAGCGTCAATTTTGAGCTTCTTTACCATGTTATGAGAATTCTCAATGGACTTGATAGAAAATATATAATGCTTTTAGATTAATAAAATTTATAAATCACCACACTTACAAGCTAAGTGCCTTGAATGATGTTAGCTAGCTAGAAAAAATCGAATCACTTCCATGTGATATATTTTAAATTCAGTTGTTTCCCATACATATTTTAATAAATGGCTATAATAAAATGACTCTTCGTCCACCAGGAGATGGACATTTCTTTGGAAAATAATAATAGATATTTGCTGTGAAGACTTTAAATTAATTGATGGGTAATTTTGAAATAGATTAGTTTTAATTCAAAACATCCTTAAAATTACCAATTAGCTATAGTATCGGCGTAAAAGAGGTCTAAAAATTATCGATCAATTAGACGGTGGAAGTGGATAGTCAACTGAAAAAAAGTTAAAAGATATTATTCTTCAGAATCAAATCGAACGGTTGTAAACGGCCTTATCAAAAATGGTATACAACAATACAGTACTATTAGGTAACCTAAAAATCTCATTGTTATTTCCTTTTTTTTTAATGTTATACACATGAAACTAGAATCAGCAGGAGATTTCACTACTCTTAGCCGCCATACTTTGGTAATGGTGGATCTTCAGGATGATGTATCGATTATGATTTTGTAGGGTTTGTGTTTGTGAATGATTAAACTAAACCAAAGCGACAAAGAAGATTTGAGAGGGTAGTTTCGATAATGATTTTGTAGGGTTTTGTGATTTGTAAATGATTAAACTAAACCAAATTAAGCGACAAAAAAAGATTTGAGAGGGTAGTTTAGTCAACTTATTTTTATAAGCCAAAGAAAGGGAAGAGAAGGGATGAGCGCACGTGTGCATTGCATTTTCTTCTTCTTTTGCTTATGTTGAGTTGCGTAATGACTTTTACGTGTAGTCCTCGTGCGTGGGTACGAATGCGACCCTTTACCTTTTCTTCGTCTCTTGATCGAAGTAGGATATTCACTTTTACATTATTTAGACACTATTTCAGTAACATAAGTGATAAATTGATTGTTTTTGAAGTAAAAGAACAACCGATCAAACACGTTTTGAATGTTTTTATTCTAATGCTTCGAAAGAAAAAAAATATCTAATGCTTAAATACTATGGAATACGTAATATACCGTAATTTTTCTATGTGAATATCCAATTTGTTTTGCGATGTTAGTACTTAGTATACATTTTTTTTTTTTGGATTTCATAATCAATTATGGCAATATATAGTCTTTTGAATAGATGATCATATCAATTTATGCATGTCAAGTGTTATTATTGTGAATATGTATTTCTCTCTCTCTAATGCTCATGTTGGATTGTGAATCCTTTAGAAAACTTCTTAGATTATTATTTATAAGAAACAAAAAAAAACTTAACATGTTTCAGATACCGGGTTTCAAAACAATATGGTGTTAAGTCCATACAAATGTACTTGTTTTTTAGTAGAAAACATGTGTGGTGTTGGTGAAGTACATCTAGTTTTTCTATTACATCCCATCAAAGCATGTACACAATTTAGGTAGACGTAATAATGTTGCAAGCATTCTCTATTCGGAAGATGTGTGTGATGCGTCCGTCCATCACATATTATCATTGCCAAAGTGTGTTAGCTCTTTATGTAGATTGTTAATTATGATCTGGTTTGACAAATTAAAGAATAGTTGATATACGACTATACGTACATTTATATAGGATGATTAACAAATATGACAAATAAAGCAGCAGCCATAATTAACAAAAATACATGTGACTACTAAAATAGGAAGATTTCTCTTTACTTGACGAACTATAATTATCTACTCTTTTACTTTGACTTTGAAAATTACTTTAAGATTGCCTTTTACAATTATGTGGATTAGCAGCACACACTTACGTAAATTAACCTTCAATTTACTCATTTTCTTCTTTTGATTTTGATTTTATTATTTTATAGATCTAGTCATCATACAATATATGACTTAAACTTGCATTGTAAATTCTTCTTGCTATGCTCGAAAATTTCACCTACATATTTTATATTATCTTTATATATGGATCTATCGTAAGCCTTAAGTTTAAATTGGAAATTAATTATTGATACTATACTGTATATAGTAAGTTTAATCAACTATGCATTATAATGAAATCATATATATATAAAACTTATACAGTATATCTAATTCAGTACTAATCAACAAGTCAACTTAAACAAGGCTTCACTTATATATCCACACATCGACTGATCGACAGATCGAAATTATTATATTGTTGAATTATATAAGTCTTGCAACGTGTAGATAGATACAAAATGGATATGTCCATAGATACATAGTATTAAAAACATAACTATAAATGGTATATTACCAACAAAATTTTACATCTAAAGTTGGTCATCCACTATAGTAGCCACATGCTTATCTAGTAGACATTGAACATGATAAAAAGTGCCAAATAAGTGGAATAATCAAATGGGAATCTTCATTCATATAAACAAAAAAATTTCAACCCTATGACCTAGCTAGCTATTCTACTACATGTATATGCCAATTGGGATATAAATGTATTAAAGCATAACCATTAATTTGACAAATAGAAATAAATAGTTCAGAATTGATAAGTTGAGAAAACTTATAATGATTGGTAGGGAGAGACTCAAAAAGAAAAAGGATGGGTTATGGGCCCTATTTCCTCCAACATCCCACATGCACACTTCCCTCTCAATTTTCTCCCATTTATTTCTTTCATTCTAATTTATCCATCTACATATTCACTAACTCATTCATTGATTGTGATATCATGTTATTCTAGAGTTAGTGTTTTGAGTCTCTTGCTTCGTTAGACTAAAGTAAAGATAGGTTTGAGTATAATAAAGTTTGAACATTGCTCTTTCCTTTTTTATGGCTTTAGAGTTTAGAGTCAATACATTTATAAATAAATTCTTACCATTAGTGATTTATAAAAGAAATTTATATATGAGAACTTGTTATGTTAGAGACTTAGAGTGGACCTCGTATAAAGTAAATATGTGGGCTTTTACGATAAATTATTTGGCCTATATCACAATGAGAATAAAGCCCACATATAGCAGCCCAAAATTTATTGTAAGAGACCGGCTCTGGAATTAGAATTTTCTGGTTTTGGTCATTTGTTTTCTTATATTATTGTGTAGATGATAATTGATGGTAGCGATTAAGTTTGTTTTCTTATATTGTTGTTTTTGTAAATTACGTTAGTGGATGATAGTCTGTTTTTGGTGTGTGATGATAGAATTCCAGGAAAGTCGGCTTTTTCATACCTGCATAAATGAAGTATGTTGAATTCATACATTTGACTTCTACGTGTGCTAAATCATACATGCACTTTTAAGAAATTTGAATTTCAAATCCGAAGTTAACTTTTTGTGTCAAATCCTACAAAAACGTGCAAAATATTTAACACTGTTAACCCACCGTGAAATCGTAGTGACGTGGATTACACGTGACAACGTCAACGCAAAACGACGTCGTTTTACGAAAAATCAAAATTTCAAAAAATTAGACATTTTAAGTCTCGAACCCAGGACCTCTAATATTCAAAGACAACCCATAACCAATATGCTAACAGAACTCTCGTTGTATCGCTAACCAAACTTTTATTTATAGGGTTCTTTTTCTTTTTTCTTCCTCTTCTCCTCTTTCTTCTCCAGTTTCACATCGTTGTTAAACTCCACAATCTCTATAGAATATGAAACGACAATTCGTTGTAGTTACTAGTTCGATGGCTCTTCTTCCTCCAAATTGGCTCAGATGATGACATCTCCCTCTTGCTCGATTGCTTCTTCATGAGTTTGGTCAGATTAAATCCCAAACCTAGTCGATTTGATTTGAATTTTTATGAACATCGATGAGTTTTAAGAACGAGTCGTTCTCTTCTTCGATCAATTCGGTGAATCTCGAACCCGACGAATGTGAATTGATGAGCAAAACGATGTTCGCTTGGAGGTGTGGAGCAGCCGTCGTATGGGAGAAAAAGAAGAAAAAAAAAAGAAGGTTATAAATATAGTTTTGGTTAGACATACAATGAGAATTCGGTTAGTGTATTGGTTATGTGTTGTCTTTGCATATTAGAGGTCATGGGTTCGAGACCTAAAATGTCTTTTTTTTTTTGAAATTTTGATTTTAAGTAAAACGACGTCGTTTGTGTTGACGTTGTACACGTGTAATCCACGTCACTGCGATTTCACGGTGGGTTAACAGTGTTAAATATTTTGTACTTTTTTGTAGGATTTGGCACAAAAAGTTAACTTCGGGTTTGAAATTCAAATTTCTTAAAAGTGCATGTATGATACACGTAGAAGTCAAATGTATGAATTCAACACACTTCATTTGTGCAGGTATGAAAAAGCCGACTTTCCTAGAATTCCACACAGTTTTAACTACGAGGGGCAAAAATTTTATTTCGAAATAGTTGATACCAGAAAAAGATATGGATACATAATATAAGGACTAATACGAAAATAATAATAAATAAGGCGACTTTAATTAAAACCCTGTTAAAACCCTAGCTTGAAAGACTTGTATAAAAACACTTTCGAGCGCAGCTTCTTCGCCATCGGCATTCTCTCTCTCATTGAAAGCTTTTCTCCTTGATTTTCGCATTCTTTAGAGACTTAACGCAAAGATGAGACCTCCTCTAACTGGTAAGAACCCTAGCCGCCTCTTCTATTTTCTCCATTGTTTGTGTTTCAGATTAACAATGGCGAGTGACATTTTTAGCTCGTTTAGTCGTAGAACTTTATGGCTTTAGCTGAACAGATTGTCAAGTGTGTTCCTTTTTGCTCAGAACTGTATTGGGTCTTCGTTAGTTCTATCGGATTTAGAGTTTATGGTAGGGCTTTATGTTAAACATGGAGTATCTAATTTAGTGAATGGTCTTTTCTGTTCAGGAAGCGGTGGGTTCAGTGGTGGAAGAGGCCGTGGTGGATACAGTGGTGGCAGAGGTGACGGTGGTTTCAGTGGTGGTCGAGGTGGCGGTGGTAGAGGAGGAAGAGGTTTCAGCGACCGTGGTCGTGGCAGAGGAAGAGGACCACCAGGCCGAGGTACTCGCGGCGGCAGAGGACC